CTTTTGTTTTGGTATCAGCAAAATTTGAGAGAATTTTAGCGGTCTCTATTTTTTTTATAGGAAAAAATCTTAGAGGTCTCTTGTATTTTATTTTCGACAAAAATTAAAAAAAAAAAAAAATTGATGACTTTTGGTGTTTTATTAAAAAAAAATTGAAAAATGTTTTGGGGACCTCTAGAATTTTATTTTTGCAAGATTTGATAAGATCTCGGGATCTCTTTTGTTTTGGTTTTGACAGAGTTTAAGAGAATCTTAGGGATCCATTTGTTCTTTTTTTTAATGGGAACAACTCTTAGTGGTCTTATATATATATATATACCTGGTGTTTTATTTTTGAACAATATTTTGAGGACTCTAGAATTTTATTTTTGCCAAATTCGATAAATTCGCGGAGACTTCTTTTGTTTCGTTTTTGACAGACCTTAAGAGAATCTTAGGAGTACCTATTGTCCTGGTTTTTATTTGTTAAATAATCTTAGATATCTCGTATTTTATTTTCGAAAAAATCTTGAGGTCTACTGGTGTTTTATTAAAAAAATATATATTAGAAATACATTTTGGGGACCTCTAAAGGTTTGATAAAATCTTGAGGACTCCTTTCGCTTCGAAGTTTGAGAGGATCTTAGAGGTCTCCAGTGATTTTTTTTTTAATATGGGAAAGAATCTTAGGGGCGCCTTGTGTTTTATTTTCTAAGAAAATTGAAAAAATCTTGAGGACTTCTGGTGTTTTATTTTTGAAAAAAAAAATTGAAAAACATTTTGGGGACCTCTAGAATTTTATTTCGGCAAGATTTAATAAAATCTCGGTAAACCTTTTGTTTCGACTTTGACATAATTTGGGTCCCCTAGTTTTTTTTTTAATACGAAAGAATCTTAGGGATGTCTTGTAGTTTATTTTCGAAAAAAATTGAAGCAAATTTTGAGGAAGTTCGGTGTTTTATGTTTGAAAAAAATTTGAAAAATATTTTGGGAAGTTCTAAAAATTTATGTTTGCAAGATTTGTTAAATCTTGACGGCCAGTTTTATTAAAAAAAAAAATTAAAACATTTTGGGGACCTCTAGATTTTTGTTTGCAAGGTTTGATAAAATCTTGAGGACTCCTTTCGCTTCGAAGGTTGGAAGAATCTTAGAGGTCCCTAGAGTATTTTTTTAATATGGAACAGAATCTTTGGGGTGTTTTGCATTTTATTTTTGAAAAAAAAAATGAAAAATATTTTGGGGACCTCTAGAATTTTATTTCTGCAAGATTTAATAAAATCTCGGGAACCCTTTTGTTTTGGTTTTGGCATAATTTGGGTCCCATAGTTTTTTTACTAGGAAAGAATCTTAAGGGTGTCCTGTAGTTTATTTTTGAAAAACTTTGAAGCAAATTTTGAGGACGTACGGTGTTTAATCTTTGAAAAAAATTTGAAAAATATTTTGCGAAGTCTAGAAATTTATTTTTGCAAGATTTGATAAAATTTTAGCGGCCCCTTTAACCCTAAAAAATAAAATAAAAACATTTTCAGAACCTCTAGATTTTTTTTGCAAGGGTTGATAAAATCTTGAGGACTCCTTTCACTTCGAAGTTTGAGAGAATCTTAGAGGTCCCTAGTGTATTTTTTTAATATGGGACAGAATTTTAGGGGTGTTTTATATTTTATTTTCTATGAAATTTGAAAAAATCTTCAAGACTTGAAGGTGTTTTATGTTTGAAAAAAAACTGAAAAATATTTTGGGTCCCTCTAGAATTTTATTTCTGCAAGATTTAATAAAATCTCGGGAACCCCTTTGTTTTGAAAAAAATATATATATTGATTTTTTTTGCAAAGTTTGATAAAATCTTGCGGACTTCTTTCGCTTTGAATTTTGAAGGAATCTTAGAGGTCCCTAGTGTATTTTTTTAATGCTAAAGAATCTTAGGGATGTTTTGTATTTTATTTTTTAATAAATCTGAAAAATATTGAAGATTTCTATTGTTTTATAAAAAAAAAACAATTGAAAAACATTTTGGGGAGCTTTAGTTTATTTTTCAAAAATTCTGAAAAATCTTGAAGATTTCTGTTGTTTCATTAAAAAAAAAATTTTTTAACATTTTGGGGGACCTTTAGAATTTTATTTCTGCAAGATTTAATAAAATCTCGGGAACCCTTTTGTTTTGGTTTTGGCATAATTTGGGTCCCTAGATTTTTTAATAGGAAAGAATCTTAAGGGTGTCTTCTAGTTTATTTTCGAAAAAAATTGAAACAATTTTTTTGAAGACTTTCGGTGTTTTGTTTGAAAAAAAAAATTGAAACATATTTTGGGAACTTCTAGAACTTTATATTTGCAGGAATTGATAAAATCTCTGAGGCCCGTTTTATTTAAAAAAAAAATAAGAACATTTTTTTATGAATCTCTAGATTTTTTACAAGATTTGATAAAATCTTGAGTTCTTTTTTTTTTCGAAATTTGAGAGGATGTTAAAGGTCCCTAGTGTCTTTTTTTTAATAAAGGAAAGAATCACAGAGATGTCTTGTATTTTATTTTCTAAGAAATCTGAAAAAATTTTGAGGACTTCTGGTGTTTTATTAAAAAAAAAAATTGAAAAATATTTTGCGGGCCTCTAGAATTTTATTTCTGCAAGATTTAATCAAACTTCGGGAACCCTTTTGTTTTGGTTTTGGCATAATTTGGGTCCTCTACTTTTTTTTAATAGGAAAGAATCTTTGGGGTCTTATCGCTTATTTTTGAAAAAATTGAACCAAATTTTGACGACGTTCGGTGTTTTATGTTTGAAAAAAAAATTGAAACATATTTTGGGAACTTTTAGAACTTTATATTTGCAGGAATTGATAAAATCTCGGAGGCCCGTTTTATTAAAAAAAAATAAGAACATTTTTTTATGAATCTCTAGATTTTTTTACAAGATTTGATAAAATCTTGAGTTCTTTTTTTTTCGAAATTCGAGAGGATGTTAGAGGTCCCTAGTGTCTTTTTTTAATATAGGAAAGAATCATAGAGATGGCTTGTATTTTATTTTCTAAGAAATCTGAAAAAATTTTGAGGACTTCTGGTGTTTTATTAAAAAAAAAATTGAAAAATATTTTGCGGACCTCTAGAATTTTATTTCTGCAAGATTTAATCAAACTTCGGGAACCCTTTTGTTTCGGTTTTGGCATAATTTGGGTCCTCTACTTTTTTTTAATAGGAAAAAATCTTAGGGGTCTTAAAGCTTATTTTTGAAAAAAATGGAAGCAAATTTTGAGGTCGTTCGGTGTTTCATGTTTGAAAAAAAATTTGAAAAATATTTTCGGCATTTCTAGAATATTATATTTGCAAGATTTTATAAAATCTCGGGGGGCCGTTTTATTTTTGAAAAAAAAAATTAATATTCTAGAAATCTCTAGATTTTTTTTTTATAAGATTTGATAAAATCTTGAGGAGTTTAGAGGTCCCTAGTGTATTTTTTTTAATCTAGGAAAGAACCTTAGAGGTGTCTTGTATTTTATTTTCTAAGAAATTTGAAAAAAATCATCACGACTACTGATGTTCTATTTTTGAAAAAAAATTGAAAAATATTTTGGAGACATCCAGAATTTTATATTTCCAAGATCTGATAAAACATCGGGGATCCCTTTTGTTTTCTTTTAGTAGATTTTGAGAGAAATCTTTTTAATTTTTGAAAAATTTGGAAAAAATCTTGAGGACTGAAGTATATGAAAGAATTTTAAGGGCCCATTGTATTTTAATTTAAAAGAATTTGAAAAATTCTCTCGGGGACCCCTAGTGTCGAATTTGAAAATATCTCAGGAAGTCTTTTGTTTTTGGACAAATTTGAAAGCCTTTGATAGCGCCGAGTGATCTTTTTTTAACAATAGGAGAGGACCTTCAGGGTTCCTTTTTGGAAAATCGTTTAAAACAAAATTGAAAAACTTAATCAAATTCGCAGGATCAAATTGACAATTAGTACATGAAACGGAACTTGTTCTATTGCCAGAGCTGCAGCACCCAGTTAAATTTTATTCAAATATCGACCAGCTTTTTCCAATTTAATCCCAGCTTTTGTTTAAAATAAAATTTGACTGTCTGCCAACTCGAATTTCACCTGAAGAGCCGTTCAATATTTGACACAAAAGCTTTCGGTCGACTAGTTAAAGTCCACTCTGCCTTTGAAGTTGGTCGACTGAGGCTAGAAAAAAATGCAAGTACGGAAGCATTGCTTTTGTACTGTGAAATGTTGAAGGCGGAATTTATTGTACCGATAAAGGACTGATACGCCAAGACCCGATTTTATAGGAATCGTTTTATTGCGGTGGAGTTCTGATAATGGAGCTGATATTCGACTTTAGGGCGGCTTCTCGAATAATGCTTAATTCCATTATAGTATGATAACAATGTGGAAACATTTTATGGACGCTGAGGAAACAAGGCCATGAAAATTAGTGGGTAGTTGGGTTTGCTAGGAATTTTACAAGCAAACAAAAACAGTAACAACACTAAAGTGTGGCTGCACAAACTTATTACGTGGTGCAGTTTGCAGAGGACCCGACTACGCGATTCGTCGTGGTTTTATTGAATTAAGACTGTGGACCCAACTTCTTCCTGATTCTCGCCACATCCACTATTTTATTTCAACTTCCGCTAAACCCACTCATAATCAACACGACTGTTATTTTACGAGCTCACATATTTTCACTCAGCCCCAGCGTGCACTTACCCCGAAAACATCTTCCATTATTAATTATCTAATATAATTTTCGCTCCTCGTCCTGAAAAATCGCTCGCCTTTTTATTTATCCCCGTCTTCCTTAAAACCAGCAACAAGCTACCGACGACACGCAACAAAAAAGAAAATCTCAAACCCAGCTCAACTTTATCAACTCCACTCATCCATCACCAAGATTTATATTTCACTTAATGGTGCATCGCAAAAGCAGGAATCGCGCTACGACGAAACGTCATCGTGACGTCACGCGCCATATTATCATATAAACGAGATTCATTGTTCCACATTTGAAAACTAAAACCCATTCTTTCAGATTCGACCATGTGCGGGTAATCCTCGAATTTATCAACATGTCCAACCAGGCAGAAGGCCGGTCCGGGGTGGCCTCTGCGGGTCACGTGGGGTCGCAGAACAAGAGACCCGTCATCCTGATCTATCCGACAGGTAATTAATTGGCCGGGTTGAATTTGGCGCCGACGCGCTAACACCCGATTGGTGAAATCTGACGTCATTTTGCAGTGGCTCCCGAGACCGTGGTGGTGCCGATAATTTCCTGCATCCTGGGATTCCCGCTTCTGGCCCTTCTGGTCATCTGTTGTCTGCGGAGAAGAGCGAAGTTGGCACGCGAACAAGCTCGCAGGCGCAACTGTGATATTGAACACGGTACATTCTCTATTGTCAGATTCAGCCCAATACACTATTTAGGTAACTAGTATACTTTTTTGAGTTCCCTCAGTTCATGTCTTTTTTCCCTTCGTTTACGAGTTACAGTTTTCTTCATTCGGCTAGATTTTTCCTTAATTGGTTTGTTTTTACACACCCATCGACACAGTAGGTACTTGAACACGTGACACGTTTTAACGGTATTGTGCACCGATTGGTTGCTTTACACACAGAAAACGCGCTTTTTTTGAGTTAACCAATGCAGTTAGAGGATTAACTAATCAGGTTTGTAAAGCCACCAATCACGTTACGGTATTTAGTGGGCGTCACCTACTAAGGTCCGTCAAATTGGCTAGCACCATTAATCTCATAGCTAGCACCACTCTCCAAATATAAAATAATAATAATAATAATAATAATGACAAAAACTCGCTACTTTTTTGTTTTCTCGACGTTTCATGCCCCCTGAAAGTACGAATACCTACCATCTGGATTGTTATTACTTATTGTTGTAAAATTTTATATTTATGTTATGAATATTCCTGCATTTGTGGTTTATGAATCTGTGTCAAATTTTTACCGTAGACATCGAAATTTGTGGAAAAAAAAACAAAATTGTATAACAACATTTTGCAATTTAACATTGAGACTGCAAAACCGAATGCTTTGAAATCTTGCAGATGTTTTAAAATTATGATATGCATAATAACTTTTTAATCAAAATATACTTCCTTATCCCCTCCAAAAAATTGATGACATCAGCTCAAAATTTTGGCGAATGAATCCTATCTAAAATGTCCAAAATACGATGAGTCTATACTTGTGATTTATCAATTTATCTGCGCAAGTACTAGCCCCGCCCACCCGCCCTTATTTCCTCAGAGGATATCATTTGCCAAAATTAGACTTATCTTAGCAAGTACTAGCTAGTACTACCCTCCGAAAAAATAAAGGGGGGGGGGGTGGACGAGTCTAGATAAGATAAGACGGACTTTGGCAAATGACATATCCTCTAAAAAAACAGGGGGCGGGTGGGCGGGGCTAGTACTTGATAAGATAAGACTGACTTTGGCAAATGACATATCCTCTGAGAAAACGGGGGGTGGGTGGGCGGGGCTAGTACTTGGTAAGATAAAACTGATTTTGCCCCTATTAATGTTGTAAAAACTTGTGAAATTTAAAGGTGTTAAATTGCAAATTTAATTTTTTATATTTGCTTATACAGGTGGCTCAAAAAAATTAATGAATCATTCAATTTACTATATTGAATAAATCAAGAATTGCAAAACTGAATATGTACTTTGAAATCTTGCAGACGTTTTAAAGTTATTGTAATTAAAATATGTCTGTTATTTCCCCCAAAAATTGATGACGTCGTCTCAAAATTTTGGCGAATAAATATTCTACCCAAAATGTGCAAAATATAATGAGTTGCTAAAATAAAAAATAAAATTCTGAGATGTAAATCTCAACGTGCTAATTCGCAAAATATGAAGATTTTACTGTTCCAGAGCAAGATTTTTGAAATATTCGGTTTGATTTTTTTTTTTTAAGAATCCTAAAAATTGCCATATTTCAGTCGGCGATTCTATAAAATTGGTAGGATTTTTTGAAGAAATGAAGTTTAAAATAACTTTAGAAGTTGAATTCAATGTCGAAAGTGGTCGTAAAATAATAATCAAAAATTTCAAAAGATTGGAAGAATGTCCTAATAATCCACAAAAAGGAATAAATTTTGATCTTCTCCCGAGGACCATCAAAAATTGCAAAAACAATTTCTTTTAGTAATTTGGATCTCTAGATGTTTTTTTTTCGAAAATTCCTACTTTTTTTCAGAATATTTAAAACGAAATGTGAGAAATTTCGAGATATTTAGTTTAAAATTTTGACTTTGAACCTCAACATTTGGAAATCAGCTCGCCATATCTCTTCTGAATTAATGTTCCTGGTAGGCGTATTATTTTTGAACAAACATCGAAATTTTTGGAAAAAAATCAAAATTGCAATTTAACATTGAGACTGTAAAACCGAATGCTTTGAAATAAAATCCTTTGGCAAATAACATATCCTCTGAGAAAACAGGGGGCGGGTGGGCGGGGCTAGTACTTGATAAGATAAGACTGATTTTGGCAAATGACATATCTTCTGAGAAAACAGGGGGCGGGTGGGCGGGGCTAGTACTTGGTAAGATAAAACTGATTTTGCCCCTATTAATCTTGTAAAAACTTGTGAAATTTAAAGGTGTTAAATTGCAAATTTAATTTTTTAGATTTGCTTATACAGGTGGCTCAAAAAAAATAATGAATGTGTCAATTGTTTTTAGATTAGCTTATGCAGGATGACTCAAAAATATTAATGAATCGTTCAATTTACTTTATTGAATAAATCAAGAATTGCAAAACTGAATACTTTGAAATCTTGCAGACGTTTTAAAGTTATTGTAATTAAAATATGTCTGTTTATTTCCCCCAAAAAATTGATGACGTCGTCTCAAAATTTTGGCGAATTTTACCCAAAATGTGCAAAATATGATTAGTTGCTAAAATAAAAAATAAAATTCTGAGATGTAAATCTCAACGTGCTAATTCGCAAAATATGAAGATTTTACTGTTCCAGAGCAAGATTTTTGAAATATTCGGTTTGAATTTTTTTTTTTAAGAATCCTAAAAATTGCCATATTTCAGTCGGCGATTCTATAAAATTGGTGGGATTTTTTGAAGAAATGAAGTTTAAAATAACTTTGGAAGTTGAATTCAATGTCGAAAGTGGTCGGAAAATAATCAAGAATTTCAAAAGATTGGAAGAATGTCCTAACAATCCACAAAAAGGAATAAATTTTGATCTTCTCCCGAGGACCATCAAAAATTGCAAAAACAATTTCTTTTACTAATTTGGATCTCTAGATGTTTTTCGCACCTTTATTTTTTCGAAAATTCCTACTTTTTTTCAGAATGTTTAAAACGAAATGTGACAAATTTCGAGATATTAAAATTGCAATTTAACATTGAGACTATAAAACAGAATGCTTTGAAATAAGATCCTTTGGCAAATGGTAAGATAAAACTAATTTGGTCCTTATTAATCTTGTAAAAACTTGTGAAATTCAAAGGTGTTAAATTGCAAATTTAATTTTTTAGATTTGCTTATACAGGGTGACTCTAAAAAATTAATGATTCAGTCAATTTACTTTTTTGAATAAATCAAGAATTGCAAAACTGAATACTTTGAAATATTGCAGACGTTTTAAAGTTTTTGTAATCAAAATATATCTATTTAATTCCCCCCAAAAAATTGATGACGTCATCTCAAAATTTTGTCGAATACCTTCTACTCCAAATGTGCAAAATATGATGAGTTTCTAAAATGAACAAAAAATTCTGAGATGTAAATCTCAACGTGCTACTTCGAAAAATATGAATATTTTACTGTTCCAGAGCATGCTTTTTGAAATATTCGGTTTGAAAATTCTTTTTTTAATAGTCCTAAATAAATATTCCCATATTTCACTTGGCGATTCTACAAAATTGGTAGCAATTTTTGAAGAAATGAAGTCTAAAATAACTTCTAGAAGCTTCTTCAACAAAAAATTATCAAAAGTTTCAAAAGATTGGTACCGAAAAATTGAACTTTTTTGGAAAAATGTTCTAAAAATCCACAAAACGGAATAAATTTTGATCTTGACCGTCAAAAATTGCCAAAACAATTTCTTTTGTTAATTTCGATCTCTAGATCCTCTGTTCTCTATTCAAAATGAAATGTGAAGAATTTTGAGATATTTAGTTTAAATTTTTATTTTGAACCACAATATTTGGAAATCAACTCGCCATATCTCCTCTGAATTAATGTTCCTGGTAGGCGTATTATTTTTGAAGAAACTTTTTTTTTTTCATAATTTTTGACCAGTTGGTTTTCCCATACTTTTCTCAAATAAGTCCTCAGGAAAAATGGTAGGATTGCTCCTGGATTTTCAATGCCTCCACAATTTTTTATGGATAACTTCTCGAAAATCTCGTATTTTTATACTCATTGTATGAGATTCCTTTTTTTTTCGAGCAGCGTCAAAAATTACTAAAATAATTTCTTTCATTAACTGCGACATTCAGAAGTTTTCCCAGAGTGTATAGAATAAAATGTGAAAAATTTTGAGGTTGTGGCGACAAATAACAGGTTGGTAAGCGAAGAAAGATAATCCGCTCTGTGGCCTAGTGGTCAAGGCATCCGCCCGGCAAGTGGGAGATGTGTGGTTCGATTCCCATCGGGCAACAGACATTTTTATTCGTATACCTAATGTGTTTTAAAAATCTGATTTTGAATTCGAATATTTCGAAAACCGCTCACCCTATTGCCTGAAATATTGTCATGGATAGACATACGATTTTCAAAATTATTTTTTTCGTAATTCTGGGACACCTAGCTTTTCCAGAAGTACGCTAAATAAATCTTGAACAAAAATGTTTCGGTTTCTCCAGAATTTCTAATTTTCTGTCGTAATTTTCATCTGAAACCATAAACATGCTATCTTTTTCGAATCAGGTGGTCGAAATCTGCCCTCCAGATTTTTTATGAATTTTTAGACAACTTCACCAAAAGCTCAATTCTTCAGTAAAATATGAAATTTTTTATCTTTTCTACTCCTAGAAGCTTTTCAGGTCTTTAGTTTTCGAAAATTTGTACCTTTTTTCCAGAATGTCCAAAATAATATGTGAACAATTTTCACATAACTTAAAATTTTGACTTTGAACCCCAATATTTATAAAACCGCTCGCCATATTGTGATAACCAAAACATTCCGCCTTAAATGGCATGTGAAAAAAAAATTGAAAGCCGCGTTGTAGCACGAGCGGAGTTTGGGGCTCCTGGTTGTGGTTGTTCTCCCACCACGACGGTGATTCTGTTCTATCCTATCGGCAAGCATAGCGTCACGTCATCCCGACCGCCCTTGACTTCTATTCTAGGTCTGTGTCTCTTATGCAGATGGCGCGATAAATCCCGCCAGCTCGACTTAGAACCGCGCCGTCCGCTTCTGCCACGTGTTTCTGTGTTATTTACCTCAATTCCATTTTAAACGTTCACTTTCTATAGCTCTGATATTAAACTACAACTGAACAAGTGTTAAAATTCCAAAAAGAGCAATAAACAACATTTAAATTCGCTATACACTCTCGTGAAATTTTAAACAGCAAAGAGTTCTTATCTGATATTAAGATTAGACATCAGACCGTTTATGATGGAAGCATTAAGATTTATAAAAACAAAAAAAGATCTGGTGTGAAGTAAAATTTGTGCAGACAAAAATGATTACGTGAGGTTAGGACCTGTAGAGTATGAAAATTTATGCTCAATTTAAATTAGATAGCAAAGAAAATTATTAATTTTATCAACAATTCAAACAAAGAATTTACCTGATGTTAAATTATGCCACACTTTATCAGCGATTCAAACAAAGAATTTGCATTTGCAATTAACGGTTCACGATTAAAATCCTGACATGAACTGTGAATTTACAAACGATAAAACCGCAAGAATTATTAGCTACGCGCGTTGGGGAAACTGTGGCGTCGTTTCGTTGGTTGTCTATGTTTAAGGATTTTCTTGACTGAATATTTTTCAAATTCAAATTATTTAAAGGATAATTTAAAAAATAAAAATTAGAACAAAACAACATATTGTAATGTTTGTCCACATAATTTGTTAGTAATTGATAGAAAATAATTTCCATTTTAAATAATAAACACTACAATGAAAAATTACTTCTGTGGAAACTAAAATATACAAATATACGATTTTCCTCATTAACCTTGGATGGTGCTAGCTTGAGTAAACTTCATTATCTCAGTGTTGCCAACTTGTCTGACCCCACCTACTAGATGAATTTAAATATCGTTAAATCGATGGAAGTCCCGCACCATTAATTAAACTTCGCTTAACTATCGTTTTGAGCAGGGCGTTCCACAAGGGCCGTTTCCCTGAGGTCAGAAAGGGCAATGAGTAGGGGATTTCCCTCGCTGGAACTCGACACAGTTGTAGAAGAGCGATCCGATCCGGAACCGGAAGCTACCGTAATTGAAATGATGACACCCGACGACGGAGAATCGGACAGATAGCATAAGGTTACAGATGTGTGCAGTGCAGACAGGTGAGCCGCTCTAACCCCAAAATTTTTCTACAGTAGCGACGACGTCGAAGTGTCCGGTCCGTTAGTTCGAAACTCGCATCCGCTTTGTCAGTCAGCACAGCAAAAAAGAACTAATAAACAAGCCCCAGTTCGTTTATACTCGGACTTGAAAGTGATGGGGGAATGACAGACGCGTCGGAATTAAAGTCGCTGTGATTTAAAAACGTTCTTGAGATAAATTTAACTCGATGAATGCGTTCCAGGTCTCCGCTTTGGACTGCGTTAACGCACGCACACACGCTGGCTATGGAGGCCAACAGCTGACCCGAGGATAATGGAAGTCCCGAGGAGCCAGTCGTACCACAGATGATACCTTTGCCCTTCATTAAGGGCTACTGACCTAGTGACTTCAACTATATCAAATTGAGTTATTTTGTATCTGAAGTACACCCTCTGTCCCTATAGTACAAAGGTTTACGTATTCTTGTAAATTATAATTGAATGTTATGTAGGTACTTAGAGTAGTGGTAATTTTTAAAATGTAATAGCGGGTTCACACTTAGAGCACTTTGTTTACTTAAGTCAATTGCATTGAAATTGTGTGTAAAACTATACCGGAATCGGGAATCCGTTGCTTTTGAATATTTAAGCTAGATTTTCGCTTTGTGGCTCTTGTTTTAGAGTAGGCTGTATTTCCCAAGACTTGACCCTCAGTGCCAATCCTAGTTTTTGTATTTTCAAAAATAAAGTCTATATTGGGAGGTTTCCCTACGATGTTGTAGCCACCGTGTTTTTGTCGAATCAACTGAACTACACTAAATAGAGACGAAAGGTAGGTATTACTTTTTTGTGTTTCAAGTGGGTGAACATACAGTCCACACACTTCGCAGTTCGTGCGTAATCAAAATTAAAGCACACGTTAAAAATTATTCGAATTTTATTAAGTTAGCGTTACAAATAATTACAAATTCGAACTGTCAATACTTCTTAAGAGTACACCAAATAAAATGTAGAAAAACTATATATATAAAAAAATATATACAAACTTTGGTCTACAATTTCTTATCCTTGTTCTACTAGTTTCTAATAAATACATTACTGATTTATCACAAACTAAATTGGACGGTTACGGTCTTATTGCGGTGATATACAGTCGTTTCCAAGCACTCTGGTCCCTGCAATAGGCTGCATTTTTCGAACCAGCTCATCGCCATCCGTACCCAATATTTTTTTATGGACTTTCAGGCAACTTTAAATTTAGCTTAAATTTCCAAATTTTTAAAAATAATGACCATTTCTGACAACTTCCGAAAATTATCTAAGGACATTTTTTGTTGATTTCGACTTGCTTTTTTTGATTTATCAATTATTTTTTTTATTTACTGATTGCTGATTGCTTCGTTATCCGATTTTTACTTTCGCTATTTTTTTTACATTTCGGTATTTCAATTTTTTTTTATTGTTCAATGTTTCATTTTTTTTCAATTTTTCAGTTTCCGATTTTTTATTTTTACAGTTTTTCGATGTTTATTTTGACATTCTTCAACTTTTGAATTTTAGAATTTGTCGATTTTTCTATTTCTAGAAAATTCTGTTTTCCGTATTTTCTATTTCTCGTTTTTTTATTAACCAGTTTCTCGATTTTACAGTTTCTTTTTTTTAATTTTTTAAATTTGCAGTTTTTTCAATTATCGAAGTCTTAAGTTTCCCAAGTTTTAAGATTACAATTTTTAAATTTCTCGGTGTTTCAAGTTTCATTTTTACTATTTTTGATTTTCAATTTTGCAATTGTTCGATTTTTCTGCTTTTTAAATTTTCAGTTTTTTCATTTTTAAGGTTACAATTTTTCCTTTTCCAATTTTTGACCTCTTAATTATTCCAATTTGAGTTTCTTTTTTTTGCAGTTCTTCGATTTCTCAATTTTTAAATTGTTCGGTTTTTCAATGTTTCTTTCTCGATTTTTCAGTTTTTAATTTTTTGATTTTTCAATTTTTCAGTTTTACAATTTTCCGATTTTTTTATTTTTTAAAATGTCACTTTAAATAAGTTTGTCCTTTTGTTGAAAAATTAAAAACAAAGTACTTCCACGTATGTAATTCCAAGTTGTTTCGTTCCTTCGATTTTTTATTTTCTCAATTCGAGATTTTTAAATGTTTGTTTTTTTTTAATTGCTAATTTTTCGATTTTTCCGTGTTCCGTTTTTACATTTTTCGATTTTTCGATTTTTTGGTTTTTCGATTTTCATTATCATTTTTATTTTTCAGTACAATTTTTGTATGTTTCGATTTTTTAATTTGCAGATATTTTAATTTTGCGATTTTCCAAGTTGCTTTTTAGTTTTTCCATTTTCATTCGTTTTTTCAATTTCTCAGTTTTTAATTTACCACTTTTTCAGGTTTCAATGTTACAAATTTTCGATTTTGCGTTTTTATTATTTTTTTAAAATCTACAATTTTGTAATTGTTTGATTTTTAAATTTCTCGGTTTTTAAATTTTTCGGTTTTTCAGTGTTTCGTCTTTTCGATGTTACAATTTTTCCATGTTATTGAACATACAGTCCACACACTTCGAAAGTCGTACCTAAGCAAAATTAAAGCACACGTTAAAAATTATTCGAATTTTATTCAGTTAGCGTTACAAATAATTACAAATTCGAGCTGTCAATACTTCTTAAGAGTACACCAAATAAAATGTAGAAAAACTATATAGATAAAAAAATATATACAAACTTTGGTCTACAATTTCTTATCCTTGTTGTACTAGTTTCTGATAAATACATTACTGATTTATCACAAACTAAATTGGACGGTTACAGTCTTATTGCGGTGATATACAGCCGTTTCCAAGCACTCTGGTCCCTGCAATAGGCTGCATTTTTCGAACCAGCTCATCGCCATCCGTACCCAATATTTTTTATGGACTTTCAGGCAACTTTAAATTTAGCTTAAATTTCCAAATTTTTAAAAATTTTGACCATTTCTGAGAACTTCCGAAAATTATCTAAGGACATTTTTTGTTGATTTAGACTTGCTTTTTTTGATTTATCAATTATTTTTTTTATTTACTGATTGCTGATTGTTTCGTTATCCGATTTTTACTTTCGTTATTTTTTTTTACATTTCGGTATTTCAATTTTTTTTTTTATTGTTCAATGTTTAATTTTTTTTTCAATTTTTCAGTTTTCGATTTTTTATTTTTACAGTTTTTCGATGTTTATTTTGACATTCTTCAACTTTTGAATTTTAGAATTTGTCGATTTTTCTATTTCTAGAAAATTTTGTTTTCCGTATTTTTCTATTTCTCGTTTTTTTATTAACCAGTTTCTCGATTTTACAGTTTCTTTTTTTTTAATTTTTTAAATTTGCAGTTTTTTCAATTATCGAAGTCTTAAGTTTCCCAAGTTTTAAGATTACAATTTTTAAATTTCTCGGTGTTTCAAGTTTCGTTTTTACTATTTTTGATTTTCAATTTTGCAATTGTTCGATTTTTCTGCTTTTTAAATTTTCAAATTTTTTCATTTTTAAGGTTACAATTTTTCCTTTTCCAATTTTTGACATCTTAATTATTCCAATTTGAGTTTCTTTTTTTGCAGTTCTTCGATTTCTCAATTTTTAAATTGTTCGGTTTTTCAATGTTTCTTTCTCGATTTTTCAGTTTTTAATTTTTTGATTTTTCAATTTTTACTTCCCGAGCGTAAGCAAAGGAAGTATTGTAATCGAGTCCGTCGGCCGACTCTCTACTTTTACGTTTTCTCGATCTTTCATGACCCCTAGAAGACGAAGAAATAGGTCTCCCATTTCCGTCTGTCTGTCCGTCTGTCCGTCCGTCTGTCCGTCTGTTGTCCCGGATTTTTATTAGACAGATAATCTCCGAAAGTACTCGACCGATTGTTGTGAAATTTTGTACTTATATTAAGAATATCATGTAGATGGTAAAACGCTAACCAAAATTTGTCTAATCATCCCCACCACTAATGCGATGACGTCACTTCAAAATTGTACATAGTAAATGGGTTTTCAATTGTATAAAATAACATAGTCCTACACATGTAGTTTACAACTCTGAATCGACTTTTCACCCGAAACGTGCAGATTTTTGGAAAAAAAATCAAAATTATAAAACAACATTTTGAAATTTAATTTTTAATCTGCTAACCAGAATGCTTTGAAATGTTGCAGATGTTTTAAGGCTATAAAGAGCATCATAAATCTTTAGTCAAAAAATATTTGCTTATCCCCTCCAAAAACTTGATGACGTCAGCTCAAAAGTTTGTGGAATAAATCATATCTAAAATGTACAAAATATGATGAGTCTGTACTTGTGATCTATCACACCATTCATATTTTTTGGATTTGCAAATACAGGGTGACTCAAAAAAATTAATGAATGCGTAAATATATTTTATTGATTTAATCAGGAACTACAAAACCGAATGCTCTGAAATCTTGCAGATGTTTTAAGGTCATAAAGAGCATAATAAATGTTTAGTCAAAATATATTTGCTTATCCCCTCCAAAAACTTGATGACGTCAGCTCGAAAGTTTGCCGAATAAATCATATCTAAAATGTACAAAATATGCTGAGCCTGTACTTGTCATTTATCACTCCATTCATATTTTTTGGATTTGCATATACCGAGTGACTCAAAAAAATTAATGAATGCGTAAATTATTTTATTGATTTAATCAGGAACTACAAAACGGAATGCTCTGACATCTTGCAGATGTTTTAAGGTTACAAAGAGCATAATAAATGTTTAGTCAAAATATATTTGCTTATCCCCTCCAAAAACTTGATGACGTCAGCTCGAAAATTTGCCGAATAAATCATATCTAAAATGTACAAAATATGATCAGTCTGTACTTGTGATCTATCACTCCATTCATATTTTTTGGATTTGCATATACAGGGTGATTCAAGAAAATAAATGAAAGCGTAAATTTATTTTACTGATTTACTCAGGAACTACAAAACCGAATGCTTCGAAATCTTGAAGATATTTTAAAATATCATAAGCATGGTAAATTTTTGATCAAAACGTACTTGGTCGTCCCCCGTAAAAAATTTATGATGTCACCACAAAATTTTGCTGAAAAAATCCTATCTAAAATGTACAAAATATGGTGAGTCTCTTCTTGTGATTTATCATTCCATTCAAATTTTTTCGATTTGCATATACAGGGTGACTCAAAAAAATTAATGAATGCGTAAATTTATTTTATTGATTTAATCAGGAACTACAAAACCGAATGCTTTGAAATCTTGCAGATGTTTTAAGGTTATAAAGAGCATAATAAATTTTTAGTCAAAATATATTTGGTTATCTTCTACAAAAAACTGATGACGTCAGCTCAAAAGTTTGCCGAATAAATCGTATCTAAAATGTACAAAATATGATGAGTCTGTACTTGTGATTTATCATTCCAATCATATTTTTGGATTTGCATATGCAGGGTGACTCAAAAAAATTAATGAAGGCGTGAATTTATTTTATCGATTTAATCAGGAATTAGAAAACCGAATGCTTTGAAATCTTGGGAATATTTTAAAGTTATTATAAGCATGGTAAACTTTTGTTCAAAATGTATTTGTTCATCCTTCCTAAAAAAATTGATGACGTCACCCTTAAATTTTGCTGAATAAATCCTATCTAAAATGCAAAAAATATGATGAGTTTGTACTTGGGATTTATCATTCCATTCATATTTTTTAGATTTTCTTAAGAGGTGGTTCAAAAAAATTAATGAAGTCAATTTATTTTATTGATTAAATTAAAGGCAACACTTATTATTAGTATTACACCCCAACCAACCCAATTTGGTAGACACAAAATTTGTTAAAGGAAAAACTCTGTTGAAACATAAGGGTAGCACGCTTATTTACATCGACTTTAACATTACAGACCTGCATTTGTTTTATGCGCTCACTTGGTTCCGCGAATGTGAAATAGACATGTTTATAATCAAACAATTGTGAATTTCACCGTCAAGAATTAAAATAAAACCCAATGTTTTATATAATAAGCGGAAGTCGAAGCAATAAAACCGATGGTCGTTTTGTTTACAGTTTCTCTGTTTGACTCTCACGTATGCTGTTACGCCTGTCATCTTAAATTAAGAATGTTTATACATACACGATTTTCAGTTGCCTCTAATACGTATACGTGAGTAAATTGTTTCGTTATTTTATTGATTATTACAAATCAATATTCAAAACGACCCAATTCATTTTCCCAAAAATTTGAGAATATAATAATTTTATTCTTAGTATTACACTACATCTATCCCAACTGATATACGTGTCCTTGCAAAAATGTTGATGACGTCATCGCAATTTCTTTTTAAATTCCCACTACAAAAATGTAATGAAAAAAAAAAACACAATAGGCATGCAGTCGTCAAGTTTCCGACAAGAGGGAAGTACTGTCTAAACTCTTTAGACCAATTTTTTAGTTTTACAATTTTCCGATTTTTTTATTTTTTAAAATGTCACTTTAAATAAGTTTGTCCTTTTGTTGAAAAATTAAAAATAAAGTACTTCCAAGTATGTAATTCCAAGCTGTTTCGTTTCTTCGATTTTTTATTTTCTTAATTCGAGATTTTTAAATGTTTGTTTTTTTTTTAATTGTTAATTTTTCGATTTTACCGTGTTCCGGTTTTACATTTTTCGATTTCTCGATTTTTTGGTTTTTCGATTTTCATTATCATTTTTATTTTTCAGTACAATTTTTGTATGTTTCGATGTTTTAATTTGCAGATATTTTAATTTTGCGATTTTCCAAGTTGCTTTTTAATTTTTCCATTTTCATTCGTTTTTTCGATTTTTCAATTTCTCAGTTTTTAATTTACCACTTTTTCAGGTTTCAATGTTACAAATTTTCGATTTTACGTTTTTATTATTTTTTTTAAATCTACAATTTTGTAATTGTTTGATTTTTAAATTTCTCGGTTTTTAAATTTTTCGGTTTTTCAGTGTTTCGTCTTTTCGATGTTACAATTTTTCAATGTTATTGAACATACAGTCCACACACTTCGAAAGTCGTACCTAAGCAAAATTAAAGCACACGTTAAAAATTATTCGCATTTTATTCAGTTAGCGTTACAAATAATTACAAATTCGAGCTGTCAATACTTCTTAAGAGTGCACCAAATAAAATGTAGAAAAACTATATAGATAAAAAAATATATACAAACTTTGGTCTACAATTTCTTATCCTTGTTCTACTAGTTTCTGATAAATACATTACTGATTTATCACAAACTAAATTGGACGGTTACGGTCTTATTGCGGTGATATACAGTCGTTTCCAAGCACTCTGGTCCCTGCAATAGGCTGCATTTTTCGAACCAACTCATCGCCATCCGTACCCAATATTTTTTTATGGACTTTCAGGCAACTTTAAATTTAGCTTAAATTTCCAAATTTTTAAAAATAATGACCATTTCTGTGAACTTCCGAAAATTATCTAAGGACATTTTTTGTTGATTTCGACTTGCTTTTTTTGATTTATCAATTATTTTTTTTATCTACTGATTGCTGATTGTTTCGTTATCCGATTTGTACTTTCGCTCTTTTTTTTACAATTCGGTATTTCAATTTTTTTTTATTGTTCAAAGTTTCATTTTTTTTCAATTTTTCAGTTTTCGATTTTTTATTTTTACAGTTTTTCGATGTTTATTTTGACATTCTTCAACTTTTGAATTTTAGAATTTGTGGATTTTTCTATTTCTAGACAATTTTGTTTTCCGTATTTTTCTATTTCTCGTTTTTTTATTAACCAGTTTCTCGATTTTACAGTTTCTTTTTTTTAATTTTTTAAATTTGCAGTTTTTTCAATTATCGAAGTCTTAAGTTTCCCAAGTTTTAAGATTACAATTTTTAAATTTCTCGGTGTTTCAAGTTTCGTTTTTACTATTTTTGATTTTCAATTTTGCAATTGTTCGATTTTTCTGCTTTTTAAATTTTCAGTTTTTTCATTTTTAAGGTTACAATTTTTCCTTTTCCAATTTTTGACCTCTTCATTATTCCAATTTGAGTTTCTTTTTTTTGCAGTTCTTCGATTTCTCAATTTTTAAATTGTTCGGTTTTTCAATGTTTCTTTCTCGATTTTTCAGTTTTTAATTTTTTCATTTTTCAATTTTTCAGTTTTACAATTTTCCGATTTTTTTATTTTTTAAAATGTCACTTTAAATAAGTTTGTCCTTTTGTTGAAAAATTAAAAATAAAGTACTTCCAAGTATGTAATTCCAAGTTGTTTCGTTTCTTCGATTTTTTATTTTCTCAATACGAGATTTTTAAATGTTTGTTTTTTTTTTATTGTTAATTTTTCGATTTTTCCGTGTTCCGTTTTTACATTTTTCGTTTTCTCGATTTTTTGGTTTTTCGATTTTCATTATCATTTTTATTTTTCAGTACAATTTTTGTATGTTTCGATTTTTTAATTTGCAGATATTTTAATTTTGCGATTTTCCAAGTTTTTCCATTTTCATTCGTTTTTTCGATTTTTCAACTTCTCAGTTTTTAATTTACCATTTTTTCAGGTTTCAATGTTACAAATTTTCGATTTTACGTTTTTATTATTTTTTTAAAATCTACAATTTTGTAACTGTTTGATTTTTAAATTTCTCGGTTTTTAAATTTTTCGGTTTTTCAGTGTTTCGTCTTTTCGATGTTACAATTTTTCCATGTTATTGAACATACAGTCCACACACTTCGAAAGTCGTACCTAAGCAAAATTAAAGCACAGGTTAAAAATTATTCGAATTTTATTCATTTAGCGTTACAAATAATTACAAATTCGAGCTGTCAATACTTCTTAAGAGTACACCAAATAAAATGTAGAAAAACTATATAGATAAAAAAATATATACAAACTTTGGTCTACAATTTCTTATCCTTGTTCTACTAGTTTCTAATAAATACATTACTGATTTATCACAAACTAAATTGGACGGTTACGGTCTTATTGCGGTGATATACAGTCGTTTCCAAGCACTCTGGTCCCTTAGTTATTAGAAACGCGGCGTCGTCATGAATCATTTAAAAGAGTATTAATTGTTAAACGAGTGAACAACAAATTATCTACATTAATAAATACTAAATTAAGTACTTAGTGCCACTACTTACTAATACTTTAAAACTTACACGATGGTACAACAAAGTGGAACGTAACGACGTAAAAAATCGAAACTTGCCTTAAAAAAAAACAAAGGTAAAAAATCACAATTACTGAGCTTATCTTAGATGAGCCTTTCTTCAGGTGGCGGTTTCAACACGTGGTCCAATTCCACTCGAGGGTTGCAAAATTCCTGAGCACTCGGACTGTACGTGCCTCTGGTGGCACGTTTACTCCGCGCTATGTTGACCAAAACGGCCAAACCTATCGCGATACCGACGCTTAAAATCAAAACGATTGGTATCACGATGTAGAGAACGTTGACGTGGTCCATCTGACTAGCGGCCACCTGAAAACCAAGTTGTAGACAATGTTCGGACCTCTGTGCACCACTGACCTTATACTCGTTGCAATTCTTCCCAGTGTAATTATCCTTACACTGACAAATATAATCCGCCTTGTCCGTGCACAACGGGACACAAACCCCCTCCACGCATGGCTTGACGTGCTCGCAAGGGTTGTCCAGCTCGCAAAAGTGCCCACACTTATTTTTATCGTCGCATGAACACCGGTACGTTCCAGGCAGATTTTCGCACTTCCCTTGGGAACCGCACGGGTTTTCGCTATTCTGACACTCGTTGATGTCCATCTCACACAGGAGACCGTAGTACCCGGTACCGCTGCAGTTGCAGTCGTACCGGTTGATCCCGTCCATGCAAACCCCGCCGTTCTGGCACGGGTTTCCGGTCGGTGTATCGCAATCGTCGATGTCCCTCTCACAGAATTTCCCGTCGTAGCCCCTCACGCAGTGACAATACGGCTTTTCATTGGTTGTATTGCAACTGCCGTGTTCGCAGTGCTGACGTAAACAAAATGGCGTATCGCAAAGTGGACCCTCCATACCGTCGGTGCAGAAACATGTGAAGTTATTCCCGGTCGTTTCATCTATAAAAATTTAGTATAAAAAAAAGAGCGTCAGTGGGGTAGTCAAGGTTACTGGGTCCAGTCAAACAAGTGGCGCCCTCTTTGCACGGTTTGTTGTCACAGGTGATGAGAATCGGGGCTTCACACTGCTTTCCGGCGTACCCTTCGGGACACTCACACTTAAACGTCCCGATTCCATTGTTACAAGTCCCGCCATGACGGCACGGGTTACTCAGACACTCGTCGATGTCGTGTTCGCAACTATAACACACCATCAATTGAGAGACAAAGACGGGAGAGGAATCGACTTACTATATTCCGTCAAATCCGGGTTCGCACTTGCAATCGTATTCGCCAATCAGGTCGATGCACGTGGCGTTGTTTTCGCATTTGTTGTTCTCGCATTCGTTGATGTCTACGGAGCAGTCGTCGGCGGTGTAGCCTTTGGTGCAGTTGCACTTGTAGGTGTCGTTGGGGTGGATGCAGACGCCGTCGTTGAAGCAGTCGCTGGGGTAGCACAGGATGCAGCCGATTTCGGGTTTTATGCTGGAGTCGAGCTCGAAGTAGTGGTTTTTGAGCGAGAGTTCGTCGGTTGTGAAGAACGGGAGCAAGAGGCCGCCGATTCTGATTTCGTTTAAACATCCCTGTGGAAAAAGTTGGCGTGGAAATTTGGTGGCTAGTGGCCGATTCGAATCTGGCGTACACTGGGCTCCCTGCCTAACTTAACCTCAAAATTTGTTGCAACAAAATTTTATTCTTTCGAAAATAAAATAATCATACGTATGTTTTAGTCTGTATGTAACAAATTTATACTTTTTATTATTGCAATAAATTAATGATTGTTATTATTTATATTCAATAGGTTTTAATTTTTTCAACTCAAATTTCAACTTTTCCGGAACCACCAAAACGACAAAGGTCATCTTTGTGATACTTTTAAAATTCGATTTTGAAATCAAAACTTTTACGAATCTTAAATAGTCTGGGAACAACAAACCAAGTTTTTCAAATCTGCTCGTCGGTATCTAGGTCACAGAATTTTTTGAGATTTTTAGAGGAAACTGCGAACAGCACAAATTTTCAATTTTTTTAATATTTGACCTTTTCCGAGAACTTTTGAAAACTATCAAAAGACATTTTTTATTGTTTCTATTTGCAGAAGTTATTTTCGGCAACAGGTGCTTGAAAATTTCAACCACTTTTCCAAAACCACTAAAATGATATATGACGATTTTTGGAAAATTAAAAAAAATATACATATGTTTTGAAACCGAAAATTAAAAAAAACCATGGTCTGGAACCAGCACCAGGCTCCGTTTTTGGAATCGGCTCCAGATTTTCTTATAGATTTTTTCAGGCAACTTTGCCAATAGCTTAAATTTCCAAATTTTAAAAATTTTGACCTTTTCTGAGAACTTCCGAAAATTATCCAAAGACATTTTTTGTTGATTTCGACTAGAAGAAATCATTTTCGACAACATTTCTTTAGAAATTCCAGCCACTTTTCCAAAGTCACAAAATAAAATACAGTAGAACCTCGATAATCGAATTAATTGGGGAAAGGTGTATTCGGATTAGAGAATTTCCCAAAAAGCTGAAAGGGAATTGAATAACAACTTCATATATTGCTCTAAACAAATTTCAAGAAATAATGTTATATTTTTGGAATCAACACGTCGGGATATATAACCCTGAATTTAAGCGGAATAAGACTTATTTAGATAAATGACCTAGTCTTCTAAGAAAAGGTACTAGCCCCGCCCACCCACCCTTTATTTTCTTGGAAGAGTAAGTCATCTGCCATAATTAAGCATATCTTGGCAGGTATGAGACTGATTTTTGCAAATGACATAGCCTCTAAGAAAATAAGGGTGGGTGGGTGGGGCTAGTACTTGTCAAGATAAGACTGACTTTGGCAGATGACCCACTCTTCTAAGAAAATAAAGGGTGGGTGGGCGGGGCTAGTACTTGCCAAGATAAGACTGATTTTGGCAGATGATTTATTCTTCTAAGAAAATAAAGGCTGGGTGGGTGGGGCTAGTACTTGCTAAAAATAAAAAAACTTAAAAGTCAAAAAATGACAAATTGAAAAATTGGATAAATGAGAAATCGGAAAATCAAAAACTGAAATATCGAAAAACTGAAAAAAAAACACAAATCTTATAAAATCGAATTCGGAATTCCAGTTTTCATTTTTTTTAGTTTTTAGATTTTTCTACTTTTGAATATTTCATTTGATAAGTTGTTTGACAATTTAGCAGTATTTTAATTCCAATCTTTTGATTTTACAAATTTTGAAATTTTTTGATTTTTAAATTTTCAAGTTTCTAAATTTTACATTATGGTAGCACTTGCCAAATGACCTACCCTCTAATAAAATAGAAGGCGGGTGGGCTAGGCTAGTACTTGCAAAAATAAGACTTATTTTGACAAATGACCTAGTATTCTAAGAAAAGGTACTAGCCCCGCCCACCCACCCTTTATTTTCTTGGAAGAGTAAGTCATCTGCCAAAATTAAGCATATCTTGGCAGGTATGAGACTGATTTTTGCAAATGACATAGCCTCTAAGAAAATAAGGGTGGGTGGGCGGGGCTAGTACTTGTCAAGATAAGACTGACTTTGGCAGATGACCCACTCTTCTAAGAAAATAAAGGGTGGGTGGGCGGGGCTAGTACTTGTCAAGATGAGACTGATTTTGGCAAATGACATATCCTCTAAGCAAATAAAGGCTGGGTGGGTGGGGCTAGTACTTGCTAAAAATAAAAAAACTCAAAAATCAAAAAATGACAAACTGAAAAATTGGATAAATGAGAAATCGGAAAATTGTACAACTCTTTAATCCGAAAATCAAAAACTGAAATATCGAAAATTTGAAAAAAAAAACAAATCTTATAAACTCGAATTCGGAATTCCAGTTTTCATTTTTTCTTTAGTTTTTAGAATTTTCCACTTTTGAATATTTCATTTAATAAGTTGTTTGACAATTTAGCAGTTTTTTAATTCCAATCTTTTGATTTTACAAGTTTTAATTTTACAATTTTGAAATATTTTGATTTTTAATTTTTGAAGTTCTCAAGTTAAAATTTTTCCCTTTCACGATTTGTCATTTTTCGATTTTTTAACTAAAAGAACAAAATTATTCAAACCGAAATTTTGAAAAATCAAAAATCCAAAAATTGAAAATTAGAAACAAAATTTTCAGATGTTTTAAAGCTACGGTAAACAAGGCAACCGCTGATCAAAATTAGTTTTTAGTCCCTTCCAAAAACCCAGTGACAAAAAATCAAAAATCGAAAATTTAAAAAAATAAACATCACTTTCTCGATATTTTTAAAAATCAAATAATTGAGAAATCGAAAAACTGCCAAAATTGTAAAATTCAAAAATCGAAATTTTTTTTCAGTTGCGCAGAGAAATCAAAAATCGAAAGACAGATCAAAAAGTCGAAAATTTAAAAAGCGAGAAATTAAAAAATTCGAAAACTGAAAAATCGAAAAACTGACAAATTTAGTAGTACTCGCTACGATAAGACTGATTTTGGCCAATGATCTACTCTCTAAGAAAACAAAGGGCGGGTGGGTGGTGCTAGCTCTTGCCAAATAAGCTACCCTCTAAGAAAAAAAAAGGCGGGTGGGCGGGGCTAGTACTTGTTAAGATAAGACTGATTTTGGCAGATGACCCACTCTTCTAAGAAAATAGAGGGTGCGTGGGCGGGGCTAGTACCTTTTCTTAGAAGAGTAGGCCCACCCGTCTTTTATTTTCTCAGAGGGTAGGCTATTTGGCAAGTACTAGCAAATTTAGATCCATTTTCTACGATTTTCACGTAATTAAAAAAATATTTTGATACCGAAAATTAAAAAAAATCTTGGTGTGGAACCAGCAACAGGCTGCGTTTTTCGATCCAGCTGATCGATACCCGTACCTCAGATTTTTTTATGGACTTTCAGGCAACTTTAAATTTAGCTTAAATTTCCAAATTTTTAAAAATTTTGACCATTTCTGAGAACTATCGAAGGACATATTTTGTTGATTTATTTACTGATCGCTGATTTTTTCGTTATCCGATTTTTTACTTTAGCTATTTTTTTCAACATTTCGGTATTTCATTTTTTTTTTCAATTTTTCAGTTCGATCTTTTATTTTTACAGTTTTTCGATGTTTATTTTGACATTCTTCAACTTTTGAATTTTAGAATTTGTCGATTTTTATATTTCTAGAAAATTTTGTTTTCCGTATTTTTCTATTTCTCGATTTTTAATTAATCAGTTTCTCGATTTTACAGTTTCTTTTTTTCAATTTTTCAAATTTTCAGTTGTTTTTTCAATTGTCCAAGTTTTTAGTTTCTCAAGTTTTAAGATTACAATTTTTAAATTTCTCGGTGTTTCAAGTTTTGTTTTTTCTATTTTTGATTTTCAATTTTGCAATTGTTCGATTTTCTGTTTTTTAAATTTTCAGTTTTTGCATTTTCAAGGTTACAACTTTTTCTTTTCCAATTGTTGACCTCTTAATTATTCGATTTTGAGTTTCTTTATTTTTGCAGTTTTGGTTTTTCAATGTTTCTTTCTTGATTTTTCAGTTTTTAATTTTTTGATTTTTCAATTTTTCAGTTTTACAATTTTCCGATTTTTTGATATTTTAAAATTTCACTTTTAATAAGTTCGTCCTTTTGTTGAAAAATTAAAAAACGAAAAATTGAAAAAATGAAAAATAAAAAATAAAATACTTCCAAGTTGTTTCGTTTCTTCAATTTTTTATTTTCTCAATTCGACATTTTTAAATTTTTGCTTTTTTTTTAATTGTTAATTTTTCGATTTTTCCGTGTTCCGTTTTTACATTTTTCGATTTCTCGATTTTTATTTCGTCAGTTTTTTCAGGTTTCAATGTTATAATTTTTCGATTTGACAGTTTCTTTATTTCGATTTCTTCGTTTTAAGATATTTTTATTTTTTTATTCATCAATTTTTTTGTATTTAATGATTATTTACTTTCGCTGTTTTTTCAACGTTTCGGTATTTCAATTTTTTTTTATTGTTCAATGTTTCATTTTTTTCAATTTTTCAGTTTTCGATTTTTTTATTTTACAGTTTTTCGATGTTAATTTTGAGATTCTTCAACTTTTGAATTTTAGAATTTGTCGATTTTTCTATTTCTAGAAAATTTTGTTTTCCGTTCAGTTTGAATAAATTTGCCCTTTTGTTGAACAATTAAAAAATGAAAAATCGAGAATTTGAAAAATAATCGAAAAATTGCAGAATTGATGCGTTTTGTCGATTTTTCAATTAATCGATTTTTAATTGTTTGTTTTTGATGTTTCAGTGTTACAATTTTTCGGCTTTACAAAAGTTCAATTTGAATAAATTTGTCCTTTGTTGAACAATTAAAAATTGAAAAATCGAGAAAATGAAAATTAAAAATCGAGAATTTGAAAAATTTAAAATCCCAAAATTGCAGAATAGATTTTTTGTCAATTTTTCAATTTCTCTATTTTTAATTAATCAGGGTTCTGAGGTTTCAGTATTACAATTTTTCGATATTTCAAGTTTCATTTTAAAATCTTTGGATTTTGATTTTTTTTTATTTTTGAATATTTAATTTGTACAATTTTTTTTTCGTTTTTTCAATTTTAAAATTTTTCGATATTTCAAGTTTTATTTTTGAATTTTTTATTCTGATTTTATCGGTTTTTTCAATGTTTCTTTATTTTTGCAATTCTTCGACTTCTCAATTTTTAAATTTTTTGATTGTTCAGTTTTATAATTTTTAGACGTTTCAATGTTCTTGTCTGATTTTTGAATTTTTGAATTTTTCAAAATTTCGGTTTCAATAAATTTGTCCTCTTGTTGAACAATTAAAAAATGAAAAATCGAGAAAATAAATAATTAAAATGGACAATTTGAAAAATTTTACATCGACAAATTGCAAAATTGAATCTTTTTATTGATTTTTTTAATTTCTCGATTTTTAATAATTTTGTTTTTTGAAGTTTCAGTGTTACAATTTTTCGGTTTTTCAAAAGTTCAGTTTGTTGCACAATTAAAAAATGAAAAATCGAGAATTTGAAAAATATTACATCGAAAAATTGCAAAATTGTAGCGTTTTGTCGATTTTTCAATTTCTCGATTTTTAATTGTTGCATTTTTTAATGTTTCGGTGTTAGATTTTGCAACAGTTTATTTTGATTAAAATTGGAAATCAAGAACTTGAAAACTTTAAAACTGAAAAATTGTTTTTACAGATTTTCAGGCAACTTTACCTTTAGCTTTAATTTCTAAATTTTGAAAAATTTTGACCATTTCTGAGAACTTCGGAAAATTATCTAAAGACATTTTTTGTTGATTTCGACTAGCAGAAATCATTTTCGGCAACATTTCTTTAAAAATTCGGCCACTTTTCCAAAGTCAAAAAAATAAAATATGGCCATTTTGGAGAAATTAAATAGAAATATTGAGAGACCGAAAAAATATATCTATATCCCAAATTTTTTAAGGATTTTTAGTTAACTCTGCCAAAATTTCAAATTTTCAATGTTCCGTAGTATGTATTTAAAACCTTAAATTATTTCTCTTCATGGAACACTGATCTGAAAACCAAAACTTTTTTCTTCTGTCAATCATAATTATTCAAAATACATGGACAGATGGCGCCAGTTACCCAATTTTTGAGGTTAGGAGAATCAGTTTCAACAATGAAATTTGACATAAATGTTACTACTGCAGGGAGCGCAGCGGACGGCAGATCTAGAGACTTCAGCGCCATCTAGCGCCTTATTATTTAAGTTCCAACCTACCTTAAAACTGTCAGTCTTCTTATTCTGGTCAACCTTATGCAAAAGCACATCCGACGTCTCGTCACTAACCTCCAACGAATTACTCGTAATAGACACAGTCGTCGTGGTGTCCCCCACCGGAATATACCCTGTCATATTCGAATCCGAACTATCAATAATCCCCTGATAATCAAACATCCCATCGCTCCCCCCCACATACACCCTCCCACTCTTCAAAATCTCCGTAAACCCATCAATATCAAAGTTAACCACCTTCACATCCGGACTCTCATCCATCACCCTATCCTTAAACCCTCCCTTCAACACCGAATTCTTATACTCAAACCACAACGTCAACCACTGCCCCTCGAAATGATCCCTCCTAAACCTCCTGCTATCCGCGCTCTTGCGAATCCTCCACTCCACCACCACCTCGTTGTGATAGATGAAAATCGCGAAGTAGTCGTCCTCGTACTTCGCGAAGAACACCGTCCCCCAGGACCTGGTGCGGTACGTGAGTTCTATGGTGTCGTAGGTGATGGACTTGGTGGAGTTGGGCCAGACGACTCGGTGGTACTGTAATGGAGCGGTTTTTCCGTCGAAGGTGGCGTTGGCGACGCACTCGGAGCCGTCCTCCAGGTTGCGACACACCGAGTTCGGCGGGCACTTCTCGATTTCGCAGAATTCGAGGTCGGAGCAGTCTTTGCCCTTGAAGCCGCGCGTGCAAATGCAGCGGTAGTCGTTCCAGGTGTTCTCGCAGACGCCGTTGTGGAGGCAGGGGTTGATCTTGCAGGAGTCGTCGGAGCGGACGCCCTCGAGGACGGTTTGTTTGTCGAAGATGACTTCGCCGAAGGATGGCGGGATTTCGACCTCGTCGGCTTGGAGGGGGAAGAATTCGACGATCATGGTGGAGGAGCCGTTGTTTATCTGTCAATAAATTAATTGAGTGGTCTGGTCAGATTAAGTCAAGTCAGGTTTATAGTTGCCTTATTAATGTTAAACCAATATGAATCAAATTATTGTTACTACTTAGAGACAGTAGAATATAGTTACGCATTTATTAAAAAAACAATGTCTAAAAAGTAGCTCTAAATACAAAAGGGAGTAGAAAAATCACAAAAAATAGCTGTAATACTCGTAAATAAAATTACGTTGTTTAATGTCACTTCTTAATAAATATAACTTCGCCAAAACTTTAATCCAAGTATGAAATTTTTGACTTTTTCCAAATAGAATTTTTAACAAATTTTAAAAATTGCATTTTCAAACTGAATATCTCTAAAATCTTGATTCGAAACCACATTTTTCGAATCAGCACGCGGCGATCAATAATATCTCAGAATTTTTTGTGGATTTTTAGGCAAAAGCTCAATTTTTCAAAACTTTAGAAGCTTATAAAAATTTCCATTTTTTTTCGACCAACTTCAAAAATTACCTAAGAGCTACTTTCGGTCTCATTTTTTCAAAAGATCTCACCTTTTTGTCAGGTTCTAATGAAATATGACAATTTTCAGGATTAAAAAAGACTTTCAAACCGAATATATTAATCCTAAAATGTTACTCCAGGGTCTTAAACACGCTATATTTTCGGAATCAGTATTTTTGCGGATTTTTTGACTAGTTCAAAAGCTAAATTTTTCAATATTCCCCCCTTATGAAATTTTTCACGTTTGAGGTTTTCAAAAATTTGGCTTTGAACCCGAACATTTTGAAAATCACTCAGTTTTGCGATATGTAATTTTTGACCTTTGTGTACTCGAAAGTGCCTTTAAAATACATCAAAAGAGATTCTTTTGTTGATTCCGGATGTTTTTTGGCTTTTTTTTTGTATTGAACTCATCGAAAACTATTTCCCATAATTTTTTGTGGATTTTTAGGTAACTACGTCAAGGACTTAATTTTTCAATATGAAATGTTTTAACATTTTACCGAACACAGTCGAAAATTATCAAAATTTTTTCGTTCACTTCGACCTCCGGCAAATTTTTTCCCCTTGTTTTTTCGAAAATCCCAACAATTTTTCCAGAATCGTCAAAATGAAATGACAAATTCTGAGATATTAAAAAAATGAGTTTAAAGCCGATCTGTATTCTAGAATTGTTTGCGGAACTTTTACAAAATCTGAATTTTTCAAAACTCCTCCCTTATGAAAATTTCGACGTTTTTCGACCGTACCAAAATATTTTTTACTGATTTCGATCTCCAGGAATTTGTACGACTTAATTTCGTCGAAAATTACAAGCATTTTTCCAAAATCGCTGAAATCGAATATGAGCACTTTTGAAGTTTTTAAAAATTTTATTTTGGACCTGATCATTTTGAAAACCGCTTAGTTTTTAGATACGAAATTTTTTACCTTTTTGTAAATGCCTTTAAAATACACCAAAAGAGATTATTTCGTTGATTTCGGTCTCCGCATGTGTTTACGCTTAATTTCTACTAATTTTTCCAGAATCGCGAACACGATATGTAGAAATTAAAAAAAAAAAATTAAAATTCGAGTTTGAACCCGAACATTTCGAAAAACGCTATATTTTCAATACGAAATTTTTGACCTTTACCTCAAAAGAGATGTTCTCTTATCGATTTGGGCCTTCGCATAATTTTTGGATTGATTTTTACCCGAATATTTGGGAAATTTTAAAAATTTGACTTTGAAACCGAATATTTCGAAACGTTTTGACCTTTCTTTTTTTAGTTTAGTTTTAGAGGTTACTTTTTCTTCAAAAACTGCTTCCATTTTTCCATATTTGCCGAATGAAATTGGCAATTTTTAGGACTAAAAAAATGTTGAATTTCAAACCGATTATCTCGAAAATTTTGGTGTGAGACCAAAACGTGTTTCTTTTTTTTTTGTATTTAACTGTTGAAACCTATCTTCACATATTTTTTGTCAATTTGTAGGCAACAAAATTTTTGGCACTTTTCCGAGTACTTTCGAAGTACCTACATCAAAAGAGATTTTTTTTTATTCCGCCTCCCAATGTTATTTGGCTTAATTTCTTTGAAGATTTCTACTATATTTTCCAGAATCAGTAAAATGAAGTGTGGAAACTTTTGGTAAATTTAAAAAATTTGTCTTTGCAACCGACTATTTCGAAAAATTTATACCTCTTTTCCACCACCTTCGAAAATTACCTAAAAATATTTTTTTATTAGATTTCGATCTCCAGAAGTTACTTTTGGCCGCATTTTTTCAAAAACTGCTTCCACTTTTCAAGATTTATCCAATGAAATTGGCAATTTTTAGGATTAAAAAAAATTACTTTGAAACCGAGTATTTCGGAAAACTTGTTGTGAGACCATTACAAGCTCAACTTTTCAATATGAAATTTTTGACATTTTCATTGTACTTACAAAATACATATATTAAAAAAATATTTTGTAAATTTCGTCTTCCAAATGATATTTGACTAATTTTCTTCGAAAATTTCGACAATTTTTTTCAAAATTTCCAAAATGAAATGTAGAAATTTTTGAAAATTGAAACTCCATCACCTTCGAAAAGTACCTAGAGACTTTTCTATAGATCTCCAGACGTTACTTTTGACAACATTTCTTTAAATACCGCTACCACTTCTCCAGAATCGTCCATTGAAATATGCCCAGATATTCAAAAAAAAAAAACTTAACTTTGAAACCGATCTATATTCCAGAATATTTTGTGGAACTTTTTCAAAAGCACAATTTTTAAAACTCCCCTTTGGAGATTTTTTTTTTCGATCGCCATCGAAAATTACCACAATATTTTTTATTGATTTCGATCTCCAGAAATTTGTATGACTTAATTTCTTCGAAACTTAAAACCATTTTTCCAAAATTGTCGAAATGAACTATGACCAGTTTTGAGGTTTTTAAAAATTTGGCTTTGAACCCGAACATTTTGAAAATCACTCAGTTTTGCGATATGTAATTTTTGACCTTTGTGTACTCGTAAGTGCCTTTAAAATACATCAAAAAAGATTCTTTTGTTGATTCCGGATGTTTTTTGGGTGTTTTTTCGAAAATTTCGACTATTTTCGTCAGAGCCAAAATGAAATGTAAAAATTTGTGTGAAAAAAAAAAGTGAAATCGAAGGTTTCTAAATTCTTGGTACGGGACGCATTTGTTTTTTTTTTGTATTGAACTCATCGAAAACTATTTCCCAAAATTTTTTGTTGATTTTCAGGTAACTACGTCAAGGACTTAATTTTTCAATATGAAATGTTTCAACATTTTACCGAACACAGTCCAAAATTATCACAATTTTTTTCGTTCATTTCGACCTCCGGAAATTTTTTATCGCTTGTTTTTTCGAAAATCCCAACAATTTTTCCAGAATCGCCAAAATGAAATGACAAATTCTGAGATATTAAAAAAATGAGTTTTGTAGGAACAACCGTTCCCACAAAATCAGGTGTTCTACCTGAGGGCATTCGTAATATTTGTATAAATGTAAATATTTCCTATCCTTCGTTTACCTGTCCTACACTTCTTCATACTTTCTCTTTTCGCTTCTGGAACTTTCTAAACCCTTCTTTACCTACTTCCACCTCTTCAAATCCGAGCTTACCTGTGTACCATTTTAAACACCCTTCCTTCTTTTCTCCCTGACACCCTCGAACAGTAAGCAACGAAATAAAATCTTAAAACCGTACCGTCGCTTTTAAATCACCAACAATACCCACAGTTTAAAGCCGATCTATATTTCAGAATTTTTTGTGGAACTTTTTCAAAAGCTCAATTTTTCAAAAATCCCCCCTTATGAAAATTTTGACTTTTTTCGACCACCTTCGAAAATTGCAATCAGTTTTCCAAAATCGCCAAAATGAAATGGAACCAATTTCGAGGTTTTTAGAAATTTTACTTTGACTCGAACATTTTGGAAACCTCTCAATTTTTCGGTACGAAATTTTTGGAAAATTTGAAAAATTTAACTTTGAAACCGAATATCTTGAAAAATTTCGATCTTTTTTCCATCGCCTGCGAAAATTACCTATATATTTTTTATAGATCTCCAACATTTTGACATTTCTTCAAAAACCGCTCCGGAAGTTGTTTTTGGCTTGATTTTTCAAAAATCCCAACAATTTTTCCAAAATCGCCAAAATGAAATGACAATTGTGCTAGATTTAAAAAAATTGACTTTGAGGCCGATCTATATTCCAGAATTTTTTGTGCAACTTTTTCAAAAGCTCAATTTTTCAAAAATCCTTTATGAAAATTTTGACTTTTTCCGACCACCTTCGAAAGTTACTAAAAATATTTTTTGATTTCGACCTCCAGAAATTTGTACGAATTAACCTCTTCGAAATATGACCAATTTTGAGGTTTTTTAAAACTTGGCTTTGGACATTTTGAAAACCGCTCAGTTTTTCAATTCGAAATTTTTGACCTTTTTGTGTGTGCCTTCAAAATACACCAGAAGAGATTCTTTTGTTGATTTCGGTCTCCGGATTTTTTCCAAATCGCCAAAACGAAATGTAGACCTTTTTGGGAAATATCTGACTTTCAGAAATTTCATATTACGAAAATCTAATAAGACATTTTTGACTTTAGTCGAACACTGTCCAAAGTAACCAAATTTTTTTTTTAAATTACAACCATTTTTCCAAATTTTCCATTTTGAGATATTTAAAAATTCTACTTTGAACCCGAATATTTCGAAAACCGCTATGTATTTTTCAATACGAAGTTTTTGTCTTTTTCCAAAGTGCCTTTGAAATACGCCAAGAGATCTTTTCCCGGATATTTTTGGATTGATTTCTACCACAACTTCAACCATTTTTTCCAGAATTTCCAAAATCAAATATCAGAATTTTTGGAAAATTTCAAAAGTTTGACTTCGAAATCGAATATTTCGAAATTTTTTAACAGATTTCGATTTCCAGAAGTTACTTTTGTCCTCAGTTCTTCAAAAACTGCTTCCACTTTTCCAGATTTGTCCGAAGAAATTGGCAATTTTGACTTTGGACTATTTCAAAAATCTTGGTGTGAGACCATCAACGAATTTTTTTTTTTTTTGTATTCAGTTATCGAAATCTAACTTCAAGAATTGTTGGTGAATTTGCATGCAACTTCGTCAAAAGCTCAATTTTTCAACCTGAAATTTTTGACATTTTTCCGAATACCTTGGAAATACATCAAAAAAGAATATTTTATAAATTTCGCAGTCCAAATGTTATTTGGGTTAATTTCTTTGAAAATTTATACCACATTTTCCAGAATCGGTAAAATGAAATGTGGAAAATTTCGGTTAATTTTAAAAATTTGTCTTTGAACCGACTACATATTTCGAAAAATGTTTACTTTTTTCCGCTACCTTCAAAAATTTCCTACAGAGATCTTTTTTAAAGACTTTGATCTCCAGAAGCTACTTTTGGCCTCAGTTCTTCAAAAACTGCTTCCAGTTTTCCAGATTTGTCTGAAGAAATTGGCAATTTTGACTTTGGACTATTTCAAAAATCTTGGTGTGACACCATCAACGTATTTTTTTTGTATTCAGCTATCGAAATCTAGTTTCAAGAATTTTTTGTGAATTTGCATGCAACTTCGTCAAAAGCTCAATTTTTCAACATGCAATTTTTGACATTTTTCCGAATACCTTGGAAATACATTAAAAAAAGATTATTTTATAAATTTCGCCGTCCAAATGTTATTTGGGTTAATTTCTTTGAAAATTTATACCACATTTTCCAGAATCGGTAAAATGAAATGTGGAAAATTTCGGTAAATTTTAAAAATTTGTCTTTGAACCGACTACATATTTCGAAAAATGTTTACTTTTTTCCGCTACCTTCAAAAATTACCTACAGAGATCTTTTTTAAAGATTTTGATCTCCAGAAGCTAGTTTTGGCCTCAGTTCTTCAAAAACTGCTTCCAGTTTTCCAGATTTGTCCAAAGAAATTGGCAATTTTGACTTTAGACTATTTAAAAAAACTCGGTGTGAGACCTCAACGTGTTTATTTTTTTTTTTTTTTTATTCAGCCATCGAAATCTAGCTTCAAGAATTCTTTGTAAATTTACATGCAACTTCGTCAAAAGCTCAATTTTTCAACATGAAATTTTTGACATTTTCCGAATACCTTGAAAATACATAAAAAAAAGACTATTTTATAAATTTCGCCGTCCAAACGTTACTTGGGTTAATTTCTTTGAAAATGTATACCACATTTTCCAAAATCGGTAAAATGAAATGTGGAAAATTTCGGTAAATTTTAAAAATTTGTCTTTGGACCGACTACATATTTCGAAAAATGTTTATTTTTTTCCGCTACCTTCAAAAATTACCTACAGAGATCTTTTTTTAAAGATTTTGATCTCTAGAAGCTACTTTTGGCATTAGTTCTTCAAAAACTGCTTCCAGTTTTCCAGATTTGTCTGAAGAAATTGGCAATTTTGACTTTGGACTATTTCAAAAATCTTGGTGTGAGACCATCAACGTATGTTTTTTTGTATTCAGCTATCGAAATCTAGCTTCAAGAATTTTTTGTGAATTTGCATGCAACTTCGTCAAAAGCTCAATTTTTCAACATGAAATTTTTGACATTTTTCCGCATACCTTGGAAATACATTAAAAAAGATTATTTTATAAATTTCGCCGTCCAAATGTTATTTGGGTTAATTTCTTTGAAAATTTATACCACATTTTCCAGAATCGGTAAAATGAACTATGGAAAATTTCGGTAAATTTTAAAAATTTGTCTTTGAACCGACTACATATTTCGAAAAATGTTTATTTTTTTCCGCTACCTTCAAAAATTACCTACAGAGATCTTTTTTTAAAGATTTTGATCTCTAGAAGCTACTTTTGGCATTAGTTCTTCAAAAACTGCTTCCAGTTTTCCAGATTTGTCTGAAGAAATTGGCAATTTTGACTTTGGACTATTTCAAAAATCTTGGTGTGACACCATCAACGTATTTTTTTTGTATTCAGCTATCGAAATCTAGTTTCAAGAATTTTTTGTGAATTTGCATGCAACTTCGTCAAAAGCTCAATTTTTCAACATGGAATTTTTGACGTTTTTCCGATTACCTTGGAAATACATTAAAAAATAATATTTTATAAATTTCGCCATTCAAATGTTATTTGTGTTAATTTCTTTGAAAATTTATACCACATTTTCCAGAATCGATAAAATGGAATGTGGAAAATTTTGGTAAATTTTAAAAATTTGTCTTTGAACCGACTACATATTTCGAAAAATGTTTACTCTTTTCCGCTACCTTCAAAAATTACCTACAGAGATCTTTTTTAAAGACTTTGATCTCCAGAAGCTACTTTTGGCCTCAGTTCTTCAAAAACTGCTTCCAGTTTTCCAGATTTGTCTGAGGAAATTGGCAATTTTGACTTCGGACTATTTCAAAAATCTTGGTGTGAGACTATCAACGTAATTTTTTTTGTATTCAGCTATCGAAATCTAGCTTCAAGAATTTTTTGTGAATTTGCATGCAACTTCGTCAAAAGCTCAATTTTTCAACATGAAATTTTTGACATTTTTCAGAATACCCTGGAAATACATTAAAAAAGATTATTTTATAAATTTCGCCGTCCAAATGTTATTTGGGTTCATTTCTTTGAAAATTTATACCACATTTTCCAGAATCGGTAAAATGAAATGTGGAAAATTTCGGTAAACTTTAAAAATTTGTCTTTGAACCGACTGCATATTTCGAAAAATGTTTACTTTTTCCGCTACCTTCAAAAATTACCTACAGAGATCTTTTTTAAAGTATTTGATCTCCAGAAACTACTTTTGGCCTCAGTTCTTCAAAAACTGCTTCCAGTTTTCCAGGTTTGTCTGAAGAAATTGGCAATTTTGACTTTGGACTATTTCAAAAAACTCGGTGTGAGACCTCAACGTGTTTATTTTTTTTTTTTTTTGTATTCAGCCATCGAAATCTAGCTTCAAGAATTCTTTGTAAATTTACATGCAACTTCGTCAAAAGCTCAATTTTTCAACATGAAATTTTTGACATTTTTCCGAATACCTTGAAAATAAATCAAAAAAGATTATTTTATAAATTTCGCCGTCCAAACGTTACTTGGGTTAATTTCTTTGAAAATTTATACATTTTCCAGAATCGGTAAATGAAATGTGGAAAATTTCGGTAAATTTTAAAAATTTGTCTTTGAAGCGACTACATATTTCGAAAAATGTTTACTTTTTACCGCTATCTTCAAAAATTACCTGCAGAGATCTTTTTTTAAAGATTTTGATCTCCAGAAGCTACTTTTGGCCTCAGTTCTTCAAAAACTGCTTCCAGTTTTCCAGATTTGTCTGAAGAAATTGGCAATTTTGACTTTGGACTATTTCAAAAATCTTGGTGTGAGACCATCAACGTATTTTTTTTTTTTTGTATTCAGCTATCGAATCTAGCTTCAAGAATTTTTTGTAAATTTACATGCAACCTCGTCAAAAGCTCAATTTTTCAACATGAAATTTTTGACATTTTTCCGCATACCTTGGAAATACATTTAAAAAGATTATTTTATAAATTTCGCCGACCAAATGTTATTTGGGTTAATGTCTTTGAAAATTTATACCACATTTTCCAGAATCGGTAAAATGAAATGTGGAAATTTTTTTAAAAATTTTACTTTAAAACTTAACCTGTCGAAAACCGTCCAATTTTTCAATATGAAACTTTTCACCGTTTTCTGAAGACCAAGATATTCTTTTATTAATTTCGACCTCCGGATGTTTTTCGGCTTGATTTCTTGGAAAATGCTACCATTTTATCCAGAATCGCCAAAACTTTGGAAACTTTGGAATGTTATAAAAATTTGACTTTGAAACCGAATAAACATTTAGAAAATCTTGATGCATCATCGCGATGTTCTTTGATTGAGTTCGTCAAAATCTATATACCAAAAATTTTTTCGGTATTTTTCGCAACTCGCCAAAAATTCAATTTTTCAATTCTCTCGTACGAAATTTTTGACCTCTGCCCGAACACAGTCGAAAATTATCAAACATTTTTTCATTAATTTCGACCTCCACAAGTTTTTTACAGCTTCATTTTTCGAAAATCCCAAAAATTTTTCCAGAATCGCCAAAACGAAATGAAAAATTTTGAGATATTTAAAAAATTTGACCGTGAACCTGAATTTTAACATTGTAACATCTAGGAGAACTCGTATAACTGCGGACGACAAAAAAAAAGTAGTAATTGTTATTGGCAATGGGCATCACTTCCGCGATTCCGAAGTGTGGTTATTACAGACTAGTAAATATTGGATTTCTATCAGTTCAACAATAACGATTTAATTTAAACTTTTATGGCAACTAAACTACTAACTCGAGCTACGTTACCTGCACATCCTGAATAATCCCCTTAAAGTGAACATTACTCTGCGACGTCGCCGTAACGGCAGACGTAGTCGGAGTAATAGGGTCAATATTAGCAAAATTATCATTGGCTTGTCGCACTGGTCTGGTCTGTGGCGGCCCTCCCAGAAACAAAACTTGAGCATCCAGAGTCCCTGTAGCCGATATAGTCTTCCGAAAATATTCCGTCCCGTTCAATTTAACTTGAACCAAAGTAACATTCCTGATAACCTATGCAACAAATAATAAATCAACACCACCAGTTTCGACACCACTAACACACTAACCTCAATTAAGTGATCAAACCCATTGTCCAACTTCACCCCACCCACTGTATACGCTTCAGGTGTCCCATTGAACTGTATCCTCACCAACAACTCCCCACTGCCCAATTCTGCGGCAATATAAGTCTCGTCTGCCGGATTTTTGCTTTTGGGTGAAGTCCCGAGATAGAAAATTTGTCCGACGGGTTGCCTAGTCCGAATAAACATACTTATATCGACTATTGTACGCACGGCCCGCTTGGCGGCGCTGTCAACATAAACCATAACCAACGAATTGGTTATATTTTCGTACCCGAAAGTGGCAGCTGTGTAATCTACAAAAAACGAATTAGAACGAAAACCGTGACCGGTATATAACGCACTGTATTGACAGGTGTGTCCTAGGTATGGTCTGCCACAAGTGCAGCGAAAATCTAGCCACAAATCCGTGCAGTGACCCCCTGAGTGGCACGGATTAGGTTTACACTGCTCTTGTCGTTGACAGCTTACTTCGACGTGCTCGTATTTGACGGTACTCACGTCTTGATCCTGCGGCAAAATCCACTCCCCGTTGATTAGTATGTCTTCAGCGCAACCTACTAACGGTGACCCATGTGTCAACTTCTTCAGGTTGTTGGGGGACCCCCCGATGTACGTCTCCGGGAAACTGGTGTACGTCGTACCGTTCGAAATTTCGTTGAAACTAATCGGATAAATAGTTTGCTCGTCATTTGCCGACAAAACTAAGTGTGTCGAGTTAATTGCGACAAAAACCCTCTGCCAATTACTATCGTTCAAGTTCGACCCTATAAACACCCCCTCCCACTTATTCAACAGACTCGAGTGTAAATTCAGCCTCCCTTTGGACAACTCGAGAATGTAGTACGTCAAACCCTTCCCTAACGCCAACAACCCATCCCCTAAAGTCGTCTTAAACCGGAACTGGATATCATACCCCTCCTCCCTCGCCGTATTATTAATCGTAATCAACGACTTCCCGTTCAACGACATCGTCGTTATTTTCTCACACGTGTGTCCGTGGAAGCCGTGAGGACACGAACAGTTGAACCTGTGTATGTTCTCGTTTATTAAGTACGGCTTACACGTGCCGTTGTTCAAGCACGGGTTGTCCTCGCAGCCGGTGAGCTCCACCGAGCAGTTCTTGCCGCCGTAGTTCGAGTCGCAGTCGCAGTAGTACGACGCTCGTTTGTCCACGCATTTGCCGTGGATGCACGGGCGGTAGCGTTCGCACTCGTCGATGTCGATGTCGCAGCGCTCGCCCTCGAAGCCCTCGTCGCAGTCGCACTGGTAGCCGCCGATTTTGTCGACGCAGGTTCCTTGGAAGCAGGGGGAGCTCTCGCACTCGTTGATGTCGATCTCGCAGTTCTCGCCGGTGACGCCCTCGACGCAGAGGCACTCGTAGCCGGAGGCTAAGTCGTAGGTGAACGGCGTGCTGAAGATGTGGGGGAGGTTGCGGTCGGTGACGCCGGGTTGGTAGAGGGTGGTGTTGGAGCGCTCGAGGCAGGTGCCGTTGTACTTGCAGGGGCTGCTGTCGCATTCGTTGATGTCTTGTTCGCAGTTTTTGCCTGAATAGCTTGAGTGTGAATTGGGTTTTTTTCGACGATAAATCTTTAAATTGATTATGAAAATATACACCGGGTGACTATTAGTGATTGTGATTTTTTGCCTTAGGTTGGTAACAAAGTTAAATTTGTATGATGGCATATCTGACTGTCAAAATGAAATTTAGAACACCAAATTATTGTCTCATTGACGACTGTGAACTGATATGGTAACTTGCTGTCAATAATTCAGAATTACCAACACAAACATTTGCTTCAATCATTAATAAATAGTCACCCGGTATACGTAGTCTGAGTATCTTTTTAATTTGTTAAAGGATTTTTCCGTTTTCGCAATTTCTGCTTTTCAACTTTATAATTTTTCATTTATTTTAACTTTGAATTTTGGATGTCAATTTTTTAATTTTTCAATTTTTAAATTTTCGATTTGTCAATTTTTCGTAGAAACAAAAATCGAGAAATTGAAAAATTAAAAATCTAAAATTGAAAACTTTGAAAATAAAAAAAATCTAATATAGAAAAGTTGAAAAATTGGTCAATTTTAAGTTCAAGAATTCGAAAAATAGACCAAGTGAAAAATCAAAAAATTGAAAATTAAAAATCAAGAATCTGAAAAATTTAGCAATTGCAAGATTGTAAAACTGAAAATGGTAAAACAGAAAAGTTGAAAACTGAAAAAACTCAAAAATTTAACCAAAAATTGGAAAATTGAGTCTAAAAATTGAAAAATCCTAAAACTAAAAAAAAGAGGAATTGAAAAATAAAGATATGGAAAATTTGACAAATTGAAAAATCGGATAATAAAAAATCTAAAAATTGTAGAATCGTAAAATTGAGAAGAAAAACTGAAGTCTAAATATTGAAAAATCGAGAATTTGCAAAATCGTGAAATTAAAAATTAAAAAATGGAATAATTGAAAAATCTAAAAATTAAAAATCGAGAAACTAGATCGAAAAAGGGGAAAAACTAAAAATTGTGAAATCAAAAAATGCAAAATCAAGAAACTGAAAAAATCAATACATTGAAAAATTTAGAAATCGGAAAACTTAAAATTGAATTGAAAAATTGAAAAATCAAAAAATTGCAAAATCGGCAAAACTCAAACCGAAAGAATATAAAAACATTAAAATATCCAAAAATTCAAAAATCCAAAAAATTAAAATTGAAAACTTAAAATTGCCAACCGAAAAACTGAGAAATCATAAAATCTAAAAATTGGAAGAAATTGGTGCCATTTAAATAAAAACTCACCGGAAAATAATTGAAAATTATAGAAACCTAGGAACTGCAAAATCCAAAATTGAAAAAAACGCAAACTTTAAATTTCTAAAAATTGATAAATTGAACAATTCAAAAACGGAAAAATTTTAAAAATTAAATTTGAAAACTCGAAAAACGGAAAATCGAAATATTGTAAAATTGAAAAACTACAACACTGAAATGTTGAAAAATCAAATATCGAAAAATGGAATAGTCCAAATATCGAAAAATAGTAAAATTGACAAATCGAATAATTAAATAATGAAGACTAAATCAAAAAATGCAAAATCAAGAAACTGAAAAAATCAATACATTGAAAAATTTAGAAATCGGAAAAGTTAAAATTGAACTGAAAAATTGAAAAATCAAAAAATTGCAAAATCGGCAAAACTCAAAAACCGAAAGAACAAAGAAAAACATTAAAATATCCAAAAATTCAAAAATACAAAAAATTTAAATTGAAAATTTAAAATTGCCAACCTAAAAACTAAGAAATCATAAAATCTAAAAATTGGAAGAAATTGGTGCCATTTAAATAAAAACTCACCGGAAAATAACTGAAAATTATAAAAACCTAGGAACTGCAAAATCCAAAATTGAAAAAAACGCAAATTTTAAATTTCTAAAAATTGATAAATTGAACAATTCAAAAATGGAAAAATTTTAAAAATTAAATTTGAAAACTCGAAAAACTAGGAAAATCGAAATATTGTAAAATTGAAAAACTACAACACTGAAATGCTGAAAGATCTAATATCGAAAAATGGAATAGTCCAAATATCGAAAAATAGTAAAATTGAAAAATCGAAGAATTAAATAATAAAGACTAAATATAAATACTGAAAAAGTTGAAACATGAAAAACTGAAACATTTTAAAATTGAAAAACCAAATAATTAAAAAATTTTAAAATTGAAAAATCGTAAAATAAAAAAAAAAGAAAAATTGAAAAATCACAAAATCCTAAAATTAAAAAAACGAAAATTCCAAAAATCGAATAATTGAAGAATTGAAGTTTGAAAACTACAAAAATTAAAAATCAAGAAACTGAAAAATCGAAAAAATGAAAAATCAAATTATTGGAAAATTAAGTATAAATATTCAAAAATAAAGAATTTGTAAAATCGTGAAATTAAGAAACAAAAAATTCAAGAATCGAGTAAATGGAAAATTTTAAGTTTGAAAACTCAAAAATCTAAAAATGAAAGAAACAATTTGGCAAATCTAAACATTAAAAAATCGAGCAACTGAAAAATTTAAGTTTGAAAATTAAAAAAAATTAAAGACGCGGAAAAATGAAAAAGCTAAAAATTGAAAAATCGGATAATAAAAATCTAAAAATTATAAATTCGTTGAATTGAAAACCGAAAAACGTAAGTCTAAATATTGAAAAAACGAGAATTTGCAAAATCGTGGAATTAAAAATTAAAAAATGGAAAAATAGAAAAATTGTGCAATCAAAAAATTAAAAATCAAAATACTGAAAAAAATCGAGACATTGAAAAATTCAGAAATTGGAAAAGTTAAAATTGAACTAAAAAATTGAAAAATCGGCAAACTGAAAAACCGAAAAATCGTAAAATCTAAAAACTCAAGAATGTTTAAACATTCAAAAATTGGTTCCAATTAAAAACTCAGGGGAAAATAATTCAAAATTATTGTTTTAATCAATTTGTTTTTTGTTTTTGAAAAAAAAAACAATAACAAAAACCCAGGAATTACAAAATCAAAAATACGAAAAACTCAAACTTTGAATTTCGAAAAATTGAAAAACTGAACAATTCAAAAATGGAAAAATTGAAAAAATTAAAACTGAAAACACCAAACATACTCGACGAAGAGCCGTGAATTTTTTTTATCCAATCTCGTCTTCAAGGAGTGGAATTCTTTACAACCTACCCTAGTCGCCGCACCCACTGCAAGCATCTTCAAAAAAGGAATCAACTCTGTTAACTTTAATGTTTAGTTTAATTTGTATAGAGTACCCATAGGATTTTTTTTTCCTCTACTCTGTAATTTCTCTGTTAAATAAAAAAAAATAACAAAAAAAACTCGAAAAATGGAAAACTAAGAAAATCTAAATATTGTCAAATTGAAAAACTACAACATTGAAATGCTGAAAAACCAAAAATCGAAAAATGGAATGATCGAAAGATCGAAAAATTGTTAAATTGTAAAATGGAACATGAGAAATATAAAAACTGAAAAATAACGACTAAAATTTAAAAATCGAATAATTAAATAATAAAAGTCCAAATATTGAAAACTTTAAAACATGAAAATCGAGCAATTGAAAGAAAAACCTAGAAATTAAGACAGAAAAATTGAAAATTTACAAAATTTTAAAATATAAAATTACCAATCAAACTGAAAAATGAGAAAACCTAAAAATTGAAAAATCGTAAAATAAAAAAACAAAAATTGAAAAATTCACAAAGTGAAAAATTAAGTGTGCAAATTCGAAAAATTGTGGAAACAAAAAATTGAAAAATCTCCAAAATCGTAAAATTAAAAAAATTAAAATTCCAAAAATCGAATAATTGAACAATTGAAGTTTGAAAACTACAAAAATTAAAAATCAAGAAACTGAAAAATCGAAAAAATGAAAAAAAAAACACTAAAATTAAAATACATAAATATAGAAAAATTTTAGAATTCAAAAATGGAACAATTTTAAAATTTAAAAGTAAAAAGTTGCGGCATAATAAAATTGGAATATCGAAATTTGAAATCAAAAAATTGAAAAATTAAGTCTACACATCGAAAAATCGGAAAAACTGTGAAGTTAAAAAATTAAAAGTCAAGAAACTGGAAAATCCCTAAAAACTGAAAAATAAACCTAAAAACTAAAATATACATATAATCGGAAAATTGAAAAACTCAAAAAGTAAAAAACAAAAAATTGCAAAATTAAAACTGAAAACGGAAAAATAAAAAAATTGGAAAACAAGTATAAATATTTAAAAATTCTTAAACTAAAAACAGAAAAATTTTAAAATAAAAAATGGAAGAAACGGAAAACTGAAAAATGTAGAAAAATAAAAAAAATTGCTGAAAAGTTGAAAACTGAAAAATCCGAAAATTGAAAAATCAAGTCTGAATATTGAAAAATCTAAAAAAATAAGTTTTAAAATTCGAAATACTGAGGAAATAAAACGAAAAATGTAACCATTAAAAATCGGCGAAAAATTCAAGTTCGAAAATCCCAAAAATTTGGAAGCTAAAAAAATTAAGTTTTGAAAATTCGAAGAACTGATCAAACGAGAAACTGAAAAATCTCAAAATTGAAAAATCGAACAATAAAAAAATTCAAGTCAAAAAACTGAAAAATTAAAATATTGGAAAATTAGCTATAAATATTGAAAAAGCGAGAAATTTCAAAACCGAAAATTGAAAATAAATAATTGAAAACTTTTAAGTTTGAAAACTCAAAACACTGAAGGAACCGAAAACTGAAAAATCGAAAAATTGAAAAATTAAGTCTACATATTGAAAAATCGAAAAATTCAAGTTCGAAAATTCGAAAAATTGACGAAACAATTTTAGAAATCTAAACCTTAAAAATCGAGAAACTGAAAAATCTAAAAATTAGAAAATTAAGTCTAAATATTGAAAAATCGAGAATTTCCAAAACTGTGAATTTAAAAAACGAAAAATCCAAAAATCGAATAATTGATAAAGTAAAAAATTCGAAAAACTGAAAAAACGAAAGATTGAAAAACCCAAAAATTACAAACCGAAAAACTGAAGAACCTTAAAAAATTTAAAAATTGATACCAACTAAAAACTCACGGGAAAATAATTCAATATTATTGTTTTAATAAATTTGTTTTTTTTTAACCGAGGAACTGCAAAATCCAGAATTGCAAAAAAACGCTAATTTAAATTTCTAAAAGTTCTAAAATTAAAAAAATTAAATAGTGTAAAATCGAAAAACTACAACATTGAAAAACTGAAAAATCAGAAATCGAGTAATTGAATAAGTCTAAATATTAAAAAAATTAAAAATTGCAAAATCACGAAATTCAAAAACGAAAAATTCAAAAATTGAAAACCTAGAAATTAAGACATAAAAATAGAAAATTTTAGAAGTGAGAAACCAAAAAATTGAAAAATTTTCTCCAATTGTTCAAAGTTTGAAAACTCCAAAAATTAAAAATAAAGAAACTGAAAAATCTAAAAAAAAAAACAGAAAATAAAATACAGAAATATCGAAAAATTTTAAAACGAAAAATCGAAAAATTTAAAGTTGAAAAATTAAAAACCAAGAAACTGAAAAATCGAAAAAATTAAAAAAAAACACCAAGATCAAAATATATAAAAATCGAAAAATTTTAAAAATGAAAAATCCAACAATTGTAAAATTTAAAAATAAAAAGTTGCGGCATAATAAAATTGGAATATCGAAAATTAAAAAGTCAAAAAACTGAAAAATTAAGTCTACACATCGAAAAATCGGAAAAATGCATAAACGTAACATTACAAAAAAGAAGAAAAATTGAAAATTCTAAAAATTAAAAACGGAGAAAACGAAAAATCGAAAAACTGTAAAGTTAAAGAATTAAAAGTCAAGAATCTGGAAAATCCCTAAAAACTCAAAAAGTTAAAATCTAAAAATTGTAAAATCGTAAAACTGAAAACGGAAAAATCGAAAAATTGGAAAACCAAGTTTAAAAATTGAAAAACCCTAAAACTAAAAACAGAAAAATTTTAAAATAAAAAATGGAAGAAACGGAAAACTGAAAAATCTAGGAACTGCAAATTTAAAAAATCGGACAATTAAAAAAACAAAATTTTGCATTATCATAAAGTTGAAAACAGAAAAATCCGAAAATTGAAAAATTAAGTCTGAATATTGAAAAATCTAAAAATTTAAGTTCAAAAATTCCAAAAGGGACACAATTGGAAAAATCTACACATTAAAAATCGAGAAACTAAAAAATTTAAGTTTTAAAATTCGAAAAATTGATCAAACGGGAAACTGAAAAATATAAAAATTGAAAGATCGAACTGAAAAATCAAAATATTCGAAAATTAATTATAAATACTGAAAAATCGAGAAATTTCAAAATCGAAAAATTAAATTATTGTATTAATTGAAACATTTTAAGTTTGAAAAAACTGTAGAAACGGAAAACTGAAAAATCTAAAAATTGAAAAATCGAAAGATTAAAGAAACAATTTGAAAAATTCAAACATGAAAAATCGAGAATCTGAAAAATTTAAGTCTGAAAATTCAAAAAATTGAAGAAACGGAAAACTAAAAAATCAAAAAATTGATAAATCGTACAATAAATAATCTAAAAATTGTAAAATCGTAAAATTGAAAAGTTGAAAGATTGAAAAATCTAAATATTGGAAAATTACGTCCAAATATTGAAAAATCGAGATTTTGTAAAACTGTGAAATTAAAAAATGAAAAAAACTCAAAAATTGCAAACCGAAAAACTGAGATATCGTAAAATCTAAAAACTGAAGAATCTTAAAAAATTTAAAAATTGGTACCAACTAAAAACTTACCGGAAAATAATTCAATATTACAGTTTTAATAAATTTGTTTTTTTTTTGAAAAAGCGAAAAAATATAAAAACCGAGGAACTGCAAAATCTAAAATTGAAAAACGCAAACTTAAATTTCTAAAAGTTGAAAAATGAAAAAAATTTAAATTGAAAAACTGACAAATCAGAATAGAACAATTGAGAAATAAAATGATAATTATTGAAAAATCGAATATTTGAAGTCTAAATATTGAAAAAATGAAAAATTGCAAAATCACGAAATTCAAAAATTGAAAACCTAGAAATAAAGACGTAAAAATCGAAACAATAGAAAAATTTTAGAAGTGATAAACCAAAGAATTGACAAATTAAAAAAAAAACAGAAAATAAAATACATAAATATCGAAAAATTTTAAAATTGAAAACCGAATAAATGGAAATTTTAAAAATAAAAGTTGCGGGATAATAAAACTGAAATATCGAAAATGAAAAGTCGAAAAATTGCAAAATCTAAGAACTGAAAAATTAAGTCTAAATATCGAAAAACTGCATAATCGTGAATTGAAAAAAAAAAGAAAAAACCTCGAATTTAAGAGATAAAAATCCAAACAATAGAAAAATTTTAGAATTGAAAAATCAAAGAACTGAAAAATGTTTAAATTGAAAAATATAAAATTGCCAATCATAATCTGAAAAATCGAAAACCGAAAAATCTAAAAATGTCGAAATTAAAAAATGGGACAAATATGGAACCTAAGAATTGAAAAATCTAAAAATTAAAAAAGGAGAAAACGAAAAATCGAAAAATTGTCAAGAAACTGAAAAGTAAAACTAAAAAACACAACAATTATTTTACAACACTAAAATTGTAAAATAAAAAAAAATGCAAAAATTAAAAAAACGGAAAATTAAAATTTCCAAAAATTGAGAAATCGAAAAATTTTTAATTAAACAATCCAAAAATGTAAAGAAGTAGAAAAATCGAACAATTGAAATAAAGCATATTAATATATTTTTTTTTAAGTAACTAGTATATCGTAATAATTAATCTATGTATTTTACTCTCCACAATTTAAATACCTGCATATCCTGGATAACAAGTACACTGGTAATCCTTGACAAGATCCACACAGTCGGCGCCATTTTCACACGGACTCCCCACACAATCGTCGATATTCATCTCACAGTGTATTCCCATATAGCCCGTATCTGTACAATTACAGGTGTAGCTATTCAGGCCATCAATGCACTCGGCACCATTTAAACATGGCGATGACTAAAAAATCCACCAATTAGTAGTTACAATATTTCCAAGTAAAACGTGGAGGCAGCAGACGAGGGAAAACGATTTAAAAATAAAAAATTAAAGTTCTATAACACAACATTTCTACCGGACACGGTCATAAACGGACAACAACACCGAAATCGCTCTCCCTCTTCGCACTACCAACCCGTAATAACCAAATTACCGCACAATCGTCGATGTTAATATCACAAATCTTCCCAGTGAGTCCCGGTAGACAAATACAAGTGAACTGGTTAATCCCGTCGATGCAGGTAGACCCAGACGTGCAAGGCATAGGTTCGCATTCATTTATGTTAAAGGAGCAATCCTTGCCTTCGTACCCCGGTGGACACACACATTCATAGTTATTGATTTTATTTAAACAAGTAGCATCATTTTGACACGGCATGGACAAACACTCGTCAAAATCCAAATTACACCGTTCCCCTGTATACCCCGGACGACAATAACACTGAAAACTACCCACGGTATTCTGACAAATACCCTCATTACAAATCCCTGGTCGATCCTGACACTCGTCAACATCCATATGACACCTGTCACCTACAAAAAAAAGCGCCATCTAGTTGTCGATTTACCCCTCTTTAACTCAACTCACCCGTGAAATTGTTCGGGCACAGACACACAAACCCGTGTGTGTGATCCGTCATCATTTCGCAAATCCCGCCATTCAGGCAAGGCTCCTTAGAGCACGGATCTGCGTCCAGCGTACAGTTGTCTCCTGTGTACCCCACCGGGCACCTGCACTCATAATGATTAACCAAATCGACGCAAACCTGCCCCGACTGACACCTAACCCCCACGCAATCGTCAATGTTAACCTCGCAATGGGTCCCCGTGAAGCCCGTCTGGCAGTTGCAAGTAAAGTCATGCTTGTTTGGGGACGTTATACACGAGGCATTGTTAAAGCAGGGCTCCAGTTCGCAAGCGTCATACGGGATATCGCAAAACGTGCCCATCCACTGTTCCGTGCAGTTGCAGGTGATTCCGTTGGGTTGTTCGATGCATGCGCCGCCATTCAGGCAAGGCTGCGAAATGCAATTGTCGGATTTCGTTTCGCATTGCTTACCTGAAATGGAGCGAGGGGTTTTTAGTAATTGGGAGAGGCGGTGTTGAGGTTACAACATCGATTGGCGTGCGGGTAATTATTTTTGATTGTTCGGAAAATGAATAGGCTCTTAATAAAGTAATTGGATGGGGATTGCGCAAATATACCGCTGAAATCAGTGAAGGTGAAATTTGTTTGGAAATTATCGTTATTATCGCGCAGGTGAATAGAGGGGTTTTAGAAACGAGGCGTGACGAATTCGCGCCGAGGACTTAAAATTTCTGTGTTCACGTACGTTCACGAGATTTTTCCAATTACTTCTTTTAATTTCACTTGTTTAATATAGTGTGATTACAAAAGATAGTACATCAAGTTGGTTTTGGAAAGTATGTGGAATTTTTAATAAAAATTTGCTATCTCCTTGAGATCAGTAACACCATAATTAAAATTGAATTACTGGTTGCCTACCCATCACAGACGGTCTACATTAATTTCCACATCTGTGCCACTGGTGTTTGCTTATATTGTGTGGTTTTAGCATTTTTATTTCTTTAATTTTTTCAACTTTTGAATTTGTCGATGTTCCAATTTTTTGATTTTTCAAAAATACTGAAGTAACATGAAAAATATCTATCAGAAAAAATGATGATGCAAAATTTCAGTTTAAATAATTTCTATTATTGAAAAATTAAATATCTAAAAGAAGAAAAATTTTAATTTGAAAACTCCAAAATTGAAGAAACGAACAAATGATCGGAAAACTTGAAAAACTGAAAAATTCAAACTGAAAATTTCGATAGTAAAAAAATTGAAAAATGTATCTTTGAAAAACTCAAAAAAATGAAGAAAGAAAAATTGAAAAAACAAAAATCTGAGACGTAAAAAATTAAAAATCAAGAAACTGGCACATCCAAGAATAGAAAAACCATAAATTGTAAAATAAAATATAAAAATCGAAAAATTCAAAGCTTCAAACATGAAAAATAGAAAAATTAAAAACCGAAAAATTGAAAAACGAAAAATTAAAATTACAAAATCATAAAATTAAAAAATCGAAAAACTCAAAAATTTAAAAATCCAATAATTTCAAACTCGTAAAATTGGAAATCGAAAAACTATTATATCGAAAAGTTGAAAAATCAAAAATCTAAGTTTTGAAAATTCCAAGAATTCAAAAATTAAAAATCGACACTAAAATTCCTTAAATTACAAATATATGTATATAAAGTATAATTGAAAACTCAAAAATCTGAGATGTAAATAAAAATTGAAACGTAGGAAACTCTTAAATTTTCAAAACCCTAAAAATTTAAAAATCGAAAAATTAGAAAGACGAAAAATCGATAACTGACAAATCCAAGAATTTTAATAAGTAAAAATTTATAAATCGAAAGTTTCAAACAAAAAACTACAAAAATTAAAAACTGAAAAATTGAAAAACGAAAAATTAAAATTTGAAAATTCTAAATACTGAAAAAATGGATCAAATACACAATTAAAAATCAAGAAACAAAAATTGCAAAAACGAAAAATTGTAAAATGAGAAATCAAAAAACTGCAACGTCAAAAAATTTAAAAATCTAAAAATTGCGAAACTGAAAATTTGGAAAATATTCAAAAATTAAAATTTAAAAAACTCGAAAAATTGACAAATCGAAAACTTTGAACCAAATATCGAAAATTCAAAAGTTAAAAAACCAAAAATCAAAAACTTGAAAATCCAGAAAGTGAAAAATTCAAAAACTCCAAAAACTCAAAAATTTAAGCTAGATCACTCCAAAAACTGAAGAAACAAAAAAATAAAAAATGTAAATATTCAAAAAACAAAAACTTCAAAATTCGAAAAATTGCAAAGCCGTAAAATTGGAAATCGAAAAACTATTATATCAAAAAATTTAAAAATCTAAAAACTGCGAAACTGAAAAATGGGAAAATATTCAAAAATTGAAATTTTAAAAACTCGAAAAATTGACAAATCCAAAACTTTGAACCAAATATCGAAAATTCAAAAGTCAAAAAACAGAAATATCAAAAATTTGAAAATCCAAAAACTCAAATATTTAAACTAGATCACTCCAAAAACTGAAGAAACAAAAAAATAAAAAATGTAAATACATATTCAAAAAACTGAAAAATTTAAAAATTCAATAATTTCAAACTCATAAAATTGGAAATCGAAAAACTATTATATCGAAAAGTTGAAAAATCAAAAATCTAAGTTTTGAAAATTCCAAGAATTCAAAAATTAAAAATCGACCCTAAAAAATTCTTAAATTATAAATACATATATATACAGTAGCCCAAGAGCTATAAGGTTATATGACCATCATAAAAGTAGTTGACCGCAAATAAAGACCCTCTTTGTGTGGTTCGCACTAAGCTAATAATATTGGCAATAAATCGTCTTCTAAACATTTCTTGCTTAGATTTAGATATTTAGTGAAAACCGCCCCTGAACGAAACAACAGTCCGTCGAACTGCAGTTGACACGTTATTTACGACCCTAAAACCTTTTCCATTGTAAACAACTTAACTTCGACACAATGGGATAATTTTAAGATGGTCATATAACCTTATAGCTGTTGGTTTACTATATATAAAGTATAATTGAAAAATCAAAAATCTGAGACAAATAAAAATTGAAACGTAGGAAACTTAAATTTTCAAAACCCTAAAAATTTAAAAATCGAAAAATTCGAAAGATGAAAAATCGAAAAATTAAAAATCGATAACTGACAAATCCAAGAATAGAAAAACCATAAATTTTAATAAGTAAAAATTTAAAAAACGAAAAATTAAATGTTTCAAACAAAAAACTACAAAAATTAAAACAAAAAAAGTTCAAAAATCGAAAAATTGAAAATCTACGTATTCAAAAATATTTAAATACTCAATATCGAAAAATTCAAAAACTGAAAAACGAAAAATTTCAATTTCTAAAAATTGCAAAATCGTAAAAGTTAAATGTTTAAATATTTAAAAAACGGAAAATTCGAAGATTTTAAAAATAAAAAATCGGGAAACTGAAAAATCGCAAAATCTAAAATTTTTATAATTGATATAAAAAAATTGCGAAATCTAAAAATTGTAAAATCAAAAAATTACGAAATTGAAAAGTGGAAAAATTCAAAAATTCAATTTTCAATTCGAAAAATGACAAATACATAGAAAATTTTGAAAAACCAAATATCGAAAAACTGCAAAAACTCAAAATATAAGTTTCAAAAAATTGAAAAATTAAAGATACAAAATCGATAAATTGAAGAACTCAAAAATTTAAACTTGAACACTCCAAAAACTGAAGAAACTAAATGAAAAAAAAGTTGCAAAATCATAAAATTATAAAATCGAAAAATTGAAAAATCTAAAAACTCAAAAATTTCAAAGTCGTAAAATTGGAAAATCAAAAACTATTATATCGAAAAGTTGAAAAATCAAAAATTTAAAAATTGAAAATTCCAAAAAAAAAGAAACATTTTAATTTAAAAACTAAAAAGTTGAAATTTGAAAAATTAAAAATCGACACTAAAAATCGTTAAATTAGAAATATACGTATAAGTATAAAGTATAATTAAAAAATCAAAAATCTGATATGAAAATAAAAATTGAAACGTATAAAACTAAATATTCGAAAACCTAAAAATTCAAAAATAGAAAAACCATATATTGTAATAAGTAAAAATTGAAAAATCGAAAAATTCAAAGGTTCAAACATGAAAAGTACAAAAACTAATACAAAAAAAAAAAAAAAAATAAATAAATCGAAAAATTGAGAATCTAAATAATTAAAAATATTCAATATTCAACATCCAAAAATCCAAAAATTGAAAACTGAAAAACTGAAAAACGAAAAATTGGAATTTCTAAAAATTGCAAAATCGTAAAATTAAAAAGTCTAAATACTGAAAAAACGGAAAACTCAAAAATTTTAAAAATTAAAAATCGAGAGTCTGAAAAGTTCAAAATCGCAAAAATAGTCTAATTGAGAGAACAAAATGCGGAATGAAAAAATTGAAAAATATAAAAATTTCAAAATCAAAAATGGAAAAATTCAAAAATTGAAAATTGGAAACTCCAAACAATCATCGAAAAATTCGTTGAAAGTTCTAAAGTTGAAAAACTTAAAAATCGAGAAATGAAAAATCCAAAAACTCAAAAAATCTCAAAATTTTAATTCAAAAAAATGATCAATGAAAAAATACAAACTGAAAAAATTAAAAACTCAAAACATTGAAAATCGAAAATTGAAAAACTCAAAAATTGAAACTTGAACAGTCAAAAAGTGAAGAAACAAAACCATTCAAAAAGCAACAATTTCAAATTTTAAAAAATATTGCAAAATCCTAAAATTGGAAAATCAAAAATTAATAAATGGAAAAGTTGAAAAATAAAAAATCTACAAAAAAACTCAAAATTTAAATTTAAAAATGGACACTAAAAAAATCGTAAAATGAAAAAAAATAAAGAGAAATTGAGAAATATGAAATTTTAAAAATTGCAAAATCGAAAAATTTTAAATTCAACAAATTGAAATCGAAAACTCGAAAAATTTAAAACTTGAAAAACTGAAAACTCTAAACACATGTTTGAAAATCTTAAAGTTCAAACATTGAAAATTTTAAAAAACATAACATTCAAATTTCTAAAAATTAAATATTTCGGAAATTTAAACTTGTAATCTCCAAAAATGAAAAATCTAAATATTTAAAAACCTAAAATTTCAACATCGAAAAATTCGACAATCGAAAAAACGAATAATTTAAAATTCGACAAATTGAAAAATGCACAAGTTGAAAATTCGAAAAATTAAAAACTGAAAAAAACCGAAACATTAAAATTTCTAAAAATTGCCAAATGGAAAAAATTTCAAAAATTTAAACTTGAAACTCCAAAATTTGAAAAATCTAAATGTTCAAAACCTAAAAATTCAAACCAAAAACTGAAAATTCGGAAAATTGGGAAACTGAAAAATTCAAAAATCAAAAAATTGTATTTAATCAAAAATGAAAAAAATCCAAAAATTTAAATTTGAAAACTCAAAAAACTGAAGAATCCAACCAAAATTGTTCAAATTCAAATACTGCAAAATTCAAATCAAAGAATTGAAAAATAAAGAATACACAAATCAAGCAACTGGAAAATTGAAAATCTAAAAATGGAGAGCTTAAAAAATCGAAAAATTGAAACAACGAAATATTACAATTTTACAATTTCTAAAAGTTGCCAAATAGAAAAAAAAATCGAAGATTTAAACTGGAAACTCCAAAACTTGAAGAAACGAAAAGTGAAAAATATAAATATTCAAAGGCCTAAAAATTCAAAAGTTAAAAATTCGAAAAATTAAAAACTGAGAAACTGAAATATTCTAAACTGTGTAACTAAAAAAAAAATGCGAAATTTAAAAAGTGAAAAATAAAAAAATTGGAACATCAAAAATGAAATAAAAAAATCCCAAAATTGAAATCTGAAAACTCGAAAAACTGAAGAATCCAACCAAAATTCTGAATATTCAAATATCGAAAAATCCAAAAATTGAAAAATCTAAGAATAGAAAAACAAAAAATTTACAAATCGAGAAACTGGAAAAATCAAAAACCAAAAAAAACGCAAAATAAAAATTTTAAAAATTGGAAAATTAAAAAATGTCAAAACCGAAAAATTCAAAAACTCGAAAATTTAAACTGAAAACTACAAAAAGTGGAAACTCAAAAAAATGAAAAATCGTAAATATGTATTCAAAAACCAAAAAATTCAACTATCGAAAAATTGCAAAACCGCAAAATTAAAAATTTGTGTAATCTAAAAATTTAAAAATCGAAAAAGTTGAATTTGTGGCAAGTTTGGGAACATTAATATGCTGCTTTCATCCAAGTGCATTTACGATGTGTAACAAGTTACAGTGTGCAATTAGCAATTATTTGTCAACTGCGCTATATTGTGTATTTGTTTAACAATTTTCATACTTATGACCCGCTATACAAAGACGTATTATTTTTATCAAATATTATTTCTGCGTAGTAGCCGCGCTCATTACAACGGCGCGGCAAAATTAACGAAATTCCAAGCCAACTTGATGCACTCTGCACACAATTAATCACGGACTTGGTATTTAATTATAACACACAAAAACAAATAAAAAATGATACACCACATAAATCCACCAATAAAAACAAACCCTGTCCCATCTCCATTGTTTAAAAACAAAAGCAAACCAAATCGTTATATCCACCAAGTGTTAATTGATACACCACACAGCATGCTCATTAAAAAACTTTAAAACAACGCAGAGTCGTAAATACCTCGACGATTACAACAATTATTTCGTCCGAGTGTGACGTTAAAGCATGCAAACACACAGAAATGAAAACAACCAAATAAAATACCTGCGTAACCAGGTGCAAAATCCCTTTAACACGTGATGCCATTAGGCAAAAGTTACCACTTCCACTCCACTTGTGCAGCAGAAGGCACCCAGCTGTGAATAAGTCAGTTGTAAAACCTTGCTGTTTCAACAAAAGACATACGCTAGCATGCAAAGAGAAAGCTTGTAAAAATCAACAGCAAATAAAGTTAGTGTAGAAAACACGTGTTAGATTGTTTTCGTTAAGCATGCCTATATCTTGAGAAAGCGTTAGTTTAAATTTCCCGCTATATTTTGTTTTTTTTTTTAAACTTGTTCAAAATTCTCCATACCTGTGAACCCTGCCAAACATGAACAATTGAAGTACCCATTCCACGGAGTGCACGTCCCACCGTTTTTGCAAGGATTATTCACACAGATACCGTCAACCGAACAATTTGGATAGCTACCTGGATATTCTGGCTTACAGACACACCCGAACGTGTTGCCAGACTCGACACAGTCGGCCTGGGGGTGGCACTTGTTCGGATCGCACAGAATCTGGCGGTCTTCCGCCTCGCACCGCTCGCCGCCAAAGCCCGGGGGGCAGCGGCACAAGAAACCTTCGACGTTGTCGATACACAGGCCGTGGTTGAGGCAGGGCTGCGACATGCACTCGTTCAGGCTCTGAAACAAAGCCGATCAAAAAAAATGTAGCGTTGAAAAAAATCGTCGACAGAACTTCCCTCGTTCTTGACGTGTATAGGTCGATAGACCTCGCTTCTTTAAAAAATTTAAAATTTGATTTATGATTAACTTCGACTGTTTATGTTTATACGAAAGAATGCGACTACTTTTTTACTATGCTTATGATAACTTTAAAACATCTCCAAAAGTTCAAACCATTCAGTCAATAAAATAAATTCACGCATTCATTAATTTTTTTGAGTCACCTGTATAAGCAAATCCTAAAAATATGAATGGAATGATAAATCACAAGTGCAGACTCATTGTATTTTAGACATTTTAGATAGGATTTATTCGGCAAAACTTTGAGGTGACGTCATCGACTTTGTGGAGGGGATAAGCAAATATATTTTGACCAAAAATGTATCATGCTTATCATAATTTTAAAACGTTTGCAAGATTTCAAAGCGTTCGGTTTTGCAGATTCAAAATTAATTCGCAAAATGTTGTTTTATGATTTTGATTTTTTTTCCAAAAATCTGGACGTTTTGGTAAAAACTCAACACGGCGTCATGATGATGCAAAATTTCAGTTTAAATTTCTTTGATTGAAAAATTAAATATGTACCTAAAAACTGAAAAAAATTAATTAAAAACTCCAAAATTGAAAAAACGAAAAATTAAACGGAAAACTTGAAAAACCGAAAAATTTAAACAATGGAAATTTCGAAAGTTGAAAAAGTGAAAAATATACATTTGAAAACTCAAAAAAGTGAAGAAAGGAAAATTCAAAAAAACGAAAAATTAAAAATCAAGAAACTGAAAATCCACAAATTGTAAAACTAAAAAATAGTAGAATAATAAATATATATAGACTATAGTTGAAAAATTGAAAAATTTGCAAAGTTAAAGTGAAAAACTAAAAATTAAAATTTCTAAAAGTTGCAAAATCGGAAAATTTGAAAAGTTTTAATATTGGTAAAACGAAATATTTAAAAATTAAAAAAATTAAAAACTAGGAAACTAGAAATTGCAACATTGAAAAATTGCATAATTGAGAGATCAAAAATTCAAGAAATTAAAAATTGGGAAACTAAAAATGGCAACATTGAAAAATTGCATAATTGAGAAATCAAAAAAGACTGCGAAAACTAAAAATCGAAAAATCTAAAAAATTGCGAAATCGAAATATGGGAAAATTCAAAAATTAAAATTTCAAAATCCAAAAATTGAACAAATTGTAAAATCCAAATATTCAAAAGCCTAGAAATTCTAACATCGAAAAATTGAAAAATGCAAACATTGAATTCGAAAAAATAAAAACTGGGGAACTGAAAAACTCTAAAATCCAAAAATTGTAAAACTGTATAACTGAAAAATGACAAACCTGCGAAATCTAAGGACTTTAAAATCTAAAAATTGTATAATCAAAAGTTGAAAACTCGAAAAACTGAAGAATTCAACCCGAAATCTATATATTCAAATATTGAAAAATTCAAGTTAAAAAGTCTAAAAATTGAAAAATAAAATATTTACAAATCGAGAAACTGGAAAATCGAAAAATTAAAAAACGAAAAAGTAAAAAATTGAAAAATTTCAAAATCGAAAAAATCAAAGAATACAAAATTGAAAAATTTAAAAACCCAAAATTTTAACTTGAACACTCAAAAACTGAACAAACAAAAAAAAAATAAAAACGTAAATATGTATTCAAAAACCAAAAACTTAAAACTTGGAAAAATTGCAAAATCCTAAAATAAAAAATCGAAAATTGAAAAACTATTAAACTGTGTGTCAAAAGTTAGGGATATCGATGAAAACCATCTTTATTATTATTTATTTTTTACTTTTCCAAATATTTAACTAGGCTTAAGTTAAATTAATTAAAATATCCATAACTTTTGACGCGCTGTTTACATCGAAAATGTGAAAAACAAAAAAATAAAAACATTGAAAATTCCAAAAACCCAAAAAAATGGAATTTAAAAACTCGAAAAACCGAAAAAATGAAAAGAAACTTTTTAAATTCAATAAATTGAAATTGAAAATTCGAAAAATTCAAAACTTTGAATAAATACATGTAGAAAAAATGAAAAACGAAAAATTAAATTTTCTAAAAATTGCGAAATTGGAAAATTTAAAAAATTAAATACATATTGAAAAAAACGAAATATTTAAAAATTCAAAAAATTGAAAATTGGGAAATCGAAAAATTAGAAAATTCAAAAATAGAAGTTTGAAAACTAGAAAAATTGAAAAATTAAAAACTTTGAACAACCAAATATCCAAAAATTCAAAAGTTGAGAAACTGAAAAATCCAAAAACTGTAAAAACTCAAAATTTAAATTTTCAAAAATTGAAGAATTGAAAAAAATACAAGATCGAAAAACTGAAAAACTAAAAAAACAAAATCGAAAAATTGAAAAACTCAAAAAACACAATCAAAAATTTAAACTTTTAACACTCCAAAAAATATAAATATTCAAAAATCGAAAAATTGGACAATCGAAAAACTATTAAATCGAAAAGTTGAAAAATCAAAAATTTAAAAAACTGAAAATTCCAAAAATTTAAAAATTTAAATTTAAAAACTCGATGAACTGACAAATCCGAAATGAGAATCTAAACATCCAAAAATATTCAAATATTCAACATCGAAAAATTGAAAAACCGAAAAATTTAAATTTGTAGTCGATAAACTGAAAAAACGAAAAATTAAAATTTCTAAAAATTGCAAAATTGTAAAATTGAAAAGGCTAAACATTGAAATCACGGAAGATTCAAATAATAAAAAATTGAGAAACTGAAAATTGCAAAATCGAAAAATTGAAAAATCTAAAAAATGCGAAATCGAAAAATGGGAAAATTCAAAAATTGAAATTTGAAAACTCGAAAAATTAACAAATCGAAAGCTTTCAACAACGAGATATCGAAAAATTCAAAAGTTGAAAAATCCAAAAACTACAAAAACTCAAAATTTAAATTAAAAAAAAATTGACGTATAAAAAAAATACAAAAATCGATTAACTCAAAAAATACAAAATCGAAAAATTGAAAAACTCAAAAATTTAAACTTGAACACTCCAAAAACTGAAGAAACAAGAAATGAAAAATATAAATATAGGAAAACCAAAAATTGCGAATTTCAAAAGATTGCAAAATCATAAAATTAAAAAATCGAAAAATTGAGAAATCTCAAAATTTTAAAATTTCGAAGTCGCAAAATTGGAAAATCGAGAAACTATTAAATCGAAAAGTTGAAAAATTAAAAATGTAAATACTGAAAATTCCAAAATTTTAATTCAAAAACTCGATGAACTGACAAATCTAGATATTCAAAAATAAAAATCGAAAAACTGGAAAACGCAAAATTAAAATTTTTAAAAATTGCAAAATCGGGAAATTGAAAACGCTAAATATTGAAAAAACGAAAAATTGAAAGATTTTAAAAATTAAAAATGGAGAAACTGGAAAATCGAAAAATTGTATAATTCAGACATCAAAAAACACTGCGAAATCTAAAATTGAAATTTAAAAATTCGAAAAATTGGCAAATCGAAAGCTCTGAACAAACAAACATCGAAAAATAAAAGCTGAAAACCTAAAAATTCAAAAACTTAAAAATCGGAAAACTGAAAAATCCAAAAACTGCAAAAAACTCAAAATTTAAATTCCAAAAAATTGACGAATTAAAAAAAAATACAAAATCGAAAAATGCATAAATTTAAACTTGAACACTCCAAAAACTGTAGAAACAAAAAAAATGAAAAATATAAATTGGTATTTAAGAACCAAAAATTTCGAATAAATATATGTATATTAAATCGAAAATTTGAAAAATCAAAAATCTAAGTACTGAAAATTCCAAAATTTAAATTTTAAAACTCAAAGAACTGATGAAAGGTTGAAAATCGAAATTAAAAATCGACATTAAAAAATCGTGAAATTTTGAAATTTAAAAAAACAGAAAAAAATCGAAATTCGAAAAATCGAAAAATTTTAAAAACAATAATTGAAACTGATAATGAAAACTCTATACAAGTTGGAAAATCTTAAAAGTTCAAAAGTAGAAAAATTGAAAAATTAAAAACCGAGAAACTGACAAATCCGGGATGAGAATCTAAACATCCAAAAATATTGAAATATTCAACATCGAAAAATTGAAAAATCGAAAAATTTAAATTTGTAGTCGATAAACTGAAAAACGAAAAATTAAAATTTCTAAAAAATGCAAAATCCTAAAATTGAAAAACTCAAAAATTTAAACTTGGACACTCCAAAAACTGAAGAAACAAAAAAATGAAAAATATAAATATTGGAAAACCAAAAATTGCAAAATCATAAAATTAAAAAATCGAAAAATTGAGAAATCTCAAAATTTTAAAATTTCAAAGTCGCAAAATTCGAAAATCGAAAAACTATTAAATCGAAAAGTTGAAAAATCAAAAATTTAAACACTGAAAATTCCAAAAATTCAAAAATTTTAATTTAAAAACTCAAAGAACTAACAAATCCGAGATAAGAATCTAGATATTCAAAAATAAAAATGAAAAATCGAAAAACTGAAAAATGCAAAATTAAAATTTTTAAAAATCGCAAAACCGGGAAATTGAAAACGCTAAATATTGAAAAAACGAAAAATTGAAAGATTTTAAAAATTAAAAATCGAGAAACTGAAAAATCGAAAAATTGTATAATTGAGAGATCAAAAAACACTGCCAAATCTAAAATTGAAATTTAAAAACTCGAAAAATTGGCAGATCGAAAGCTTTGAACAAACAAATATCGAAAAATTCAAAAGCTGAAAACCTAAAAATCTCAAAATTTAAATTCCAAAAAATTGACGAATTAAAAAAATACAAAATCGAAAAATTCATAAATTTGAACTTGAACACTTCAAAAACTGTAGAAACAAAAAAAAATGAAAAATATAAATAGGTATTTAAGAACCAAAAATTTCGAATTTGTAAAAATTGCAAAATAATAAAATTAAAAAATCAAAAAAAAACTTGTAAAAATTTCAAACTCGTAAAATTGGATAACTATTAAATCGAAAAATTGAAAAATCAAAATAAACTATTATTATTATTAATAACGGACAACAGCACGGATTCATAAACCACACCCGCATGACTTATTTTATAAAATTTAAACAAATTTTCCATGTAAGTTTTCCAGGTGACGTCATCCTATTGTTGATGGGGACGATTATCCAAATTTTCGTTAGCGTTTTACCTAATATACACACAAAATTTGACAACAATAGGTCCAGTAATTTCAGAGATCTAATGAAAATTCGGACAGACAGACAGACAGATAGACAAACAGACGGAAACGCTCAGAAATAAAAATCAATTTAATTCTTACATTTTGGCAATGCGAGCCTCCGTACCCCGGCGGACACTGGCACATGTACCCTCCATACACATTGAAGCACGTACCGTGGTTCAAACACGGACTCTTCGAACACTCGTTGATATCCACCTCACACAAACGCCCTGTATATCCAGTCCTGCTGCAATCGCACGTGAAATTATTCAAGCCATCGTGACAAACTCCCCCATTTTTGCAAGGATTCGGTTTACACTCGTCGATGTTCGACTCGCATCTCGGTCCGAAGAACCCCGGCAAACACAGACACTCTATATCACCATTAAAGGTACAAGTGCCGCCATTTTGACACGGATTGTGTTGACATTGCGGATGAACTATGACCTCCTGCTCGCAGTTCTTTCCGGTGAAATTCGGAGGACACCGACACGTGTACTCCCCAGAATTGTCAAAAGTGCACGAGGCGCCATTCTTACAAACCGGAGGGCTCTTATCGCACGGATTGCTCATCTCAAACTCGCAGTTTTTTCCAGTGTAGCGCGGTAGACACGAGCAGGTGTAGCCGTTTTGGCTGTTATGACAGGTGCCTCGACGCATACAGGGTTCATTAGTACATGAGTCATATCCTTGAAGATTTTCCTTGGGTATACCTTGAGTTTGACGCAGACAACATTATTAATACTATTATTATTATTATTATTATTTGGATACTTACAACTATCGTCCGGGATTGGACACTTCTCGAACCTCACATTATAATTATATAAAATCACAGACTCGTCGAAAACCAGAGACGGCCCCTCTAGAATGCACCCGTTGAACTGCTTACCCACCAAAAGCACCGAGGCGCCCTCGTTGTACAGGCCCGGGCTTGTCAACAATTCGCTTTGGAAGGTGGAATTCGCAATCAACTATAACAAAGTCGGGAGGTTATTTCGACTGACAGCGTAGCTGCTGATTTTATTTTACCCTTCGTTCGTTGTCCACCCGCAGCGTCAAATTTCCCAGTTCGTAGTGTAGGACCACCACATGCCACTTGTTGTTGAGGAAATTGCCCTGGATTTTCGCCCCGAATTGCTGGCCTGCGGTTTTCGCGGAAAATAGGACGCCTTCGGAATTTACGTACAGCTCGAAGTAGTCGTCGTTTTGTTGTTGTTTGAATAGAGTGCCACCTGAACATGTCCGAAAGCTCAGGCCTGTTTGTCGTTTCAGAGAGATTGTGGTCTGGAGGCGCAAGTACGAGGTTCCGTTAAAGTAGGCTTCTGGTTGGATTGAGGGGGCTAGGCTTAGGGTGTGTGTGCTACCGAGGTAACATACGGCTGAAATAAAGAGGCGGGTTTATGTTTTAATTCGGTGTTTTTTTAGTGTTAAGAAATTATTAAACAATGGCTTGGTTTTGGGTTGTTCGGGGATTTGCAATGTTTGATGTGATGTGAAGTTATTATAGGTTGTTTGCTTAAAGTTTCCTGGAGATAAGATTGCTGCTGCTTTGTATATTTTAATGTAATATTAGATCATCGTTTTAAGCCAGAATTTACTCTAAGAAAAAAGATTGTTCATCACAGAATAAAAATTTTCCATTAGGCAATTGTGGCCATTTCTGCGAAATATTTCACGATTTTATTTATTTAATTGTAATTGTAATAAAAAATATTTCAAAGAAAAAGCTGTTTCTAGTATTTTTTTTTATTTTACATTTGTATACACTTAAATAAATTACAAAATCCGAATATTGAAAAATTAAAAAATTGAAAAAAAAAAACGAAAAAATGTAAAATCAAAAACTGAACAATAAAAAATTATGAAACCAAAAATCGAAATATTCCAAAATCGTAAAACTGAAAAATCGAAAAATTTTGACACAAACATCGAAAAATTGAAAAAAGAAAAAACGAGAAATAGAAAAATTAACAACTGCGTAATTTACAAAATGAAAAATAAAGGATGATTTTGCAAGTTCTGTATTTCAATATTACAATTCATCGATTTTTCAAGTTTACGAATTTTCAATCTCTATATATTTTGATTTTTCGATGCTTCACTTATCCAATTTTCATATTTCTCTTATTTTCCAATTTCTCAATTTTTCAATTTTTAGTTTTTAGTTTTTTGATGATTGATTTGAAGATTTTACAACATTTTGTTGTTTCAGTTTTTCGATTTTTTTAAAGAATTGGACAATGGAAAAATTGAAACATCGAAAAACTGAAAATTTCAAAATCGAGAAATTGAATAATCGAAAAATTAAAAACTCCAAAAATTGTAACTTGTTAAAATGAAAAAATTAAACAATTAAAAATTTCGAGAATTGAAAAAAGAAAAAAAACTATAAAGTCAAAAACTTGTAACATTCAAATTCGAAGAATCAAAATATGTATTAAAATTTAAATAATCAAAAAATTGAACAAAGCAAAAATTGACACTTAAAAACCGAAAAATTATAAAATCATAAAATTCGAAACTTGAAAAATTGAAAAATTAAAAATATAATAATATATTGGAAAGCAAAAATTGAACCAAAAAATTAAAAATTGACAAACTGAAAAATCAAAAAATGTCAAAATTGTACAATTAGAAAATCGAAAAATTAAAATTTCTAAATTTTGAAAAACGGAAAAATGAGATTATTGAAAAGATAAAAAATCCTGAAAAATCGGTAAAAACGAAAAATTAACATATCCAAAATTTGAAAAATCCCAAAAATCCAAAATCGTAAAATTCAAAAATTTAAATTTAAAAACTCAAAAAATGAAGAAACGAAAAACTGAAAAATCGAAATATGTATATACATTTTGAAAAACAAAAAATCAATGATAGAAAAATTGAAAAATTAAAAATCCAGAAACAGAAAAATAAAAAAATTAAAAAAAAAGAAAAATTAAAATATCCAAAATCTGAAGAACCTTAAAATTGTAATATCGTGGAATTGAAAAATCGGAAAATAAAAAATTGAGAAAATTGAAAAAACGAAAACATGTAAAAACAAAATTTCAACAATACGAAAAATTCCAATAATATAAATAAATAAAATCGTTAAATTGTAACACTGAAACACTGTAAACGGACAAACTGAACAAACGGCAAATTGAAGAACAAAAAATTAACATATCTAAAAATTGAAAAATTGAATAATTGAAGAACTAAAAATCGAGAAAGATAAAATAAAAATAACGGATAATAAATTTTTTGTTTATTCAATTTTGCAAGTTTTCGATTTTTTAATGTTTCAATTTTTCATTATTCAATTTCTCGATTTTTAATTTTTCAGGTCCTCATTTTATAGTTTTTCGGTTTTACTACATTTCAATGTTAGAATTTTCAGTTTCTCCAATTTTTCAATTTCTCAGTTTTTTTTTTTTAGTTTTTTAGATGTTTCAATATTATGGAAAATTTTACAACTTATTGTTTCTATTTTTCGATTCCTGGACAATTTTATTTTATATTTTGCTTTTTGAAATTTATCGATTTTTCATTTATCCAATTTTCACTTTAACTATTTTATCAACTTTTCGTTTTTTCTTTTTTTTTAAGAACTGAACAATGGAAAAATTGAGAAGATGAAAAAAATTAAAAATTCAGAAGTTAAAGAAAAACTCCAAAACTAGAGAATTGAAAAACCGAAATATTTGAAATCGAGAAATTAAAAAATCGAAAAAATTAAAAATATAGAAGGTTGCCAAACTAAAATTCGAGTATATGTTGAAAAATCAAAGATTGAGAAATTGAATTATTTAAAAACGAAGCATAGAAAAATGGAGAATTGGGATAATTTAAAATCAAAAATTAAAAAAATTCAAAAATGAAACAATTCGGAGAATTGAAAAAAAGAAAAAATTGAAAATGAAAACCTTTTAACAATGAAAATCTAATAAGAATTGAAACATAAAAAAATCGTGAAATTGAAAAATGAAAAATTGGAAAATCAAAAACCAAAATTTGAAAAATCATAAAGGGTAATTGAAAAATTGAAATGTTAAAAAATTTAAAATTGAAATATAAAAACAAAAAATTGAACAAAGGAAGAATTGAAACACTGAAAAAACGAAAAGTGGTAAAATCACCAAATTCAAAAGTTGAAAAATTGATAAATTTAAACGTTAAAAATATAATTAAACATTGAAAATGAAAAATTGAACTGGTAAATTAAAAACAGACAAATTGAAAAATACAAAAATTAAAAAAACTATAAATAGTAAATTTTTTTAAATTGTAACACTGAAACCTCGGAAAATTTCAGAATTAAGTCCAAAAATTGAAAAATTAAAAATCGAGACACCAAAATGGAAAAATTTCAAAATTGTAAAATTGAAAAACCGATAAATTTAAGTATCTAAAAATTGAAAAGTCGAAAAAAAAAAACACTAAAAATTCTAAAAACCACAAATTGTAACAGTGAAACCTTGAAGAATTCAAGAATAAAAATCGGGAAATTGGAAATGAAAAATCGAAAATTGAAAAATTGAAATGTTGAAAAATCAAAATTTTAAATATTATAAACAAAAAATTGAACAAAGGAAAAATTGAAAAATCGCAAAACTGAAAAATTTGGAACACTGAAAAGACGAAAAATGGTAAAATCAAAAAATTCAAAAGTTGAAAAATGGAAAAATTAAAAATATAATAATACATTGGAAACCAAAAATTGGACCAAAAAATTAAAAATTGACAAACTGAAAAATCAAAAAATTTCAAAATTGTACAATTAGAAAATCGAAAAATTAAAATTTTTAAATTTTGAAAAATTGAAAAATGAGTTCATTGAAAAAGTAAAAAATCCTTAAAAATCGGTAAAAACGAAAATTAAAATATCCAAAATTTGAAAAATCCCAAAAATGAAAAATCGTAAAGTTCAAAAATTTAAAAACTCGAAAAATGAACAAACGAAAAACTGAAAAATCGAAATATGTATATACATTTTGAAAAACAGAAAAAATGAATGACAAAAAAATTGAAAAATCGAAAAATTAAAAATCCAAAAACTCAAAAATCAAAAAATTAAAAAAAAAAGAAAAATTAAAATATCCAAAATCTGAAGAACCGCAAAATTGTAATATCGTGAAATTGAAAAATCGGAAAACAAAAATTGAGAAAACTGAAAAAACGAAAACATGTAAAAACATAATTTCAACAATTCGAAAAATTCCAATAATATAAATAAATAAAATCATAAAACTGAAAAATTGTAACACTGAAACATTGCAAACGGAAGAAATGGCAAATTGAAGAACAGAAAATTAAAATTTGTAATTTTTCAGGTCTTCATTTTATAGTTTTTCGGTTTTTCTACATTTCAATGTTAGAATTTTCAGTTTCTCCAATTTTTCAATTTCTCAGTTTTTTTTTTAGTTTTTTAGATGTTTCAATATTATGGAAAATTTTACAACTTATTGTTTCTATTTTTCGATTTTTCGATTCCTGGACAATTTTATTTTATATTTTGCTTTTTGAAATTTATCGATTTTTCATTTATCCAATATTTCACTTTAACAATTTTATCAACTTTTCGTGTTTTCTTTTTTTTAAAGAACTGAACAATGGAAAAATTGAGAAGATGAAAAAAATTAAAAATCCGGAAGTTGAAAAATCGAAAAATCCTAAAATTGAAAATTAAAAATCAAAATTTGGAAAGTGCAAAAATTGGAAAATTAAAAATCTAGAAACTGAAAAATCGAAAAACTCCAAAATTAGAGAATTGAAAAAACGAAATATTTAAAATCGAGAAATTAAAAAATCGAAAACATGAAAAATATAGAAGGTTGCCAAACTAAAATTCGAGAACTGAAAAATCAAAAATTGAAAAATCGAAGACTGAGGAATTGAATTACATATTTCAAAACGAAGCATAGAAAAATAGAAAAAATAGAGAAATGGAAAATTGGGATAATTTAAAATCAAAAATTAAAAACTTCAAAAATAAAACAATTCGGAGAATTGGAAAAAAGAAAAAATTTAACATGAAAAACTTTTAACAATGAAAATCTAATAAGAATTAAAACATAAAAAAATCGTGAAATTAAAAAATGAAAAATTGCAAAAACCAAAAACCCAATTTGAAAAATCATAAAGGGTAATTGAAAAAATGAAATTTTAGAAAATTAAAAATTTAAATATAAAAACAAAAAATTGAACAAAAGAAAAATTGAAACACTGAAAAGACGAAAAATGGTAAAATCACAAAATTCAAAAGTTGAAAAATTGATAAATTTAAAAATTAAAAATATAATTAAACATTGAAAATGAAAAATTGAACTGGTAAATTAAAAATAGACAAATTGAAAAATCTAAAAATTAAAAAAACTAAAAACAGTAATTTTTTTAAAATTGTAACACTGAAACCTCGGAAAATTACAGAATTAAAAGTCCAAAAATTGAAAAATTAAAAATCGAGAAACCAAAAAACTGCATTACAACATTAAAAATGAAGAAATCGAAAAATGGAAAAATTTCAAAATTGTAAAATTGAAAAACCGATAAATTTAAGTATATAAAAATTGAAAAATCGAAAAAAAACACTAAAAAATTCTAAAAGCCACAAATTGTAACAGTGAAACCTTGAAGAATTCAAGAATAAAAATTAGGAAACTGGAAATGAAAAATCGAAAATTGAAAAATTGAAATGTTGAAAATCAAAATTTTAAATATGAAAACAAAAAATTGAACAAAGGAAAAATTGAAAAATCGAAAAACTGAAAAATCTGGAACATTGAAAAGACGAAAAATGGTAAAATCAAAAAATTCAAAACTTGAAAAATTGAAAAATTAAAAATATAATAATACATTGGAAACCAAAAATTGGACCAAAAAATTAAAAATTGACAAACTGAAAAATCAAAAAATTTCAAAATTGTACAATTAGAAAATCGAAAAATTAAAATTTCTAAATTTTTAAAAATCGAAAAATGAATTCATTGAAAAAGTAAAAAATCCTTAAAAATCGGTAAAAACGAAAATTAAAATATCGAAAATTTGAAAAATCCCAAAAATGAAAAATCGTAAAATTCAAAAATTTAAAAACTCGAAAAATAAACAAACGAAAAACTGAAAAATCGAAATATGTATATATACAGGGTGTTATTGAAAGGTACGTACAACAAAATGGACAGTTCTTCGCGAAGTCTAAGAAGTCGGAAAAACTTATTTTGTCTTATCAAAATTTTAAGGGGAAAATTAACCCTTATCCAATCTTTTTAGACGCTACTGAAGGATAAATAGGTAAAATTAATTTATTTTAGTAAATCCTAGCAACTGTAACAATAAAACTTTTGTCAAGACTAAATGTTGCTATAGAAACGAGAGATGATGTTTTTATTAGAGGTGTACAACGAATTTGGACAGAAATTTTAATATTTTTTATCTCTAAAAGTAGAACACTTTTACCTGAACTTTTTTTAACTTTTAGCACCCATACTTCGAGACCAATTGCCGATTTTATTTTGTACGTACCTTTCAATAACAGGCTGTATTTTGAAAAACAGAAAAAATGAATGAGAGAAAAATTGAAAAATCGAAAAATTAAAAATCCAGAAACTGAAAAATCAAAAAATTAAAAAAAAAAGAAAAATTAAAATATCCAAAATCTGAAGAACCGCAAAATTGTAATATCGTGAAATTGAAAAATCGGAAAACAATAATTGAGAAAATTGAAAAAACGAAAAAATGTAAAAACAAAATTTCAACAATTTGAGATATTTCAATAATATAAATAAATAAAATCGTAAAATTGAAAAATTGTAACACTGAAACATTGCAAACGGACAAAGTGAAGAAACGGCAAATTGAAGAACAGAAAATTAAAACATCTAAAAATTGAAAAATTGAATAATTGAAGAATTAAAAGTAGAGAAAGATAAAATAAAAATAACGGATAATAAATTTTTTGTTTATTCAATTTTGCAAGTTTCCGATTTTTTAATTTTTCAATTTTTGATTATTCAATTTCTTTATTTTTTTAACCTTTCAATGTTATTGAAGATTTTACAACTTTTTGAAACTGAAAAATCGAAAAACTGTAAAATTATAAAATTGAAAAAACGAAATATGTACTTAAAATCGTGAAATTAAAAAATCTAAAAAATGAAATATATAGAAGGTTGCCAAACTAAAATTCGAAAACTGAAAAATCAAGTATGAATTGAAAAATCAAAGATTCGGAAATTGAATTATTTAAAAACGAAACATAGAAAATTAGAAAATATAGAGAAATGCAAAATGGGATAATTTAAAATCAAACATTAAAAACTTCAGAAATGAAACAATTAAAAATCCGGAGAATTGAAAAAAAGAAAAAAATTTAAAATGAAAAACTTGTAACAATGAAAATCTAATAAGAATTGAATTATAAAAAAATCATGAAATTAAAAAATGAAAAATTGCAAAAACTAAAAACCCAATTTGAAAAATCATAAACGGTAATTGAAAAAATGAAATTTTAGAAAATTAAAAATTTAAATATAAAAACAAAAAATTGAACAAAGGAAAAATTGAAACACTGAAAAGACGAAAAATGGTAAAATCACAAAATTCAAAAGTTGAAAAATTGATAAATTTAAAAATTAAAATTATAATTAATATTGAAAAGCAAAAATTGAACGGATAAATTAAAAATCGACAAATTGTAAAATCTAAAAATTAAAAAACACTGAAACCTCGGAAAATTACAGAATTAAAAGTCCAAAAATTGAAAAATTAAAAATCGAGAAACCAAAAAACTGCATTAAAACATTAAAAATGGAGAAATCAAAAAATGGAAAAATTTCAAAATTGTAAAATTGAAAAATCGATCAATTGAAGTATCTAAAAATTGAAAAATCCGAAAAGTAAAAAACGCTAAAATTCTAAAAACCACAAATGGTAACAGTGAAACATCGAAAAATTCAAGAGTAAAAATCGAGAAGTAAAAAATCCAGAAAATTAAACATTAAAAAAATGAAAAATTATAAAATTAAAAACCGAAAATTGAAAAATCATAAAGGGTAACTGAGGAATTGAAATGTTGAAAAATCAAAAATTTAAATATGAAAACAAAAAATTAAACAAAGGAAAAATTGAAACATCCAAAAATTGAACTATCTTGAACACTGAAAAAACGAAAAATCGTAAAATCACAAAATTCAAAAGTTGACAAATTGATTAATTTAAAAATTAAAAATATAATTAAACACTGAAAAGTAGAAATTAAATTGGTAAATTAAAAATCGAAAAATTAAAAAAAAACTAAAAACCGTAAAATTTAAAAATTGTACTTAGCACTGAAACCTAGAAAAATTACAGAATTAAGTCCAGAAATTGAAAATTTATAAATCGAGAACCCAAAAAATTGAAAAATTAAAAATCTAAGAAACTGAAAAAACGAAAAATTGTAATCAAAACGGCATTAAAACATTAAAAATGGAGAAATCGAGAAATTGAAAAATTTCAAAAATGTAAAATTGAAAAACCGATAAATTGAAGTATCTAAAAATTGAAAAATCGGAAAAGTAAAAAACACTACAATTCTAAAAAACCACAAATGGTAACAGTTCAACATCGAAGAATTCAAGAATAAAAATCTGGAAATTGAAAATGAAAAATCGAGAAATAAAAAATCCAGAAAATTAAACATTAAAAAATTGAAAAATTGCACAATTAAAAATCGAAAATTTTACGATCATACTGTAATTTTTTGAATATTTTTATCCACTTTTTGCTTTTCTTGCGCTCGGGGAAATTGAGCCTAACTTTTGATTTTCAAGTGTCTTCAATCAATTTTTTTCGTGTTTTTTGTGGTCACTAGCTTTGCCGTAAAAAATAAGATATCTGATTCGGCTATGACAAATTCATGCTCTTGTGCAACTAGTGTTATCTACAAAATCTATGAGAACTCTAAACAATCTAACATTAATTTCTTAACTGTTCATCAACTTAACGTTTTTTCTAACTTTTTTATTTAAACAAAGGAGATATCTATCTATGTAGTTCTAGTTCAACACATGTCATTTTCATACAAAAGGTCTCAGCGAAAAATTGTCTTGTTTCTGTAAAAGTTACTTATCTGAAGAACTAAGAAAAATTTAATGTTTATTTAATATAATGAAAAGTACAGATTGCGTCACAACGCAACTTTTAAACCCACAAATGGTTTATTTAGTGATTTGGACCTTTAATGAGTGCATTCACATACAAAAAATCTCTTGAAACGCTACTTAAAAAATAATAAAAATATAATTAGATTAAGGCTATATCTCTAGCAGACAAACAATAGTTTGCCCTTCGCCGTACTCTACATACTCGACTGGAAACTCGGAATCACGTTCTTTATTATTCTTAAAACAAAGTAAAACACTTAACGAAAGTTTGAGCAGAGGCCTGTGCATACATAATGAATTTAGCACCTGTACCGACGTTCAATAAGACCCATTATCTACGAAAATCCAGCCAATTTTGCAACATTTTTTCGCCTTCTCAACCTCGTTAAAATTCTATCCCAGTTTTACATAACACTATTATTTCACATTTCCACTCAATTATATTCCCAAGAGTTCAAAAGTTGTATGACCTACATGTCCATAGCGGTTTCAAATCACATATTTTTTACGGTACAGAACCCGCTTGCGGAGTCTCCGCAGAACCCCCAGTAATCTGTATCTCCTCATCAAACACCTCAAGAACAAATGGGTTCACTTGATAGCGAAATTCCCATGTCTTAACCATGACTGGGTATGACTAATACCAAGGTGCACAGAAAAAACAGATACTATCTCCGGGATTACCGTCGGTCGCCGTAAAACCTAAACCGTGTTCGAAACCGGAAGTCAAGACTCAGACTTACCTAAGACAACAGAAATCGCTTCCAACCTCCAAGTCTTCAAATTCATGGCTGAAGAAGAAATCTTAGGTGGTGTTAGAAAAATCATGAGTCGCACATGTTTTTTAACATCAAGGAAGATTATCGGATTCTGGGGGCGCTAACTACATCACTTGCTATTAATTACAGGCTGAATGCAACAACAACACAAAATTAACAGACCACAAACTCAAATGACCACAACACGTTCAATGTCAGTGGTTTTTGTTCTAGGGAATTTCGGCGGCGAGCGGAGCTGCCAACGGAATATTCAAAATGGGTAATAATTACACAAGTGGAGGGGGTTAATTATGAAACTTAAACATTCATTAAACGTTGTCGTAAATCGTAAAATATATAATACTGTGGCACTAATTTAACGCTAATTGCGGTTTTTTGTATTTAACCAGCGGCGTCACTACTGGGAGCTTTATATAGTAGGGTTAGCCATGAACATCTAGTGAGTTTGTTGGTATTCGATACAGAAGAATAAAAATTCCCTGAACTTTTTTCGTTAGGTTATGTTTTATTAAATTAAAGGTTAAAAAATATGCCAGAAATATAAATATTGTTGCCGATACTTTCAGTTTTCAGTAGCAATGACCAAGTTAACGATATCCATTTAAAACTTTACGCTATTTAAAACAGTTATTCGGCATTTTGTAAGTGTTTGTTTTATATGTAAGGAACAAACACAAAAATTGCACTTCAACATTGTTTTTATATGAATGGGGGTTCTACATACGACTATTGTCCCATGCCACATTTAGCATCTCATCTTTAATTCTCAATCATCAGTTCGTTCTGCTCGCCCACCCTTCTTAGAAATGGAAATTTCGACTTGTGTGAACAGCCTATTTCCATATCTTCCAACTTCTTTTTTCACTTTTCTAAGATTACTAAAAGAGTTGGTGAAAGACAACAACCTTGCTCTAGTGCTTTCATGGGTTTAGCTCTTCTGAAACATTTTTCCGGCCTTAAATTGAATGATTTATCTATATAGCTTTTACTATTGCTTACGTAAGTGCTCTTTATTTGCTTTTACTAAGTACTTCCAAACGCTTATTAATAAGAACGTTACTATACATGAAGAGTTAAAAAAAAAAAGAAAACGGTTAAAATTTGGTGCAAAGTAATAACGTGGATGATCTAACTAAAATTATACTTATTTTGTTGTACGTCAGGTAGTTTTTCACATACTACCTTGGTAAATTTATAACGAAAAATGTCGTGTTATTCTTATTCAAACGATTTTATTTCTGTTGAATGTAAGATTCACCTTTCGAAATCAACACTAGATAATATCAATCACCGAAATGGAGGCGGGGTGGGTGGGCGGGGCAAATTTATGTTCTTTTGTAGAGTGGGCATGGTAGCTAATAGAACATAGGCTGTTAAAAAAAGTTTTATTTTCACTCAAGATCTCCCATCTGCTCTCTTCGACTACTTCTAATAGTTGCTTTCCTTCATTATTTTCACTTATGTCTTTGGATTTTCTTTTTCCAATATTTTATTTTAGAAAGTACTAGCCCCGACCATCCACACTTTATTTATTTAGAAGGTATGTTATTTACCAAAATCAGTCTTATCAGTCAACACATACTAGCCCCGCCCAGCCTTTATTTCCTTAGCGAGTTTAAAATCTTGAGAAGGGTCGAAAAACGTCGAGAAATTTCGGGGAAATCTTGAGAAACCTTGAGTAATCTTGAAGTCTTGACAAATCTTGAGAAATTTTGAGACCTATTGAAAAATCTGGAAAAATTTTGAGAAATCTCAAACTCTAGAAACTTCGAAACCTTGAAAAATCTTGAGAAACCCTGTGAAACTTTAAAAAATCTTGAGAAATTTCGAGTCATTTTGAAAAATCGAGAAAAATTTTGAGAAATCTCGAACTCTAGAAACTTCGAAACCTTTTTTGTCCTCTTTTTATCTATTTTTTGTCTTTTATTGGCGTGTTTTCTTGGCATCTTTTTTCATCTTGTTGTCATTTTTCATCGCCTTTTCGTCGCTTTTTCAGTGCTTTTCAGTTGTTTTTTTTATCGCATTTTTCTCCTTACCCTTTTCTTTGTCTTTTTTTTTATCTCTTTTTTTAGCTTTTTTGGCGTCTTTCTTTTTGTCTAATTTCTTTTTTGTGGCAAACCGTAGTTTTTGTCGCCTTTTTTGTAGCTTTTTTTGTTGCCGTTCTTATCGTTTTTACCTTGTCGTCGTATTTTTGTAATTTTTTTCATCGCGTTTTTATAGGATGTCTTTTTTGTGCTTTCCTGTTGCCATTTTTTAATGCATTGTCTTTTTTTTTGATACGTTGTTTTGCTCCTTTTTTTGATCTCCTTATTTAGTGTCTTTCGTCCGCTTTTTGCCGCCTTTTTTGTGTTTTTGTTGTCCTTCTTTTTTGGCGCTTTGGAGTTTTGTTTTGGTTTCTTGGTGTCTTTTTTCGCCATTTTGGTCTAGTTTTTAATCGTTTTTTGTCTGTTTCTTGTAACCTTTTGGTTCTCCAATTTTTTTACCATTTTTTGTCGTTTTTTGATAGTTTTTGCCGCCTTATTTGTCTTTTTTTGTGTTGTTTTTTTTTGGTGTTTTCATTGCTTTTTTTTGTCGACTCCTTTTTGTATTTTTCTTTTACTGCGTGGTTTCTTTTACGCTTCTTGATGCTTTTTCTCCCTCTTTTATTCAATTGTTTTATAGAATTTTTGTCGTGTTTTCTTTGCCTCTTTTCATCTTCTTGTTTGGAGTTATTTTCCGTTTTTTATGCGTTTATTCTGTTCCTTTGTTGTTTTTGGTGTTTTTTAGTAGTTTTATATCGCCTTTCTCTTGTTATCTTTTGTGTCTTCTTCTTTTGCCTTCTTCTTTTGCCTTCTTCTTTTGTCTTCTTCATTTGTCTTATTCTTTTGTCTTCTTTTTATCGCCATTTTTTGCTGGCATCATTTTTTAAATATGTTTTTGCCACCATTTTGTAGCCTTATTTTTTGTGGATTTTTTTTTCGTTTTTGTTCTTGTACTCTTTTATATAATATTTACCAAAATCAGGCTTATCTTAAGAAATACTAGCCCCGCCCTCTCTCCCTCTATTTTCTTAGAAAGCATGTTATTCGTCACAATCAGTCTTATCTTAGCAAGTACTAGCTCCGCCCACCCACCCATTATTTTCTTAGTGAATATGTCAATTATCAAACTCAGTCTTATCTTAGCAGGTACTAGACAATTCACTCCATTTTCATTATTTCGCTATGAAAATCTGTATCATCACCGTCATTTTCAAAATCAGATTCAGAATCAGATTCACCTAGCGAAATAATGAAAGGAGATATAGATTCGTACGAAAGATTTCCCATATTTTTTTCCCAATCTGCCAAAATAAGTTTTTCACAATGTTTACAAAAATTTTGCCACATGCTTGGAGTACATTTAGAAAGCGCCTCAAGCCATAAATTCTCCACCCTATTTTTTAATGAAGGTTGAGAATTTATATGCTTGTTGTACTAGTTCTTACAAAATCCCCACGTCATTTCAATTGGATTATATTGACAATGGTACGAAGGTAATCTAAGAACTTCCTGGCCACTTTCTCTTAAAGTCTCGTCTACCAAATGTCTTTTTTTTCTATCGTTTCTGAAGGGTTTAATTAAATCCCACCACTGTTTTTTCGAAATTTTTTAGTCAAATTCAACACTATGTTTAAAGAGCCATTCCTGCACTTCACATTTTTTACTAGAAAAAGTGGGTGGTTTATCCAAGTGAACCGAATGGTGCATTGTCTAAAACCACCACACATTTTTGGTTCAACTTTGCCAAAACAGGAATGAGCTGATTAACCACCCAATTTTGAAAAATTGTATTTTTTGAATTTAAAAAACCCCATTGAACAACCCGCGTGGAGAATAGTAAACCTTGATCCTTCACTTTTAATTTTGGTGGGATTGATTTTTAGATCATTATCGTGCACCCAGCGACGAATGGACGAACCATTTTGATAGATCCATGTTTCATCCAAATACACGAAAGTCAAATTTTCACAAGAATTTAGAAACTGTAAATATGTTCTCAAAAAAGTAATTTTCAGGTTTTTGTTCACATAGAATTTTGCCACCATTTACTTCCCTGTGTTTATAACCCATTGACGTAAGAATTTTGTACAATGTGGTTCGCCCCCCTTTAAATTCCAACTGTTCCCTAGAATATGCCAAAAGAGTATCTACAGTGAAATATTCTTTTTTTTATTAAGTTGCCAAATTTGTCGTTGGAGGTCTTTCCGAAACATAATTTGTATATAAATTCGTTGGTTTTCGCTTGCCAGATAGTGATGTTTTTAAATTTTGGTCCCCTGTTGATAAAATTTTCGCCACAGTTGATGTTCCCACCTATGAGAAAAAAAATTAAAAAATATTTTACAACGTTGTTTTACATTACAGAACATATGTTCGAGACCCTAATAGTTACTTCTTCGAAAGAAAGATCGGGCCTGTCTTTTCGAAACTGCAAAAAACATATTTTTATTGAAATTTTTTGTTGCAGTAAAACTATTTTAGGCATTTTCTTTTTAAATAATGTCGCAATGATCTGTGAATCTGTCACAAAAACAAATTATCAATGCTGACAAAATTAAAACATTCGTTTGCTTGGTTTTTAATTGCGTCTAATAATTCTGATCTAATAAGTGAAGTAGAAAAGTGGCAATCCAGCTCAAAGCAAATTAATGTCAATCAGACTACTGACCACGGCCATATATAACAGGTCTGCGAACTCCGAGTTTAAAATGGTCTTTTTTCGAAGAGATCCCAGAAGGCCACGGGAGCTTAAAGTTCCTAGCGCCGTCTACTGGATACTATGATGAAACTGTCCACAATAATGAATGAAATTTGCGTAAAAATGTCCTTGAATGCAAGTTGTCATAAATGTCAGCTTTATAGGTTAGGTTTTGTGACATCTTTTTGAAAGATGAGGGGAAATATACGTCAAATGTCATGTCAAACGTCAGTCGATAGCGCAAATAGTACAAGTAACTACCACATGGTGGCGGTCATCTTAAGCTCCCACAACCTACTACGATACCAGTTTTTAAGCGCCCGTTTTATGAAAATTTATGAATGGAGTTGAAACACCTTACTTATACCACCGTGCTACTGACAGACAAAAAACTAAATCATCAAATCAGTTTATCCAACTTAAAGAAAAAATATCAAAGCCTACTTTACTATACAAAAAACCGTAATGTATCGTTTTACGGGACTTTTATAAATGTTCGTACATCTAGCGATCTGTGAAATTTACAAATACTGCAGATTTGCTACTTCTTAGTAATAGTAAACATTCTAAAATTTTGATTAATATGTCGCTCGTATTGAATTTTGAATTATTTAATTACTGTAGAAAATTTAACAGTGTGAGGGATTTAAGTGCGAAAAATAAAAATACGCTTTTTCCCCGTTGGAATTAATTAGGCCGCCGCCACTGCCCCCCAACGCCAACGCCTGTCAAACGTCAAAACATAACCTACTTTTTTTCCTTCAAAACAAACAACCGCTATGGCTCTATACGACAACAAATACTGGCTATTATCGCACATACGCAACTCCTTCATTTCCACAGACGACACAGGTAACTTTTTCACCACAATGCAGCCATTTATAGCGCGTGTTTGCAGGTATGTGCGAGCTAATCATGGCTGGGGAGGAAGGTGTCCGAAAACACTTGAAACAAAGCCTGGATCTTTACCCAGACGACGAAGACAGCGAGGACGAAGACGACTTGTCTCACGAGTCGTACGACTTGCAACTGGACACCGATTTTCCCATTAGATACAGGTCTAACACCGCTGCGCGTTTGGAGAAGTTAGAACAAGTTAGAAAAAAGACAAGTAGAATGAAACACGTAAAATGGGAGACCAATAACTCTGAGTTGTCGCAAGAGCAAGTGGACGATTTGTTTGTTCGGAAGGAACCGGTTGTTAGTGAGGTGAAACAGTCGCTTTTTTCTAAAACCTTCAAACAGTATAGAATGATGCCATCGAATCCTTTTATTGAATTCGCGAAGTTTGATGGCAGCGGGCAGGTTAACCTCCAGACTAAGAAGTATAGGATTTTTCTGACCATGTTGCCGGAGCATCAGAGGAATTATCCAATGAATATTTGTTGTATTGGAAGCGCTAAAGTGTCAGAATTAATTGGACTGATTTTGCTGAAATGCAGGTATACATTGAGACTTTTGTAACAAAAAAGTAACTGGTTTGTTTAGCACAATGTATGAAGACTATCACTGGAAACCTGTGACCACTTATGGTCTATATATAACAGAAGAAGATGGAGAGGTAGATAGAGACTTACCTTGTTTAGATGCAAGGGAAAATATTTCCAAATTTGGTTTCCATTGTTTAGGGTTAGTTGAGCACACAGACCCCACTAAGTATGTTAGTTTTGACACATCTGAGTCAGTCATTATAATGAGGTCACCTTTCAACACAAGTGATAAAAAATCTAAAGGTAAACCCAACAAAAACCTCTGACTTGTTTTAATTTTTTTTTCCAGATATATCAAAGTCTGATCAAGAAAAACAAATAACAACAGATTTACATTTAATGGACGTGCATAAAAGGGCAATGGAGGCTCCACTATATAAATCTTACAAAGTCTACATGATTACTAAAATGCGGGCGAAAACAGAAATCCATTTAGGAATCAGTGGAGAGAAAATTGAGATTGACCCTGTACAAAAAAATTCAAAGTTCGTTTTAGTTAAGCAGAAACCAATTAACCACGATATGGATATGATAGCGTGGTGTGAAACCGTGGACGTGAAGAGCAATAGAACTATTTTTAGGATTATTTACAGCCAAAATTTTGGTAGTTCAAGTGCACCAGAAAATGGTACTTTTTAGTCAATACTAGTCACATTGAATTACTGTTTTTTTTCAGTTTCTACGTTTAGTCCAACGCTACAGACTTCCGCTAGCTTTAAAAGCTACGACTTTGAGGCTGAGCATGAAACTGCTGAAGAAATAGTTTACAAAATTAGCCTGATTTTAGAACTTCGGTCTAGTGATACACGAAAGGAGTATTTAGCAGCTCAAGAGAGGAGATACTACAAAAAGAAAGCGCTTATTTAGTAGTTGTATTGTTTCTAATTAATATACCAAAATTTGAACTTTGTTTTGTTTATTGACATTTACATAACCTCAAACGTCAAAACCAGTGGGTTGTCATCAGTGTCAGTGTACTCTGGAAAACGGAAGTTATTATGTTTGTGACGAGAACAAAATAATAATTGATGAGAAAAGGCCGCGGAGCCCCACGATGGCATATTCAGCGTCCCGCTAACGTAGTTTGACTCGGCCTACGACCATGGTGACAATATAACTAGGAACAAGATGGATCTATTTGTGTTCATGTTTATAATATTTATATCCTTTTTGGTCGGAATTATAGTGACCCTAGTGGTGCAGTATTACATTTTGTATTCGTATTTCCAGAAAAGCCCGTTGGTTAAACCGTCTGAGAAACAGGGCCCGACTGATTACAGTTTACCAGATGTATGTGGTGGAATTCATTAATTAAATATGTAAACAGTGGTTTTTCAGTCCTTGAAGGAGCAGCTAGAAAACGACGAACAAAATGGCAAGAACAACACCACGAGCTTGTCTGTTAGTCTAGTTTTACAGTTTTTATTTCACGAATTGCGCCATTCTGAGGCCATCAAGAGGTGGCTTTTTAAGAAACTTAGTCTAGAGTTTGAGGAGCTGTTAACAAAAACCACAATAGGAAAATTTTTTGAAGTTATAAACGTGCGTAAGCTAACGTGTAGTTGTTTTTTTTTCAGACTTAAATTTCAGATAAGAGACATGAATTTAGGTAATCATTTTCCCAACATCAAAAACATAACTATTGAAGACGTTAAACTAGACAGTAATGAGGGCCACATTGACACTGTGAGTTTGTGTTTAGACTTGGACTACACAGGTAATTTTTTATTAAGTATTGATGCCAAAATGAAATTCGGAAAAACGGCGTACCTATCGATCAAAGGTAATAAAAATTTATGTTTCAATAGCCCGTTAACACGTTTTATTCCAGTTAATAAAGTAAATGGACTTGTTAGACTTCAGTTTACTAGACACCCATACACGCATTGGTCGTTCAGTTTTTATAGTGATCCAGTTATAGAATTAGAAGTAGAATCGCATTTTCAAGGACGGCAGCTACAGTCGAATATTACGAGTCTCATAGTTCATCAAATTAAGAAAGCTATTAGGAGAAAACACACCCTACCCAATTATAAAATAAGGTAATTTTGGTTTTACATATACACGGTGTTCTAGTAGTGTCATGTTCGCGAACACAATCTGACAACGTTGCACGCATGCGTACAATAGGCGCGCCAAATTTAAATTTGTTGTAGTCGTATTTTCCACTCATGCGCATTAATGCAAACCGATGCATTGCCATCTTTTCAAAGAATTGGTCCCCTGAGAACAATTAAATCTCCAAATTTTACAATAGTAATAATAGTAATCCGTTTAGGGTTTATGAATCCGTATTGAGTTTTTACCAAAAGTCAACATTTTCCAATTTATAGTTATTGGAAGCATGTTAAATCGTTACTCAAAATTTATCCGTTTATGTCCCCCAGGAATTGATGATGTCGTGGTACAATTTTTTCAAATAAATGTTATTTAAATTTTAAAAAGTAGCATAGTACTGAACTTGTGGTTTATAAATACGCTATTGAGATTTAGATGTCTCAATTTTTCAATATTTCAGTTAGGGCTTTTGCAATTTTTCCATTCTACAAATTTTCATTTTCTCGATTTTTTGATTTTTCAATTTCTCAATTTTCCTATGCTTCAATGACCCGATTTCTCAATTTCACATTTTTCACACCAGTTTTGGGATTTTTCAATATTTCGATTTTTCGATTTTTGGACTCCTGGATTTTTTTATTTCTCGATTTTTTACTTTTTGGGTTTTCAATTTTTCGTTACACTTTAAATTTTTAAATTTTTCGACTGTTTTATACTTCGATTTCTCAAATTTTCAACTTTTCGATGTTTTAATTCTTAAATTTTTAAATTCTAGGTTTTTCGATTTCTCGAGTTTTCAGTTCCTCTAGATTTCAATTTTTCAATTTTCAGAACTTTTTTAAAATTTTTGGATTTTTCAATTTCTCGATTCATCAATTTTTCAATTTTTAAATTTTCTTTTCGGCTTTCAACTCCTCTGATTTTTCGATTTTTCGATGTCTCTGTTTTTTAATTTTTCGATGTTTCAATTTTGGGATTTTTCAGTTCTAGATTTTTTACTTTTGGGCTTTTCAATTTTTCAATTTTTTTAATTCTGGAGTTTCGAATTTTTATTTTTTGATTTTTTGATGTTTGGAATGCTCGATCTTTTAATTTTACGATACTTTAATTGTTCAATGTTTTAAATTTTAGATTTTTCGTTTTCTCGATTTTTTGATTTTTCAGTTCTTCGGTATTTCTATTTTTCAATTTTTCAAGTTTTGATGTTGCAAAATTTCCGGTTTTCCCATTTCTCAATTAATCTATTTTTTATTTTCCCATTTCTCGACTTCTCCAAGTTTCGATTTTTCATTTCTTCAATTCTTCGATTTTTCGACTTTGCTTTTTTGGTTTTTCGATTTCTCAATTTTCCAATTTTTTAATTTCTCAATATTTGAATATTGATTCAAGTTCGGGGATTTAATTTTTCAATATTTCATTTCTTCGACTTTCCAATCTTTTGACTTTTTATTTTTTGGATTTTTCAGTTTTCGATTTTTTAATTTTGGACTTTTCAATTTTTCGATTTTTGAATTTTTCAATTTTTTTAAATTTTCGATTTTTCAATTTTTTGAGATCTCGATTTATTGTTTTGATTGTTCGGTCTGTATATTTCGGTTTCTCAATTTTTCAATTTTCCGATATTTCGAGTTATCAGTTCTTCTTTTTTTCAATTTTTCGATTTTCCGCTTTTTTAAATTTTCGATTTTCCAATTTTTTTTTAAATTTTTTTAAATTTTTTGATTTCTCGATTTATCGAATGTTTGGATTGTTCAGTTTTTCGATTCATCAATTTTTCAATTTTTAACTTTTATTCTCGATTTTCGACTCTTCAAATCAATCCTCTGATTTTTCGATTTCTGGATTTGTTTTTGAATTTTTCGATGTTTCGATTTTTGGTTTTCTCGGTTTTTCGATATTTTACTTTTGGGCTTTTCAATTTTTAGATTTTTCGATTTCTCGATTTTTTGATTTTTCAGTTCTTCAATATTTCTAATTTTCAATTTTTCAAATTTTGACGTTGCTAAATTTTTAATTTTCCCATTTCTCGATTTCTCAAAGTTTCAATTTTTTAATTTTTCAATTCTCCGATTTTTCGAGTTGCTTTTTTTGATTTTTCGATTTCTCAATTTTCCAATTTTTTAATTTCTCAATTTTTGGATATTTCTTTCAGTTTTGGGATTTTTCAATATTCATCGTATCGATTTTTCAACTTCTGGATTTATCTATTTTTTATTCTTTGGACTTTCAGTTTTTCAATTTTTAAAATTCTAGATTTTCGAGTTTTAATTGTTCAATCCCTCGGTTTATCAGTTTTTCCATTTTTAACTTTTCGATTTAGTGGATTTTGGCCTATTTATATTTCAAATCATCGAAAAATTGGAAAATCAAAAAATTAAAAAATAAATTGGAAATTCGAAAATTTAAAAATTCCGAAAATTGAAAAATTGAGATATAGAAGAACTGAAAACTCAAGAAATCGAAAAACCTGAAATTTTAAAAATTGAAAAGTTAAAATATGGAAAAGTTGAAAAATTGGAAAATCCAAGTATAAAACAGTCGAAAAATTGAAAAATCTAAAGTTTTAAAAACTAAAAATTGAAAATTCAAAAAGTAAAAAGTCGAAAAATCGGAAAGTCCAGAACTCAAGAAATCGGAAAAATCTTAAAACTGAAATATCGAAAAATTTAAAAATAGAAGAAAAATTGAAGAATCGAAAAACTGAAAAATAACAAAATTGAAGGAAATATTCAAAAATTGGGGATTAAAAAGCAAAGTCGAAAAATCGCAAATTTAAAAAATCGAAAAATTGAAGAACCGAAAATTGAAACTTTGGGAAGTCGAAAAATGGGCAAATAAAAAATAGATTAATTTAGAATTCGGAAAACTGCAAATTCAGAAACATCAAAATTTGAAAAATAAAAAAAATATTGAACTGAAAAATCCAAAATTTAAAACACTGAAAAATTAAAATATCGAAAAATTGAGAAATGGAGGAATCCAAAAAACAAAAAAGTGGTCATTCGTCCGATGGACTCGATTACAATACTTCCTTAGCTTACGTTTGGGAAGTAAAAATTAAAAAATAAAACTTCGGAAATCGAAAGTGTAAAAATCGAAAAACTGAAAAATCAACAGTTCGAGAAATCGAAACTCGAAGACTTAAAAAATTGAAAAATGGAAAAATCCAAACAAAAAAATGACAAAAAAATAAAAATTAGAAAATCTAGAATTTAAATCGAAAAACTGAAAAATCAACAAATCGAAAAATCGAAACTCGAAAATTTAAAAAATTGGAAAATTGAAAAATCGGAAAATTCATAAATCGAAAAATTCAAAAACTGAGACATCGAAAAATCGGTAAATTGAAAAATGAAAAACTTGAAAAATCGCAAAATTGAAGAATTTGAAAAATCGGAACTTTGGGAAATTGAGAAATGGGAAATTTAAAAAATAAATTAATTGGGAAATCGGAAAACTGAAGATTCAGAAATGGCAAAATTTGAAAAATTTATAAATATTGAACTGAAAAATCGAAAAATCTAACATTGAAAAGTTAAAATATAGAAAAGTCGAAAAATTGAAAAATCTAAAGTTTTAAAAACGAAAAATTAAAAATCCAAAAAGTAAAAAATCGAAAAATCGAAAAATCCAGAAATCAAAAAATCGATTAGTCGAAATATTAAAAAATCCCAAAACTGAAATATCGAAAAATTTAAACATAGAAGAAACAGGAAAATCGAAAAACTAAAAAATCACAAAATTGAATGAAATATCCAAAAACTGGCAAATTTAAAAAATCGAAAAACTGAAAAATCAAAAATCTGAAAAATTGAAAACTTGAGAAGTCGAGAAATGGAAAAATAAAAAAAAAATATTAATTGAGATATCGGAAAACTGAAAATTCAAGAAACGTCAAAATTTGAAAAATTTAAAAATATTGAAGAACTGAAAAATCGAAAAATCTAAAATTTAAAACATTCAAAAATTAAAATATCGTAAAATTGAAAAATGGAGAAATCCAAACACTAAAAAATCAAAAAAATAAAAATTCGGAAATCTAAAATTTAAAAATCGAAAAACCGAAAAATCAACAAATCAAGAAATCGAAATTCTAAAATTTAAAAAATTGTAAAATCAACAAATCGTAAAATTGAAAAATCATGAAATTCAATAATCAAAAAATCAAAAAAGTAAAAATTCGGAAATCTAAAAATTATAAATCGAAAAACTGAAAAATCAACGAATCGAGAAATCGAACTCGAAAAATTAAAAAACTGAGACATCGAAAAATTGAAAAATCAAAAACCTGAAAAATCGAAAAATTGAAGAATAAAGAACTGAAAAATCGAAACTTTTGGGAAGTCGAGAAAAAATAAATTAATTCAGAAATCGGAAAACTGAAAATCAGTAACGTCAAAATTTGAAAAAGTTAAAAATATTGAACTGAAAAATCGAAAAAACCAACATTGAAAAGTTAAAATATAGAAAAGTCGGAAAATTGAAAAATCTAAAGTTTTAGAAACGAAAAATTAGAAATCCAAAAAGTAAAAAGTCAAGAAATCGAAAAATCCAGAACTCAAAAAATCGAAAAGTCGAAATACTAAAAAATCCCAAAACTGAAATATCGAAAAATTTAAAAATAGAAAAAACAGGAAAATCGAAAAACTAAAAAATCATAAAATTGAACGAAATATCCAAAAATTCGCAAATTTAAAACATCGAAAAACTGAAAAACCAAAAACCTGAAAAATTGAAAACTTGAGAAGTCGAGAAATGGAACAATAAAAAAAAATGATTGAGATATCGGAAAACTGAAAATACAAGAAACGTCAAAATTTGAAAAATGTAAAAATATTGAAGAACTGAAAAATCGAAAAATCTAAAATTTAGAACATTCAAAAATTAAAATATCGTAAAATTGAAAAATGGAGAAATCCAAATACTAAAAAATCAAAAAAATAAAAATTCGGAAATCTAAAATTTTAAAATCGAAAAACCGAAAAATCAACAAATCAAGAAATCGAAATTCTAAAATTTAAAAAATTTTAAAATCAAAAAATCGTAAAATTGAAAAATCATGAAATTCAATAATCAAAAAATCAAAAAAGTAAAGATTCGGAAATCTAAAAATTAAAAATCGAAAAAACTGAAAAATCAACAAATCGAGAAATCGAACTCGAAAAATTAAAAAACTGAGACATCGAAAAATTGAAAAATCAAAAACCTGAAAAATCGAAAAATTGAAGAATAAAGAGTTGAAAAATCGAAACTTTTGGGAAGTCGAGAAAAAATAAATTAATTCAGAAATCGGAAAACTGAAAATTCAGTAACGTCAAAATTTGAAAAATTTAAAAATATTGAACTGAAAAATCGAAAAAACTAACATTGAAAAGTTAAAATATAGAAAAGTCGGAAAATTGAAAACTCTAAAGTTTTAGAAACGAAAAATTAAAAATCCAAAAAGTAAAAAGCCGAGAAATCCAGAACTCAAAAAATCGAAAAGTCGAAATACTAAAAAATCCTAAAACAAAAATATCGAAAAATTTAAAAATAGAAGTAACAGGAAAATCTAAAAACTAAAAAATCACAAAATTGAACGAAATATCCAAAAATTGGCAAATTTAAAAAATCGAAAAACTGAAAAATCAAAAACCTGAAAAATTAAAAACTTGAGAAGTCGAGAAATGGAACAATAAAAAAAATGATTGAGATATCGGAAAACTGAAAATACAAGAAACGTCAAAATTTGAAAAATGTAAAAATATTGAAGAACTGAAAAATCGAAAAATCTAAAATTTAAAACATTGAAAAATTAAAATATCGTAAAATTGAAAATGGAGAAATCCAAACAATAAAAAATGAAAAAAATAAAAATTCGGAAATCTAAAAGTTAAAAATCGAAAAACTGAAAAATCAACAAATCAAGAAATCGAAACTCGAAAATTTAAAAGATGGGAAAATTGAAAAATCGGATAATTCAAAAATCGAAAAGCCGAAAATTAAAAAATCAAAAAACCGACAAATCGACGAATTGAAGAACTGAAGAGCTGAAAAATCGGAACTTTGGGAAGTCGAGAAATGGGAAGATAAAAAAATAGATTGAGAAATCGGAAAACTGAAAATTTAGAAACGTTAAAATATTGAAGAACTGAAAAATCGAAAAATCTAAAATTTAAAAAATTGAAAAGTTAAAAAATCGTAATATTGAAAAATGATAAAATTCAACAATCAAAAAAATAAAAATTCGGAATTCAAAAATTCAAAAATCGAAAAACGAATCGAGAAATCGAACTCGAAAAATTAAAGAAAGAAGAACTGAAAAATCGAAACTAAAAAAATTGATTAATTCAGAAATTGGAAAACTCAAAATTTAGTAACGTCAAAATTTGAAAAATTAAAAATACTGAAGAACTGAAAAATTGAAATATCGTCAAATAGGAAAATGGAGAAATCCAAACAACAAAAAGTAAAAAAAAATATAAATTAAAAAATTAAAAAACAAAACAAAAAAATCGAAAAACCGAAAAGTAATGATCGAAACATCGAAAAAATTCAAAGACTGAGACATCGAAAAATCGAGGAGTCGAAAGGTCGAGAAGTCGGAAAATCGAAAAATTGGGAAAGTAATAAATAAATAACCACCAAAATTGTAACTAGAAATATGTAAAAATTAATACAAAATAAAACTTCCAAAACATAAAAATAACTGCACTTTCCCGAAAAAAATTTATTGCATGATTACGTTTCCACTAATTGCTAATTTAGGACGTTTGGTTAGTACCAAACAATTAAAGAATTAATTCTTAGTTAAACAAAAAAAATTGTTGCATGTCAAAATTGAGTGAAACATTGAGATGTAATATTACGTTTGTAAATAATATCCATCTCCTGCACAAATTCTGAACGCTTAGAGTCGACATTGGCCTGACTGCACCCCGGTCTATGGATCAAACAAGTTCTCAGGCGACAAACCATTAAATAGTGCAAAAAGTGAGGTTTTACAGGAATTTCAGTTTTTTACAAAACTTTTTTCAAAACAATTAGTGTTAAACAGATTTTCATGCTAAAGCTAGAATTCCGGAGAAAATCAATCCACGATATGAATTAATTAATAAAGCATCGAGCACAAAATTCGGGGTTAATCTCCCATCCCTTCGAAATTAATCAATAACCTCGCATAAATCTAGCTATATTAACTTCGTCAGCTGGCATTCAACATAATGTTAATGACTTGCTGTGACGGTTGCACGCTATTTGTTAGCTATTAATAGCCACTTGATAAGAAATTGTTTATGAATCAATTAGCGTCACATAAAAGGGCGATTAGCTCTTTATTAGCAAATAAAAACACCTGATGTTTACTTACAATCATCTAAATTAGACGACTTTAATAATAATAATAATAATAATAACAATAATAAACTTTCGTCCGTCTAGGTACAAACCCTTTTTCATAAAAACCGACCCTAGTCAGCTAGACATCGAAGACAACGAAGTCATTCCTCAAGGCCAATTGGACGTCACGTGCATCGACGTGACCCGACTGGAGCTCTCTAGCACCGTTCAAAACATCTACTGCACAGTCGCCGTAGGTGAGTCGGACGCGCCCCATCTTGTGGCGCCTCGCTCCAACTTTCTTTCCAGACACGATCCCCTGGATCTGCCTGTACGAATCCGACGACAGAATCCACATGATCCTCGAAGTAACCATGACAAAACTGAAGCAAGCTCAACTCGGCGTGATCTTCAAGCAGGAACGGAGCTCGGTCTCCATCGAGAGCGTGTCCCCCCACAGCTGCGCCTTCCGCTCGGGCCTGAAAGCCGGCGACGTGGTCCTGGCCGTCGAAAACAAATCCGTAAACAGTGTTCCTCAAGTGGCCAAATTCATAAAGTCGGTCACGTCCACGCACGTCACGCTTCGGGTCAAACGGGTAGTCGAGTCGTACATTTTAAGAAAAAAACACGTAGATAAAGCGGAGAATAAACCTAGCACGATTGAAGATGTTGACGTTGCGCAATTGGACGACAGCTTTATAATCGTGGACAGTGTCGAAGTGGCTAAGAAACCTAAAGAGAAAGTCGAGCCGCCGGTGGAGAAAATCCCGAAAAGCTTGTCCAGTAGCGAAAACGTGTCGAAGTTCGCTCAGACCATTGGTAACTTCAGTCTGCGCAAAAGGAAGACGTCGGTGTCGGAAAAGTCGGAGGTTAGTAGTAAAAGTACACCCACGTCGAGTGTGCCTGGGACACCACAACACTCCCAGTTTAAGCAACACTCCATACCTTTACTCACTTCCGCGAAGAAGCAGTCACTGTCGGATCTCCCCGAGTTAGTCAAAGATGGCGAGGGTGACGTTCCGGTCGTCGAAGTTGGCAAGAGCAAGGAGGTACCTTCGACCTCGGTACTGCTTTTTAACGACGATTTCCAGTTTAGTCTCAAACGGGGAATAAAATATTTAAATATCAACGTCTGGGGTACAGTTGCAGATGATAAAGATGTTCTATTGGGGTACGCCAATATTCCGCTGAGCCACGTCTTGAGCGAGTGTTTTAATAGCGTTTTGGGGCATTACATGAGGCGCTACTCCTTTTTACCCCCGGTTTTTCCACAAACCAACAGGTAAGTCGTTCTAGGTGGAACTAGAGTGCTTTGACAGAATATGTCGTTTTTAAGAGTGACAGTTTCAACTTAATATTTTAGGTTATATGACTGGTTGTCAGAAACACGTGCTTATTATGAACGTTCCTCTCAAAGGGTTGCAAATATTTGAAAATCACAAATTTAATGAAAACAAAGCAAAATCTGAAGTAAAGTAACTGGAGCGATCGAACTATTTCAATTTCATTCTAAAGCACAGCAAAAATACCCATAGGGGGGCGTTTTAGCGCTAGCGGAGTTTGGGGGCTCCAGGTCGTGGCTGTTCTCCTACCCGCGATAAATCCCGCCATCTCCACTGGGAACCGCGCCCTCCGCTTCCACCACGTGTTTCTGTGTTATTTAACCTCAATTTCATTTATATGTTCGATTCTTATAACTCTGATATTAAACTACAACTGAGCAAGTGTCAAAGTTTTAAAAAGAGCGATAAACAACATTTAAATTCGCCATACAATTTTGTGAAATTTGAAACAACAAATAATTCTTATTTGAGATTAAGATTGGACATCAGATTATTTATATGAAGGAAACAATAATCGTGTTTGCCACACTTTATCAACAATTCAAACAAAGAGTTTACATTATGTTCAATTATGCCACACTTTATCAACGATTCAAACAAAGAACTAACTGAAAACAATTTCTTTTGAGGGTGATGATGATACGATGATAATAACGATGATAGCTGTCTAAGGAGAGAAATCTTTAATTTCCCCGCAAATCGAAAAATAGAAAAAATTTTAAAAATCGAAATTGAAAAAAATTTAAATGGGAACATTGAAAAATCGAAAAAATGTAAATATAAATAAATAAAAAACCGAAACGAAAAATTGCAAATCGAAAATTTGAAGAAATGAAAATTTAAAGAATCGACAAATTGTAAAATTCATAGTTTGAAGAAACAAGAAAAATGAAAAATTGAAAACCGAAAATCTAAAAAGTGAAGAAATGAAGAAATTTGAATTGAAACATTGAAGAATCTTATAACGGAAAAAAATAAAGAAAATAAAAAGCCGAAACGAAAAATTGCAAATCGAAAAGCTGAAAAATTATAAATCGAAAACTTTAACAATTTAAAAATTGAAATATCGAAAAATTGAAAACCAAAATATTGAAAAACACCAAAACTGAAAATTTTCACGTTGAAAACGAAAAATTATAGAATCAGAACATGGAAAAATCGGAAAATCAAGTAAAGGAAAAACCAAAACGAAAAATTTCAAATCAAAAAATTGAAAAATAATTACTGGATATTTAAAATAAAAACTAGAAAAATTGCAAATTAAAAATTAAAGAAACGAAAAATTGAAAAATCTAAAACTGAAGTCCCAAAAGTGAAAAATTTCACATTGCAAAAAAGAAAAATTATAAAATCAGAACACTGAAAAAGCGAAAAATCAAGAAAAGAAAAAACCGAAACGAAAAATTGAAGGTATCAAAAATTGAAAAATTCAAGAAACGAAAAATCGAAAAAGTTGAAATTGAAAATGGAAGAATTAATCTGTATTATTATTATTAAAGAAATCCAATAATTGAAAAAATAAACAAAATAAAAAACCGAAAGGAAAAATTGTAAATCGAAAAATTGAAAAATTATTACTGGATATTTAAAATAAAAACTAGAAAAATTGCAAAAATCAATAAGTGAAAAAACGAAAAACTGAAAAATCGAGAAAGTGAAAAATCGAATAAATGAAAATGTTATAAAATCCAATAATTCTAACATGAAAAAAATGTAAAATCCCAAAATTGAAAGTGATTTTTTTTTAAATTATTATAACTAATATTGCATTTTTAAAATAAAAACGAGAAAAATGCAAATTAAAAATTAAAGAAACGAAAAATTGAAAAATCTAAAAACTGAAATCCCAAAACTGAAAAATTTCACATTGAAAGAAGAAAAATCATAAAATCAGAACACTGAAAAACCGAAAAATCAAGAAAAGAAAAAACCGAAACGAAAAATTGAAGATATGAAAAATTGAAAAATCGAAAAATTCAAGAAACGAAAAATCGAAGAAGTTGAAATTGAAAATGGTAGAATAAATCTTTATTATTATTATTATTAAAGAAATCGAATAATGAAAAAATAAACAAAATAAAAAATCGAAAGGAAAAATTATAAATCGAAAAATTGAAAAATCAAAAACTGAAGTCCCAAAAGTGAAAAATTTCACATTGAAATAAAGAAAAATTATAAAATCAGAACACTGAAAAACCGAAAAATCAAGAAAAGAAAAAACCGAAACGAAAAATTGAAGACATGAAAAATTGAAAAATTGAAGAAACGAAAAATCGAAAAAGTTGGAATTGAAAATGGAAGAATAAATCTTTATTATTATTATTAAAGAAATCGAATAATTGAAAAAATAAACAAAATAAAAAACCGAAAGGAAAAGTTGTAAATCGAAAAATTGATAAATTAAAAATTGAAAAATTATTACTGGATATTTAAAATAAAAGCTAGAGAAATTGCAAAAAATCAATAAATGAAAAAACGAAAAACTGAAAAATCGGGAAAGTGAAAAATCGAATAAATGAAAATGTTTTAAAATCCAATAGTTCAAACATGAAAAAAATTTAAAATCTTAAATTGAAAAAGTGTTTTTTTTTAAATTATTATGACTAATGTTGCATTTTTGAAATGAAAACTCGAAAAAATGCAAATTAAAAATTAAAGAAACGAAAAATTGAAAAATCGAAAAACTAAAGTCCCAAAAGTGAAAAATTTCACATTGAAACAAAGAAAAATTATAAAATCAGAACACTGAAAAACCGAAAAACCAAGAAAAGAAAAAACCGAAACGAAAAATTGAAGACATGAAAAATTGAAAAATCGAAAAATTGAAGAAACGAAAAATCGAAAAAATTTAAATTGAAAATGGAAGAATAAATCTTTATTATTATTATTAAAAAATCGAATGATTGAAAAAATAAACAAAATAAAAAACCGAAAGGAAAAATTGTAAATCGAAAAATTGATAAATTACAAATTGAAAAATGATTACTGTATATTTAAAATAAAAATTAGAAAAATTGCAAAAAATCAATCAGTGAAAAATCGGGAAATTGAAAAATCGAATAAATGAAAATGTTTTAAAATCCAATAATTCAAACATGAAAAAAAGTTAAAATCTTAAAATTGAAAAAGTGTTTTTTTTTTAATTATTGTAACTAACTTTCATTTTTTAAATGATAACTAGAAAAATTGCAAATTAAAAATTAAAAAAACGAAGTCCCAAAAGTGAAAAATTTCACATTGAAAAAAAGAAAAATTATAAAATCGGAACACTGAAAAACCGAAAAATCAAGAAAAGAAAAAACCGAAACGACAAATTGAAGACATGAAAAATTGAAACATCGAAAAATTGAAGAAACAAAAAATCAAAAAAGTTGAAATTGAAAATGGAAGAATAAAGCTTTATTGTTATTATTAAAGAAATCGAATAATTGAAGAAATAAACAACATACAAAAACCGAAAGGAAAAATTGTAAATCGAAAAATTGATAAATTAAAAATTGAAAAATTCAGTCCTCGATATTATATTATGAATTCTGCTGCACTAAATTTTGAAAAATTTAAAAATCAGAAAATTGTAATATTGAAACGTCTAAAAGTTATAAAATTGAAAAATCAAAAAATTTAAACATTGAGAAGTCGAAGAATTGAAAAAATAAAGAAAAATTGAAAAAACCGAAAAAATGAGAATCAAAAATTGAAATATGAAACTTACAATATCGAAAAATTTTAAAATCGAAAAGTCTAAACATGAAAAAATGAGAAATTAAACAATTGAAAAATCGAGAAACCTGAAAAACTAATTAAAAATCGAGAAATTGAAAAATTGAAAAAACGAAAAACAAAAATTTCTATAAATTAAATAATCAAAAATACAAAAATTTTTAATTTCAAAATCCAAAGATTTTAAAATGAAACTTGAATGTCGAATAATTAAGAAATCGAAAAACGAAAAAATGGAGAAATTGAATTGGATAATTGAAAAATCGAAAAATTGTAATATTGAAACCTCAAAACCCTGATTAATTAAAAATGGAGAAACTGAAGCAATTTTGCAATTTTTCGATATAAAAATTTTTCAAATTCTCGATTTGTAATTTTCATTTTCTCGATTTTTCATTTTTTAATTGTTCAACAAACCGAAATTTTGAATTGAACTGAAAAATCAAAAAATTGAGAAATCGAAGATTTGAAACAATAAAGAAAACTTGAAAAAACCTAAAAAAATGAGACTTAAAAACTGAAAAACGAAAATTGAAATATCGAAAAATTTAAAAATTGAAAAATCGAAAAATGAAAAAAATTGAGAAATTGAACAATGGGATAATTGAAAAAACAATTGAAAAATCGAAAAATTGTAATATTGAAACCTGAAAACCCTGATTAATTAAAAATCGAGAAAGTGAAAAATTGAAAAAACGAAAAACAAAAACTTCTGTAAATTAAACAATCACAAATACAAAAAAAAATTCAAAATCCAAAAATTTTAAAATGAAAACTGAAAAACTAAAAACATAAGAAATTGTAAAAAAGAAACATGGAAAAATTGAAAAATTGTAACATCGAAAAGACGAAACACTGAAAAACCGAAAAATTTAAAAACCGAGAAATCGAAGATTTGAAAAAATACAGAAACTGAAAAATCGTGTAATTGAAAAGCCAAGAATTGTACACTTGAAAAAAATCCTAATAATAATTATTTGAAAAAAGTGAAAAATTAAAATTTGGGAAATTTAAAAATGAAACAATTAAAAAATTGTAAATTTGAAAAAAAATAAAACGTAAAATCGAAAATTTGTAACATTGAAACAAAAATTGAAGAAACGAAACAAACTGGAAGTACTTTATTTTTAATTTTTCATTTTCTCAGTTTTTCGTTTTTTAATTTTTCAACAAAAGGACGAACTTATTAAAAGTGAAATTTTAAAATATCAAAAAATCGGAAAATTGTAAAAGTGAAAAACTAAAAAATCAAAAAATTAAAAAACTGAAAAATCGAGAAAGAAACATTGAAAAACCGAACAATTTAAAAATTGGGAAATCGAAGAACTGCAAAAATAAAGAAACTCAAAATCGAATAATTAAGACGTCAACAATTGGAAAAGGAAAAATTGTAACCTTAAAAATGAAAAAACTGAAAATTTAAAAAAGGGAAAAATAGAAAAAACGAAACTTGAAACACCGAGAAATTTAAAAATTGTAGTCTTAAAACTTGGGAAACTGAAAACTTCGATAATAAAAACAACTGAAAATTTGAAAAATTAAAAAAAAAGAAACTGTAAAATCGAGAAACTGATTAATAAAAAATCGAGAAATACAAAAATACGGGAAACAAAATTTTCTAGAAATAGAAAAATCGACAAATTCTGAAATTCAAAAGTTGAAGAATGTCAAAATAAACATCGAAAATCTGTAAAATTAAAAAATCGAAAACTGAAAAATTAAAAAAAATTAAACATTGAACAATAAAAAAAATTGAAATACCGAAATGTTGAAAAAATAGCGAAATAAAAAATCAGTAAATAAAAAAAAAAATGATAAATAAAAAAATTAAAATATCTTAAAACGAAAAAATCGAAAAAACGAGAAACTGTCAAATCTAAAAATTATAACATTGAAACCTGAAAAAACTGACGAAATAAAAATCGAGAAACTGAAAAATGTAAAAACGAAACACAGAAAAATCGAAAAATTAACAATTAAAAAAACAAAAATTTAAAAATCTCGAATTGAGAAAATAAAAAATTGAAGAAAACGAAACAACTTGGAAGTACTTTATTTTTAATTTTTCATTTTCTCAATTTTTTGTTTTTTAATTTTTCAACAAAAGGACGAACTTATTAAAAGTGAAATTTTAAAATATCAAAAAATCGGAAAATTGTAAACGTGAAAAATTGAAAAATCAAAAAATTAAAAAACTGAAAAATCGAGAAAGAAACATTGAAAAACCGAACAATTTAAAAATTGGGAAATCGAAGAACTGCAAAAATAAAGAAACTCAAAATCGAATAATTAAGACGTCAACAATTGGAAAAGGAAAAATTGTAACCTTAAAAATGAAAAAACTGAAAATTTAAAAAAGAGAAAAATAGAAAAAACGAAACTTGAAACACCGAGAAATTTAAAAATTGTAGTCTTAAAACTTGGGAAACTGAAAACTTCGATAATAAAAACAACTGAAAATTTGAAAAATTAAAAAAAAAGAAACTGTAAAATCGAGAAACTGATTAATAAAAAATCGAGAAATACAAAAATACGGAAAACAAAATTTTCTAGAAACAGAAAAATCGACAAATTCTGAAATTCAAAAGTTGAAGAATGTCAAAATAAACATCGAAAATCTGTAAAATTAAAAAATCAAAAACTGAAAAATTAAAAAAAATTAAACATTGAACAATAAAAAAAAATTGAAATACCGAAATGTTGAAAAAATAGCGAAAGTAAAAAATCAGTAAATAAAAAAAAATGATAAATAAAAAAATTAAAATATCTTAAAACGAAAAAATCGAAAAAACGAGAAACTGTCAAATCTAAAAATTATAACATTGAAACCTGAAAAAACCGACGAAATAAAAATCGAGAAACTGAAAAATGTAAAAACGAAACACAGAAAAATCGAAAAATTAACAATTAAAAAAACAAAAATTTAAAAACTCGAATTGAGAAAATAAAAAATTTAAGAAACGAAACAACTTGGAAGTACTTTATTTTTAATTATTCATTTTCTCAGTTTTTCGTTTTTTAATTTTTCAACAAAACGAACTTATTAAAAGTGAAATTTTAAAATATCAAAAAATCGGAAAATTGTAAAAGTGAAAAATTGAAAAATCAAAAAATTAAAAAACTGAAAAATCGAGAAAGAAACATTGAAAAACCGAACAATTTAAAAATTGGGAAATCGAAGAACTGCAAAAATAAAGAAACTCAAAATCGAATAATTAAGACGTCAACAATTGGAAAAGGAAAAATTGTAACCTTAAAAATGAAAAAACTGAAAATTTAAAAAAGGGAAAAATAGAAAAAATGAAACTTGAAACACCGAGAAATTTAAAAATTGTAATCTTAAAACTTGGGAAACTGAAAACTTCGATAATAAAAACAACTGAAAATTTGAAAAATTAAAAAAAAAAGAAACTGGAAAATCGAGAAACTGATTAATAAAAAATCGAGAAATACAAAAATACGGAAAACAAAATTTTCTAGAAATATCGACAAATCGACAAATTCTGAAATTCAAAAGTTGAAGAATGTGAGAATAAAAATCGAAAATCTGTAAAATTAAAAAATCGAAAACTGAAAAATTAAAAAAAATTAAACATTGAAACATAAATTGAAATACCGAAATGTTGAAAAAATAGCGAAAGTAAAAAATCAGTAAATAAAAAAAAAGATAAATAAAAAAATAAAAATATCTTAAAACGAAAAAATCGAAAAAACGAGAAACTGTCAAATCTAAAAATTATAACATTGAAACCTGAAAAAACTGACGAAATAAAAATCGAGAAATCGAAAATGTCAAAAACGGAACATGGAAAAATCGAAAAATTAACAATGAAAAAAAAAAAAATTTACAAATCTCGAATTGAGAAAATAAATCGAAGAAACGAAACAACTTGGAATAACATACTTGAAAGTACTTTATTTTTAATTTTTCATTTTCTCAATTTTTCGTTTTAAAAAGTGAAAAAACTGAAAATTTAGAAGACAGAAAAATCGAGCAATTGCAAAATTGAAAATCAAAAATAGAAAAAATGCAACTTGAAACACCGAGAAATTTAAAAATTGCAATCTTAAAACTTGAGAAACTGAAAACTTCGATAACTGAAAAAACAACTGAAAATTTGAAGAATTGAATAAAAAAGAAACTGTCAAATCTAAAAATTATAACATTGAAACCTGAAAAAACTGACGAAATAAAAATCGAGAAACTGAGAAATCCTAAAATCGAAAAGAAACTTCAAAAATCGATGCGAATTAAAAAAAATGCGTAGACCACGCAGATAAAAGCAATAATATTCGACTTTGGGTCGCAGTTGGCGACTATGGGGTAGAAGCATTACGTCATCTTTTGTGCAGATAGCCCGATAAATCCCGCCAGCTCGACTAGGAACGGAACCGCGCACTCCGCTTCCACCACGTGTTCCTGTGTTATTTAACCTCAATTCCACTTATATGTTCAATTCTTGTAACTCTAATATTAAACTACAACTGAACAAGTGTAGCAAAGGAATACCATATCTGTGTTTCTGTCTAACTTGACATCGTGTCCACACTCTTAAAAACCACATATTCTGTCATGGAACCAGATGAACATTTGTTGCATTTTTAGCCAAACGCACCCGCTAATGTCCCACTCGGGTTTTGAACACGTGTTCTGCTACGGCGATGTTCTCTTGTCTTTTATATGGTCGCACGAGGACGAGGTGGAGCTCAAACGGAAGAACTCCACGGACATTTTAAACGTCGACATAGAACAAATAGCGACATCAACATCGCTTAAGCACGACTTTATTAGAACGCAGTTCCACCGGACCACCCATTGTGATTTCTGTTCAAAAAAGGTACTATTTGCACAAAAAAGCGAATTTGTTTTCTTAAAATGGATCGTAGATTTGGCTGAAAGACGCTGTCCAGTGTCGCGAATGTGGCCTCTGCTGCCACAAAAAGTGCATCGCTAAGTGTCAAACGAGCACCGCTTGTATTCAAAGTGATAAGAAAGTCGAGCCTGAGCCCGTACAACCAGAGATAACCATGACTGAGCCTCCAGAGGAGGTACCCCCGTCTGAATACACTGAAGCTAGCCTTAAGAGAGTCAATAGTGTTAAAAATCTCGCAATCCCAGGTTTTAGACACAAATTATATGTCTGTCGAATTGCATGTGGTTTTCAGGTGCTCATTTGTTGTCGAGCGTGTCGAAAAGCCTGCCGCCTTCACCCCAGAGAACACCAAGCCGCAAACAGTCTATTAGTAACATAAACCCGTTCTCTTTGTGCCCCAGTGCTTTAGAAGACGTGCAAAAGAAGCCTGAAGAGGCAGCTGAGAGCGTCAACAGGCTTCTGGAACAAGTGATGTTGTGCCCCGCCGACGAGTCTCTGATGGACGTCGCCAAAGAAACCGGGAGGCAGCTGTATGTAACTATGTCGCACGAAGAAAAAGTGGAAAAAGTTAATATAATGGTAAGTGAGGTTATGTCGCGATCGTGTGTTTACAGTGCGATTGGTAGATGGCGGAGCTGAAGAAGACTCTGGATTCGGTGACGACGGAGCACATGGAGCTGTCGAAGCAAATGAGTGTCCAGGAATCCGACGCCGAGAAGACTAAATTAGCTTTTTTAATAGGACAGGCCGACGCCAAAGTGCAAGGTTTATCAGTATTGATGCTTCATTATTGTTCGAGTTTGCAACATACACAAGAAAAAATTGTGTAGGTTGTTGGTAGCAGTATTTTAATTAGGTTCGCACAAGGTTTTGTTAGTGGGCTGAAGGGGTTTTAGTTGATTTTGCACACTTAATAGGGTTCTTTTGTTCACCAAAGACGTCATATCAAGTTATTCAAGTTACCGCGATCCGACTTCTTCGGCCCGTTTTACTTTTATTGATTTAAGTACCGTGAGGGAGTTACACGTGATTTTCTGGTAGACACTTAAGTAAGGTTAGCTCAGGTCGGCTCCTTCACTTGGCAGTATTTCGTTGGTTCTAGTTGAATTTTTATTCTCTAGTCAATTACTTTATGTACTTACAACTTCTATAGCGTCTTATGTACTTACCGGTAGTAGGTTTGTTAAGTTCTAGACATATACATATTCAACTATACTTACTGTGATAGCGTAGAAGTAGTGATATTTTTATTTCATTTTTTAGAAGTTGGTGTAAAATGTACCAAGCAAAGCTGTCGTTGTCTGACCGGTTCTTAATAACCCCATGTAACAAAGAAGACACGAAAACGCTTTAAACTTGCAATTAGTACTTTACTTGTTTTATCGGTTGTGGTTTTATTCCAGCGAACAATTTAGATGCATTTAATATTTTTTAGCCATATTTTTGTACGAGACGTCCATTTTGGTCTTTCAAGTCACTCTAATCATTTCGAGTACCGTCTACCAGCAATTTTATTATTGTGACATTATTTTTGTGGATTGTGTTAGGTATGTGACATATTTTTGTAAAAATAAATTAGCTTGCTTCGTACAAAGGCGTATTTATTTATCTTGAGTTAGTCCTGAGATTTCGTTAATGTGCCGCTTCGTTATGATGATTGTCACATAACCTAACTTTTTGTGAGAAATTGTGAATACTGAGCGGCAAATTTTTTTCAAAAAGCGGTGATTTTTTTCTGGAATTCAGTTATTTCTGTGTTTTAGAAGCTTTGGAAAAAAAACTGAAAAATTGAATTATCCAAGAATAAAAAATTTTAAAAATAGAAAAATTCAAAACCCCGAAAATTGAAAAGTTCCCAAAACTGATAATATTGAAAAAATTGAGAAATCTAAAAATCGAAAAATTGGAAAATAGGAATAACGCAAACATGAAAAAAATCAAAAAATAAAAATTGGAAAATCTAAAATTTAAAAATCGCGAAATTTAACGATCGGATCATTGAAAAATCGAAAAATTGAAAAACCGAGAAATAGAAAAATATCGAGAAACCAAAAAGTCGGAAAATGAAAAATTGTTGAAAAGAAATATTGAAAAATTCCAAAACTGAAAGATCGAAAAATTGAAAAATCGAAAATTTTAAAAATTCAAAGATGTAATTGAAAAGTCAAAAAGTTGAAAATTGGAAAAAAATTGAAAAGTCAAATTCTTGAAAATCAAGAATTCGAAAAATCGATAAATTGAAAACGTTGAAACGCCAAAAATTGAAAATATGAAAAATGGAAAGATTTCAAAATCGAGAATTTAAAAATTCCGAAAATTTAGAAATTGAAATATAGAAGAACTGAAAACTCGAGAAATCGAAAAACCTAAAATTTGAAAAACTGAAAAGTTAAAATATCGAAAAGTTGAAAAATTGAAAAATCGAAGTATAAAATAGTCGAAAAATTGAAAAACGCAAAGTTAAAAAACGAAAAATTGAAAATCCAAGAAATAAAAAGTCGGGAAATCGAAAAATCCAGAACCCGAAAAATTGAAAAATACAGGAAAAATTGAAAAATCGAAAATTTAAAAACTTCAAAGATGTAATTGGAAAGTCAAAAGCTGGAAAACTGGAAAAATTTGAAAAGTCAAATTCTTGAAAATCAAAAATTCGAAAAATCGACAAATTGAAAACGTTGAAACGCCAGAAATTGAAAACATGAAAAATGGAAAAATTTCAAAATCGAAAATTTAAAACTTCCGAAAATTGAGAAATTGAAATATAGAAGAACTGAAAACTCGAGAAATCGAAAAACCTAAAATTTTAAAAACTGAAAAGTTAAAATATCGAAAAGTTGAAAAATTGAGAAAGTGAAGTATAAAATAGTCGAAAAATTGAAAGATGCAAAGTTTAAAAAATGAAAATCGAAAAAATAAAATGTGGAGAAATCAAAAAATCCAGAACTCGAAAACTTGAAAAATACAAGAAAAATTGAAGAATCGAAAAGTTGAAAAATACAAGAAAAATTGAAGAATCGAAAAACTGAAAAATCACAAAATTTAACGAAATATCCAAAAATTGGGAAATTAAAAAATTGAAAACTCGAAAAGTCAAAAAAGCGAAGTCGAAAAATCGCATACTTAAAAAATTGGAAAATTGAAAAATCAAAAACCTGAAAAATCTAAAAATTGAAGAACTGATGAAGTGAAAGATTGAAAGTTTGCGAAGTCGAGAAATGGGAAAACCAAAAAATAGATTAACTGAGAATTCGGAAAAGAGGAAATTCAGAAACGTCAAATTTTGAAAAATTTAAAAACATTAAAGAACTGAAAAATTGAAAAATCTAAAATTTAAAACACTGAGAAATTAAAATATCGTAAAATTGAAAAATGGATAAATCCAAACATCAAAAAATTAAAATTTCGGAAATCTAAAATTTAAAAATCGAAAAATTGAAAAATCAACAAATCGTGAAGTCGAAACTCGAAAATTTAAAAAATTGAAAAATTAAAATATTGTAGAATTGAAAAATGGAGAAATCCAAACATCAAAAAAAATAAAAATAGAAAAACTGAAAAATCAACGAATCAATAAATCGAAATTCGAAAACTTAAAAATTCCGAAAATTGAGAAATCGAACTATAAAACAGTAAAAAATTGGAAAATGCAAAGTTTAAACAACGAAAAATTGAAAATCCAAAAAGTAAAAAGTCGAGAAATCGAAAAATCCAGAACTCGAAAAATTGAAAAATACAAGAAAAATGAAAAAATCGAAAAACTGAAAAATCACAAAATTGAACGAAATATCCAAAAATTGGGGAATTAAAAAATTGAAAAATTGAGAAATCGAAAAGTCAAAAAAGCAAAGTCGAAAAATGGCAAATTCAAAAATCTGAAAAATCAAAAATTGAAGAACTGAAAAATACAAACTTTGGGAAGTCCAGAAATGGGAAAATAAAAAAATGATTAATTTTGAAAATTCAGAAATGTGAAAATTTGAAAAATAAAAAAATTAAAGAACTGAAAAATCGAAAATTAGAAAGATCAAAATTTAAAGCATTGAAAAATTAAAAAATCGTAAAATTGAAAAATGGAGAAATCGAAACTCGACAATAAAAAAAAATTGTAAAATTGAAAAATCGGATAATTCAAAAATCGAAACATCGAAAATCGAAAAGCCGAAAAGGAAAAAATCGAAAAACCGACAAATAGAAACATCGAAAAATTCAAAAACTGAGACATGGAGAAATCGAAAAATCAAAAGAACGAGAAATCGAGGAGTCGAAAAGTCAAGAAATCGAAAAATTAAAAAATTGAGAAACCGAAATAGGCCAAAATCGAAAAATTAAAAATTGAAAAGTCAAAAGAGCAAAGTCGAAATATTGAAAATTCAAAAACCTGAAAAATCAAAAAATTAAGGGAATTGAAAAATCGAAACTTTGGGAGTTAAGAAATCGGAAAATAAAAAATTGATTAATTTTGAAAATTCAGAAACGTGAAAATTTGAAAAATTTAAAAATTTTGAAGAAAAAGCAAAGTCGAGAAACTGAAAATTTAAAACGTTGAACAATTAAAATATCGCAAAATGGAAAAATCGAGAAATCCAAACATCAAAAAATCAAAAAATAAAAATTCGAAAATGTAAAACTTAAAAATCGAAAAACTGAAAAATCCACAATTCAAGAAATCCAAACCCATAAATTAAAAAATTGAAAAGTTGAAAAATCGGATAACTGAAAAATTGAAACATCGAAAAACTGGAAAATCGAAAAATTGAAAAGCCCAAAAGTAAAAAATCGAAAAACCGAGAAATCCAAAAATCAAAATATCGAAAAATTCAAAAACTGAGACATCGAGAAATCGAAAAATCAGAGAATCGAGAAATCGAGGAGTCGAAAGCCGAGAAGAAAAGTTAACAATTGAATAATTGAAAAATCTAAAAATTTGAAAAAAGAAAAATCGGAAAATCGAAAATTTAAAAATTCGGAAAATTGAAAAATCAAAAATTTTAAAAACTGAAAAATTAAAATATCGAAAAGTTGAAAAATTGAGAAATCGAAGTATAAAACAGTCGAAAAATTGAAAAATCTAAAGAGTTGAAAATTCAAAGAGCAAAAATTCAAGAAATCAAAAAATCCAGGTGTCCAAAAATCGAAATTTTGAAAAATCCTAAAACTGAAAGAAATATCCAAAAAATTGAGAAATAAAAACATTGGAAAATTGGGAAATCCAAAAACTAAAAAAGCAAAGTTGAAAAATCGTAAACTTAAAAAAATCGAAAAACTGAAGAATAAAAAACCCGAAAAGTCGAAAAATTGAAATATTGAAGTGAAAATCGGAACTTTGGGAGGTCGAGAAATGGGAAAATTAAAAAAAAGATTACTTCAGAAATCGGAAAACTGGAAATTTAGTAATAACAAAATTTGAAATATTCAAAATTGAGAAATTGAAAAATTGGAAAATTGGGAAATCGGAAAACCAAAAAAGTAAAGTCAAAAAATCGAAGAAATGAAAGACCGAAATTTGGAGAAGTCGAGAAATGGGAAAATCGAAAATAGATTAATTGAGAATGGGAAAACTGAAAATTTAGCAACATCAAAATTTGAAAAATACAAGTACTGAAATCGAAAAATTAGAAAATCTAAAATTACAAGTCGGAAAACTGAAAAATTGAAACATCGAAAAATTGGAAAATCGAAACATTGAAAAGCCCAAATGTAAAAAATTGAAAAACCGAGAAATCCAAAAATCGAAACATCGAAAAATTTAATCAATTCAATCGAGAAATTAAAAAATCAGAGGATCGAGAAATCGAGGAGTCCAAAGCCGAGAAAAAAGTTAAAAATTGAAAAATCGATGAATCGAGAAATTGAACAATCGAAACATCGAAACATTTGAATTCGATACATCGAGAAATCAAAAAATTGAAAAATCGAAAAATTTGAAAAAAGAAAAATTGGAAAATCGAAAATTTAAACATTCGGCAAATTGAAAAATTGAATTCCAGAAGAACTAAAATCTCAAGGAATCGAAACATCTAGAATTTTAAAAACCGATGAATTAAAACGTCGAAAAGTTGAAAAATTGAGAAAACGAAGTACAAAACAGTCGAAAAATTGACAAATTCAAAGTTTTTCAAAGAATTGTAAATCCAAAAATTAAAAAATCGAGAAATCCAAAAATTCAGGTGTCAAAAAATCGAAATTTTGAAAAATCTCAAACTGAAAGAAATAGCCAAAAAATTGAGAAATAAAAAAATTGGAAAATTGGAAAATCGAAAAGCCGAAAAATCTCGTTAGCGTATAATTTGAAATGTAAATTTTGTAATTTGGGAACATTATGTATTAAATCGTTAAAATGTTTAAGAATTTTGTTCACTTATTCGTTGTAAATTCCGACCAGAAGGTCGAAACAGGTTAGTTCTTCGTAGTGAATGGATCAGCTCTAACGAAAGTCGGCTTATCGATAAATCGCTTAGAGTCGATATTGGCTTGAGTGCGCTCTGGCTTGCAGATCAAACAAGTTCTCAGGCGACGAATCGGTGTTGCATGTTCAGCTTCGGTTAGTAATACTTGTTTAGAATTTCTCCAACCGCGTAAAAATGGAAGCGAAAGTGGTCTTTATCATTGACAAAACGATGTACAATAACACCATCGTTGGTTTCGTAATCCACTCTAATTCGTTTTATTTTCATTCCCGTGGTACAATTATTCGTAACTAAGTACATACTGGAGTGTAATGAATGAAACGAGATTACATTTACTTGACCTTATGCGTTATTGTAGGTCACATATACATTATTCTTAGACGGTTATTATTAGTTATTACACCTGGAACTTTCACTGGTGTGGTGACTATTAGAAACACAATAAAAAATTGTCAGTTGCTACGTCGCTTTATTTTTACCATATACCCATTCAGCGACCGTGTGGAAATATCCATGGTGAACTTGACACTGGGCAGCTTCCCATGTGCCTCGATTTCAAAATTCTGCAGCAAGTGTATCAAAATTACTTTGACACTAATGTTGGCGAAGACTTTTCCTGATTAAAAAAAAATATGATTAGACTGACATTAACATGATTACAAAGTAATTACCAATACAACCTCTGGGTCCCGCACTGAATGGTATGTAGGCAAATGAGGGCCGGCTTTGTTCAGCCGTTGGTAAAAAGTGGTCGGGGTAAAAGTGATCCGGATTTTTCCAGTAGGTTGGGTTTCTGTGTAAATTGTAAATCGGGATACCGATTCCACAGTCTTTAGGAAGGAACCACTTGTCTGGGGATAGTAAAATTAGCAAGAAATTAGTAATTCTGGATGAGGTACCTAGTTGTTGATCTTCTAAATTTTTGCGAAAGATGTATGGACCGATGGGGAAAAGTCTCAATACGTCTTTCACACACATATCCAGAAACGGGAGTTTCGTGAGGTCTTCCACGTTTAAATTGTGGATGTCTTTACCTAGCACATTACGCATTTCGCGGACAACTTTTTCCTGATATTCTGGATACATCCCAAAACATAGACATGCAGCTGAGGCTATCAGAGCTATGGTATCTTGGCTCTGGAAAATTAAAGTATATAGTATGAAATTTTGCCCGATTATCACTTACATACAGCCATATAGAGAGAAATGAGGTGAAACCAAAACTCTTCCCTGGAAACTAATCCAGGATTTTCCTCTACACATCGTGCGATTTTATCAACGATGGGTTCTACAACGAGCTTTTTGGACCGTTTTTGTCTTTCCGAATATTTTGCAAACACTTCGTCTTTCAGTTTATTAGACAAGTCACATATTTTTTGGAGATGCTTGCCAAGTTTACTGAACCTGAAAATTAGGTTAGGGTGCAACCAAGGTTTTGCCATTCTGGCAAAGGCTATTTTATAAACTCTGAAATTTCTGGATTAATAAATTAATTCCACTTTTGGTGTAGGTGCTTACTCTGTAAATCCTTCAGTGTAGTCAACATTGTTTCCCTTTTGTGATTCGAAACTGTATCCTAGTACGACGTCTGCAAACAGTTCGTCGGCTGAGAACTTGTTTGATGCACAGACCGGAGCGCGTTCAGGCCAATGTCGACTCTAAACGTTTAGAATTTCTTCATTCGATTTTGACATGCAACTATTTTTTTGTTTAATTAAGAATTAATTCTTTAATTGTAAATTGAACAATCGGATTATCGAAAAATCGAAACATGGAAAAATTGAAAAATCGAAAATTGGAAAATTGAAAACTGGAGAAACCTAAAATTGTAAAAATTGAAAGGAAAAAATATCGCGAAAAGTTGAAAATTTGAAAAAATCGAAGTATAAAATAGGCGAAAAATTGAAAATCCAAAAAGTAAAAGGTTGAGAAATCGAAAAATCCAGAACTCGAAAAATCGAAAAGTCGAGATACTAAAAAATTCCAAAACTGAAATGCCGAAAAATTGAAAAATAGAAGAAAAATTGAAGAATCGAAAAACTGAAAAATTAGGAAATCGAAGTCCAAAAAAATAAAATCGAAAAATCGCAAACTTAAAAAATCGAAAAATTGAAAAATCAAAATCCTGAAAACTCGAACTGAAAAATCGAAAGTTTGGGAAGTCCAGAAATGGGAAAATCAAAAAATAGATTGATTGAGAAATCGGAAAATTGAAAATTCAGAAACGTCAAAATTTTAAAAATTTAAAAATTTTGAAAAAACTGAAAAATCTAAAAATTTAAAATCAAAATATCGTAAAATTGAAAAATACAGAAATCGAAACATCAAAAAATCAAACAAATAAATAAATTGGAAAATATAAAATTTAAAAACCGAAAATCAAAAAATCAGAACATCGAAAAATTCAAAAACTGACACATCGAAAAATAGAAAAATCAAATCAAAAGATCGAGAAATCGAGGAGTCGAAAAGTCGAGAAGTCGAAAAATCGAAAAATTATGAACAATCTAAACATCCGAGAAAAACTGAAAAATCGAAAATTTAAAAATTCGGAAAATTGAAAAATTAATTATAAGACCAACTGAAAACTCGAGCAATCGAAAAATCTAGAATTTTAAAAATTGGAAAATTTAAAGATTAAAGAACGAAAAACTGAAAATCCAAAAAACAAAAAATTTAAAAATTCAGAAGTCGAAAAATCGGAAGTCGAAGAATCGAAATATTGAAAAATCCAAAACCGAAACAAATATCCAAAAAATGATAAATTAAAAAACTGGACAACCCAGAAGTCGAAAAATCGAAGAATTGAAGAACTGAAAAATCGACACTGACGAGAAAATGGAAAATCAAAAAATATAATAATTGAGAAATCGAAAAATTGAAAATTTAGCAACGTCAAAATTTGAAAAATTGAAAAATAGAAATACTGAAAAACTGAAAAATAAAAAAATCGAGAAATCGAAAAATCTAAAATTTAATACATTGAACAATTAAAATATTGCAAAATCGAAAATTTGAGAAATCCAAACATTAAAAAATCAAAAAATAAAAATTCGAAAATCTAAAATTTAAAATCGAAAAACTGAAAAATCGACAAATCGAGAAATCGAAACTTCAGAATTTAAAAAATTTAAAAATTGAAAAATCGGATAACTGGATAATCGAAACACTGAAAAATTGGAAAATCGAGAAATTGAAATATAAAAGAACTGAAAACTCGAGAAAATGAAAAACCTGGAATTTTAAAAATTGAAAAATTAAAACATCGAAAAGTTGACAAACTGAAATCCAAGCATAAAACAGTCGAAAAATTAAAAAATTTAAAGTTTAACGAAAAGTTGAAAATCCAAAAAGTAAAAAATCGAGAAATCAAAAAATCTAGGAGTCCAAAAATCGAAAAGTCGAACAATCGGAATATTGAAAAATCCCAAAACTGAAAAAATATTCAAAAAATTGAGAAATTAAAAAATTTGGGAAAGTAAGAAATTGGGAAAGTGAGAAATTGAAAAACTAGAGAAGCAAAGTCAAAATATCGAAAAATCAACAACCAAAAAATCTGAAAAATCGAAAAATTGAAGAATTGAAAAAATCGAGACTTTGGAAAGTCGAGAAATGGAAAAATAGAGAAAAATGTTTCAGAAATCGGAAAACTAAAAATTTTAGAAACGTCAAAATTTGAAAAATTGAGAAAATCTAAACATTTAAAAATCGTCAAATTAAAGACGAAAAAATTGAGAAATCGCATTATTTAAATATCGGAAAACTGAAAAATCGGAAAATAAAAAAAATCGAAAAACTGAAGAACTGACGAACTCAAAAATCAAAAGTTCGGAAAGTCGAGAAATGGGAAAATCAATAAATAGATTAATTGAGAAATCACAAAATTGAAAATTCAGAAACGTCAAAATTTGGAAAACTCAAAAATCTAAAAATGTAAAATTTAAAACATTGAAGAATAGAGTAATCGAAACATCAAAAAATAAAAAAAAAATAAATACATTGGATAATCTAATATTTAACAATAAAAAATCTGAAAAATCAACAAATCGAGAAAACGAAATTCGAAAGTTTAAGAAATTGGATAATTCAAAAATCGAAACATCGAAAAATCGAAAAATTGAAAAGCCGAAAAGAAAAAAATCGAAAAACCGACAAATCAAAACATCGAAAAATTCAAAAACTGAGGCATCGAAAAATCGAAAAATCAAAAACTCGAGAATTCGAGGAGTCGAAAAGTCGAGAAGTCGAGAAGTCGAAAACGCGAAAAATTGAGAAACCGAAATAGGCCAAAATCGAAAAGTTAAAATTGGAAAAATTGATAAATCGAGAGATTGAATGATCAAAACATGGAAACATCCGAATCTCGAATATTACAAAATTGAAAAATCGAGAAATCCAAACAGCAAAAAATCAAAAAATAACAATTCGAAAATCTACACTTTAAAAATCGAAAAACTGAAAAATTGAAAAATTGAAAAGCCTAAAAGTTAAAAACGAAAAATCAGAGAATCGAGAAATGGAGGAGTTTAAAGTCAAGAAGAAAAATTAAAAATTGAAAAATTGATAAATCCTCCAATCAAAACATCGAAACATCTGAATTCAGTAAATCGAGAAATCAAAAAATTGAAAAATAGAAATATAGAAGAACTGAAAACTCGAGAAACATAAAATTTTAAAAATTGAAAAGATAAAATATCGAAAAATTAAAAAATTGAAAAAATCGAAGTATAAAATAGTCCAAAAATTGAAAAATTTAAAGTTTAAAAAAAGAAAAATTGAAAATTAAAAAATAAAAAATCCAGAACTCGAAAAATCGAAAAGTCGGAATAATAAAAAGTGCCAAAACTGAAGTACCAAAAAATTGAAAAATTGAAGAATCGAAAAACTGAAAAATCATAAAATTGAACGAAATATCTAAAAATTGGGAAATTAAAAAATTGAAAAATTAGGAAATCAAAGTCGAAAAAACACAAACTTAAAAAAATTGAAAAATTGAAAAATCAAAATTCTGAAAAATCGAAAAACTGAAGAATTGACGAACTGAAAAATCGAAAGTTTGGGAAGTCGAGAAACTGAAAAATCAAAAAATAGATTAATTGAGAAATCGGAAAATTGAAAATTCAGGAATGTCAAAATTCGAAAAATTTCAGAATTTCAAAATTTTTAAATTTTTCAAATTTTGACGTTCCTGAATCTAATAAAATAAAATGTAAAACATTGAAAAATGAAAATATCGTAAAATTGAAAAATAGAGAAATCGAAGCATCAAAAATTAAAAAAAATAAACAAATTGGGAAATCTCAAATTTAAAAACCGAAAATCTAAAAAACCAACAAATCGTGAAAACGATTCGCTAAAATTTAAAAAATTGGAAAATTGAAAAATCGGTTAACTGAAAAATCGAAACATTCAAAAATTGGAAAATCGAAAAATTGAAAAGCCCAAAAATGAAAAATGGAAAAACCGAGAAATTCGAAAATCGAAACATCGAAAAATTAAAAAATTGAGACATCGAGATATTGGAAAATTGTTGAATCGGGAAATTGAACTATCGAAACATCGAAACATTAGATAAATCGAGAAACCAAAAAAAAGAAAAATCCAAACATTTTAAAAAGAATAATTGGAAAATTGAAAAATTGAGAAGTCCAAGCATAAAAAATAGAGAAATAGAAACTTCAGAATTTAAAAAATTGAAGAATCGGATAACAGAAAAATAGAAACATCGAAAAATTGGAAAATTGAAAAGCCTAAAAGTGAAAAATCGAAAAATCAGAGAATCGAGAAATCGAAGAGTGGAAAGTCGAGAAGAAAAATTAAAAATTGAAAAATTGATAAATCCAGAAATCAAAACATCGAAACATCTGAATTCAGTAAACCAAGAAATCAAAAAATTGAAAAATAGAACTATTTTAAAAAGAAAAAATTGGAAAAATTGAATATTTAAAAGTTCGTAAAATCCAAAAATTAAAATATAGAAGAACCGAAAACTCGAGAAATCGTAAAACCTAGAATTTAAAAAATTGAAAAATTAAAACATCGGAAAGTTGACAAATTGAGAAATCGAAGTATAAAACAGTCGAAAAATTGAAGAATCTAAAGTTTAACGAAAAGTTGAAAATCCAAGAAGTAAAAAATCGAGAAATCAAAAAATCCAGGAGTCCAAAAATCCAAAAGTCGAACAATCGAAATATTGAAAAATTCCAAAACTAAAAAAATATTCAAAAAATTGAGAAATTAAAAAATTGCGAAAGTGAGAAATCGAAAAACTAGAAAAGCAAAGTCGAAAAATGGAAAAAAATAAAAAACCAAAAATTTGAAAAATCGAAAAATTGAAGAATTGAAAAAATCGAAACTTTGAAAAGTCGGGAAGTGGGAAAATAAAAAAAATGTTTAAGAAATCGGAAGACTGAAAATTTTAGAAACGTCAAAATTTGAAAAATTGAAAAATCGAAATATTTAAAAATCGTAAAATTAAAGAGGAAACAAAATTGAAATATCGCAAAATTGAAAAATCGGAAAACTGAAGAACCGACGAACTGAAAATCGAAAGTTTGGGAAGCCGAGAAATGGGAAAATCAAAAAATAGATTAACTGAGAAATAAGAAAATTGAAGATTCAGAAACGTTAAAATTAGAAAAATTTGAAAATTTTTAAAAATTGAAAAATCTAAAAATCTAATATTTAAAACATTAAAAAATGAAAATATCGTAAAATTGAAAAATAGAGAAATCGAAACATCAAAAAATCAAAAAAAAAAAAAATAAAATGGAAAATCTAAAAATTTAAGGACCGAAAATCTGAAAAATCAACAAATCGAAAAAATGATACTCGAAAATTTAAAAAATTAAGAAAATTGAAAAATCGGATAATTTAAAAATAGAAACATTCCATAAATCGAGAAATTAAAAAAATCCAAAAATTAAAAAAAAAATAATTGGAAAAGCGAAAATTTAATACAAGGAACAATTAATATATTGCAAAATTGAAAAATTGAGAAATCCAAGTATAAAAAATCGAGAAATAGAAATTTCAGTTTTTAAAAAATCGAAGAATCGGATAACAGAAAAATCGAAACATCGAAAAATTGAAAAATTGAAAAATTGAAAAACCTAAAAGTGAAAAATCGAAAAATCAGAGAAAGTTTAACGAAAAGTTGAAAATCCAAAAAGTAAAAAATCGAGAAATCAAAAGATCCAAGAGTCCAAAAATCAAAAAGTCGAACAATCGAAAAATTAGAAACGCAATGTCAAAAAATCGAAAAAATCAAAAACCAAAAATCTGAAAAATCGGAAAACTAAAGAACTGGCGAACTGAAAATCGAAAGTTTGGGAAGTCGAGAAATGGGAAAATAAAACAATTGATTAATTGAAAAATCAGAAAATTGAAAATTCAGAAGCGTAAAAATTTGAAAAACTTAAAAATTTTTAAAAACTGAAAAATCTAAAAATCTAAAATCGAAACATCAAAAAATAAAAAAAAATAAATTGCAAAATCTAATGTTTAAAAACCAAAAATCTGAAAAATCAACAAATCGAGAAAACGAAACTCGAAAATTTAAAAAATTGGAAAATTGAAAAATCGGATAAATCAAAAATCGAAACATCGAAAAATCGAAAAGCCGAAAAGTAAAATATCGAAAAACCGACAAATCAAAAAATCAAAACATCGAAAAATTCAAAAACTGACACATCGAAAAATCAAAAGATCGACAAATCAAAGAGTCGAAAAATCGAAAAATTGAGAAATCCAAACATCAAAAAATCAAAAAAATAAAAATTCGAAAATTTAAACTTGAAACATCGAAAGACTGAAAAATTGAAAAATTGAGAAGCCTGAAAGTGAAAAATCGAAAAATCAGAGAATCGAGAAATCGAGGAGTGCAAAGTCGAGAAGAAAAATTAAAAATTGAAAAATTTATAAATCCACCATGAAACATCTGAACTCAGTAAATCGAGAAATCAAAAAATTGAAAAATAGAATTATAGAAGAACTGAAATCTCGAGAAATTGAAAAACCTAGAATTTAAAAAGTTGAAAAATTGAGAAATCGAAGCATAAAACAGTTAAGAAAATTGAAAAATCTAAATTTTAACGAAAAGTTTAAAATCCAAGAAGTAAAAAATCGAGAAATCAAAAAATCCAGGGTGTCCAAAAATCGAAAAGTCCCACAATCGAAATATTGAAAAATCCCAAAACTGAAAAATACACACAAAATTGAGAAATTAAAAAATTGGGAAATGGAGAAATCGAAAAACTAAAACAACAAAGTCGAAAAATCGTAAGCTTTAAAAAATCGAAAAATTCAAAAACCAAAAAACCATCTTGACGTCTAAGGTAAAATCTCAACACGGATTCATGAACCATAAATGGGGGATACAAAAGTTAAATTACATCTACTGTTATAAAATTTGGAGATAACGTCATTTCATTGTTGTTGACAAATTTTGGTCAGCGTTTTGGTCGGCTTATAGATAAATCACTTAGAGTCGATATTGGCCTGAGTGCGCTTTGGTCTCTAAATCAAGCCAGTTCTCAGGCGACCGTGTTACCTCCAATGATGTCAGCAGTGCATTTATGAATGACCTCTTCTATATTAAAGTAGTTTCTGCCCACTAACCCTTCTAGTTTATCTACACACACTTCCATATGTTTTTCAAAAACCCCAACACACTCCGTACTGAATTCCAAACTGAAAAGCGGCTGAATCATTTTTTTGTGAAGCTTGTACGTTTGACCTACAACGAAACTGTACGTAACGTACATAAAAATGTATAGTTTCACCTGAAGCCGTTATTAAACCCTCCCCTAGAAAAACCTTCATCAGGTCGTAGATTTTGTGTTTGTGGCTGAACTTCGACGAACACATTATCTTCTATAATAATAATAATAATAATAATAATAAAACAACGAAAGTGTGAATTTAACTCACTTCTAAGTGTCGCGGCTCCTTAAAAACCACAGTCAACTCAGGCCCTAGCCAAAACCCAATCGGATTATCATACTTATTGACAATTTGGTAAATTTGTTGCAAAAGATCTACAAACCAAAGTAAGATTAAAGATAACTGGAATGCTACTCACCTTCAGTTTTGCAAAAAATGAACGGAAATGTTGACCCAATTATGGGCAAACTGATGGGACCGTTAAGACTCCAAGCGGCGTAATAGAGACGTCTGCGGTACCACTGGTACCTGATGAACAGGAACGAAGCCAATGAAAGCAATATCCACAAAATCGCCATCTCGTCACTAGGAAAACAAAATCAGACTACTGAGTCCACGAAGATTTCTCTTTATAAATGTTTAATATTGCGTCGTTTGCCTTGAAAAATAACATAAAACGTTTGAAATGGCACACATTTGTGTTAGGACAAGTCACTCGAGTTTGTTGCGGAATTGTAAGATAGGATCAAAATTGTCATTTGTTGTGGTCGAACGACTTTACTTTGATGCAGAGGTTTCCAATTGGAAAATTCCACTCGTTATGGCCAAGTTTTCACCGGACACACTAAACTGGAGGCTTAATGGAGCAAAGCTTCCATTTATTAAGACAATGCAAGCCGCAATTTTAGTACTATTATAGACTTAAGCAAAATGTCGTGGTTGTGGTCGCTGTTTCTAATAACTGTTGTACTAACGACGTACCTTTGGTCCCGCCGAAAACTATATTTGTTGGCAACCAAACTCCCAGGTCCCTCGAGTTTACCTCCAATAGGATGCGGCCTCAGATTTCTCTGTGACAAAAAAGGTACGACTTTTTAGACAGAAGTTCTAACCCGTTTTTAGATATTCTAGACGTTTTTCTAGATCTTACAACCCCATATTCCTCCCCGTGTAAACTATGGATCGGGCCAGAACTCCTCGTATTCATCAAAGACCCTAAACAACTGCAGACTGTTTTCCAGTCGTCTGCACTCTCAACCAAGGCCCGTTTTTACCGGATTTTGGAAGAATTTTTGGGGAAAGGCTTGGTTACTTCTGGTGGTACGTATTTTCGCACTGGGTGGTCTCAAAATAACAATATTTTTAAGGGGCGCTTCACAAGCGACACAAAAAGCTGCTACAACCCCTTTTTTCCCAAAGAATGGTTGATGGTTATAGCCACTTGTTCCAAAAACACGCAGGCAAGTTTGTTCGTGTTCTAGAACGACATATTGATGGAGACGAGTTTGACGTTATGCCATATTTGCATGACTCTATATTTGAGACAACGATGGGTAAGCAAACTATTTTCGTACTAAGACAAAATTTTGATCAAAAATTTCAGATTTGCTTCTGGAGGATGAAAATAGTCACTCAATAGATTATAAAGACGTCCCTACCTACGTCAAGAGGTTCTAGTTTCACTTGTTTTTAAACCAACAACTGACTCCAATTTTGTAGATTTTACGAACTCGGTTTTCAGAGATTTAGAACCTTCTGGTTACATTTTGATTTTATTTATCAGAGGACTTCAAACTACAGAGAAGTGAGGACGATGAAAGAAGTGGCAAATACCATGGTGGAGGAAGTAAGAACTAGTGATTAGTGTGTCAATAGTGTAACGCTTGATTGTAGATAATGGCCACCACTGTTCAGAAGGTAGTTCAAAGATTGGAAACTGGTACCTTGACGAAATCAGAACAGATGAGGGCACCATCAGTACTAGAACGGATAGTCGAAATTGGGCACTCTCAACCAGAAGTGTTAAGTGAGCAACACTCTATAGATCACTTAATATCACTAATCGGAGCTGTAGGTTGTCAAAATTTGTGTCCCGAATGTTTAGTTTGTCGTTTCAGAGTCAAGACACCACGAGTTCCGCTATAGCATTTACCTGCATGATGTTGGCAGCGTATCCTCACATACAAGTACTTGTACAAGTTTTGACTAACCTCACTAGATACAATCAACGTTGTTTTAGGACTTGGTTATTACAGAAATTCGAGACGTTCTTGGTCCTAAAACCACTCTAGATTATACTGACGCCTCCAAACTACAGTACCTCGAAATGTGTCTCAAAGAAACCATGAGGTTATTCGCAGTGGTACCATTCGTGTTTCGTCAAACAACTGAAGATTTCCAACTGGGTGATTTGATAATCCCGAAGAACGTGACCGTCGGACTGTCAATATACCACGCCCATAGAGACCCCAATCACTGGGAAAAACCAAACGAATTTTACCCACAACATTTCGTCCCTGAAGCAGTAACCAAAAGACACCCTTATGCTTTCATACCCTTTAGCGGTGGTTCCCGAAAATGCCTAGCCCAAATCTATTCCTACACCATTTTGAAAATCTTTCTGGCAAATATCGTCCTAAATTACGAACTATCAAGTCCCCGAAAAGTCGAAGACCTTAAATTGACTGCTGACATCACAGTCAGGCCTGTGGATGGACACTTATTCAAAATCCGTCGACGATATATCAAATAAAAAATAAACTCTCGTTAAGTCTTGTTAGATCCTTGACCCCCTGTGACAATCCACCACCTATTGTTCAAACCACAGCAATTACTTGTGGTTTAATTAAAAACGGCCTGAGTAATGAGGCAGAGATAATTCTTGCACAAGCTGCTGCATTCGATCACGACACCATAAATCAGGCAATCTTGGTGGCTGCAGAATTATATCATTGTAAGGTCGGTTTTGAAATGGGAAAAAATCTTAGAAAGTTCACTACAATGCTGTGTATATTTAAAGTGACGGTGCTGGACGGGCATTCGAAGGGTGGTGTTCGGTGTAGCTAGTGTGCGATGGAGTTTTTGCTGTTTTTGTCGGTTTTGGTTACACTGGGCGTTATTTTTGTCGGGCGGTATCACTGGTCGCGCAGGAAATTGTATTTGTTTGCGGGTAAAGTGTCGGGGCCTTTGGCGTTTCCTTTCGTGGGAAATGGGCTGAAATTTTTGTGCAGGAAGGAAGGTGAGGCTGAATTCAGTGTTGTTTGTTTTTAATATACGAATGTGATTTTTTTCGAGATGCGTGTTTTTGTTTGTTTGTTTTTATTTTCGTTCGGTTATGTGGGATGTCGGAAAAGTCATTTTATTTTGTTTAAATTAATTAGTAGCTTGTCGGTGGAAGAAAATAATTGGTGGGTGTTGGTAGAGTATTTTTTTGTTTGAAAGTAAATGTGATATTTAAATTAGCAATAAAATATTTAAGTAACGACAATTTTATTATGTAATATTTTAAAATAGATAAATCAATGGGAAAATCGAAAAATTACAATACCGGAAAATTGAAAAATTCTCAAAATTGAAATGTTGAAAAACTGAGAAATTGAAAACTTGAAAAATCAAAAAATTGAAAAAATTTCAAAATGGTTAAATCCAGATGTCGAAAAATCGTAAATTTGAAAAATAAAAATTTTTAAATATATACTCATATTAAAAATTTAAAAAACCTGTAAAACGGAGCATCAAAAAATTGTAAAATCGAACAACTGAAAAATCGAAAAATGTAAAATATAAGAAATCGAAAGATTGAAAGCCCGAAACCCTGAAAAATTAGAAAAACGAGAAATCAAAAAATCCAAAATTTAAAAAATGGAAAAAAAAATCGAAAACTGAAGAATTGAAAAATTAAAAAATAGACAAAATGAAAAATCCCAAAACCGAAATGTTGAAAAAATTGAAAATGCAAAACATCGAAAATTGGAAAATTCAAAAATCTAAAAATGGAAAAGCTGAAAATTCGGAAACTCGAAAATCGAAAAATCGAATATCTAATTATTAGAAAATTGAAACATCGAGAATCGAAACATGAGAAAATCGAGAAATTGAAATAGCCCAAACGAAAAATTAAAAATTGAAAAATTTTGAATTTATGAAGATCAATAAATCGGAAAATTTTAAACATCGAACAATGCGAAATTAAACAATTCAAAAAATTGAAAATTCAAAAAAATCTAAAACCGAGAAGTCGAAAAATCAAAAGATTGAGGAATCCACACCTCAAAAAATTGAAAATGAAAATAAAAAATAGAAAAATCGGAAATCTGAAAAATCGATAAATTGAAATATCGAAATAATGAAGAATTTCAAATCGAAAAATGGGGAAATCAAGAAATCGAAAAATTGTGTTATTCAGAAATCGAGAAATGGAAAAGTTGAAAAAACGAAAATATAGAAAAATCCCAAAATAGAAACATCGAGAAATTGATAAATCGAAAAATTAAAAGACCCCAAAACAAAAAATCGAAAATTTAAAAAATTCAAAAAGTTGAAAAGTCAAAAGCTTGACAATTTGAAAAATTGAATAGTCAAAAACTTGAAGAGTCCGAATTGAAAAATCGAAGAATTGAGACATGAAGAATTCGAAAAATGGACAAATTAAAAACGTGGAAACGCCAAAAATTGAAAATTTGAAAATTGGAAAAATTTTAAAATCGAAAAATTGTAGAATCAATAAATCGACAAATCAAGAAATTAAAAAATCTAAAAAGTGGAAAATCAAAAACTGAAAAATCCGAAAACTGAAATTTCAAAAATTCAAAAATTGACAAACTCAAAAACCTGAAAAATTGAAAACGCAGAAACTTCATCAACTGAAAATTTGAAAAATTGGAAAATTAAAAAAAATAGAAAAATTGAAGACTCAAAAAATTAAAAATCGTAAAACTGAAAAATCGTAAAATCAAAAAATTAAATTGAAGGACAGAATAATTCCAAACTCAAAAATCGAAAAATTGAAAAACCATAAAACGAAAAATTGAAAATTCGAGACATTGAAAAATCTAGAAATCGGAAAATCCGAAAAATCAAATATCGAAAAATTGGGAGACTGAAAGTTGAAAAAATGAGAAATCTAGAATTTAAAATATCAAAAAAATTAAAATATCGAAAAACTGAAAATCAAAAAATTGAAAAATCGAGATATCGAAAAAAATCGAAAAATTGAGATATCTAGAAATCGAGACATCGAAAAGTCGGAAAACAAAAAATTGTTGAAACGAAATATTGAAAAATCTCAAAACTGAAATATTGAAAAATTGAAAAATCGAAAATTAAAAAAATTCAAAATCTGAAAAGTCAAATACTTGAAAACTTGAAAAATTCAAAAATCGTACATTCGAAAAAGCAAGAATTCGAAAACGTAGAGACGCCAAAAATGGAAAATTTGAAAAATGGGAAAATTGAAGAAACAAAATACTGAAAAATCCCGAAACTGAATTATTTAAAAATTGATAAATCGAAAAACTGAAAAATACTAAAACTGATTATAAATTGAGAAATCGACAAATTGAAACATCGAGAAACAGAAAAATCGAAAAGCCGAAAATATAAAAAATCAAAAATTGGAAAATCAAAAACCTGAAAAATCGAAAAATTGAAATGGTAGGAACGTCAAAAACATTAAAAATTCAAAAACTAAAAAATTCGAAAAATCGAAGAATCAAGAAATCAAGAATTCGAAAAATCGACAAATCGTAAGCATAGAAACGCCAAAAATGGACAATTTGAAAAACGGAAAAATTTAATAATTGAAAAACTGTAGAAAAAAAAAATTGACAAATCGAGAAATTGAAAAGTCTAAAAATTGAAGAATCAAAAATCTGAAAATTCCCAAAACTGAAATATCTATAAATTGACAAAACGAAAAACTCAGAAATACCAAAACTGAAACATCGTAAAAAGTCGGAAAATCGAAAGTTTAATAAATTAAAAGTTTGAAAGTCAGAAACCTTAAATATCGAAAAATAGAAATGCTAGAATTCTCAAAAATTGAAAATTTGCAGTATGGGAAAATAAAAAAAAATGAAAAATTGGAAAAATAAAAAAATTTTAAAAATCATAAAACCTAAAAACCTAAAACCGAGAAGTCGCAAAATCGATCGATCGAGGAATCGAAACCTCAAAAAATTGAAGAACTGAGATTTTTTTTTCCTTTATTATTACTATTATTATTAACTTCGCATATATTTGTATTTTTGTTCCCATAAGGACGTTAAATGTCTGTGGGAAAATAAACTACCATTATTATTATTATTATTATTATTTAAAACAGAAAAATTGGAGAACTGAACAATCGAAAAATCGAAAAAATTGAAAAATTGAAAAATCAAGAAATCAAGAAATCGAAAAGTCGAAAAACCGAAAAATTGTAGAAAAGAAATATTGAAAAATCCCAAAACTGAAACATCGGAAAGTCGAAAATCGAAAAATCAAAAATTTTAAAAATCAAAAAATTGAAAAATAAAAAACTTGAAAATTCGAAAAAATAGAAAAAATCGAAGAATCGAGAAACCAAGAATTCGAAAAATCGACGAATTAAAATGGAAAATTTGAAAAATGGAAAAATTTAAAAGTTTAAAAACTCTAAAATCAAAAAATTGACTAATCAAGAAATTGGAAAATGAAATTGAATAATCAAAAAACTGAAAAGTCCCAAAACTGATCGTAAATTGAAAGATCGACAAATTGAAAAATTGGAAAATAGAAAAGTCGAAAAACAGAGAATTTAAACAATCAAAAATTGAAAAACCAAAAAGTTGAAGAATCGAAAAATTGAAAACGCAGAAATGTCAATAACGGAAAATTTGAAAAATGAGGAAATTAAAAAAAAAACAAAAAGTGAAGAATCAAAAAATTAAAAAATCGTAAAACTGAAAAATCGTAAAATCGAGAAAAATTGAAGAATCGAAAATCTGAAAAATCTAGAAACTGAAGGATTGAATAACTTCAAACTGAAATACTGAAAAATTGAGTAATCGAAAAATTGAAAATCCAGAAAATGAAACATTGAAAATTCGAGAAATTGAAAACTCAAAAAATTTGAAAATCCCAAAACTGAAATATCGAAAAATTGAGGGATCGAGAGAAAAAACGATAAATCGAAAATTAGGAATTTTGGGAAATCGAATAATTAGAAACTGATAAACTGAAAAATCGATTAATCGAGAAATCGAGAATTCGAAAAATCAACAAATTGAAATAAACATAAAAAGCCAAAAAGTGATAATTTGAAAAATGGAAAAATTTAAAAATCGAAGAATTGAAAATTCCTAAAAACAAGAAATCGAAAATTTGAAAAAATCGAGAAGTTGAAGAATTGAAAAATCCCATACTGACATCCAAAAAGTGCGTAATCGAAAAAATGAAAATCTAGAAATCGAAAAAGCGAAAATTAAAAAATTGATCATCAAAAATTTGTCAACTTTGTTTTTGTTCCAAGAATCTTAATGTCAAGGATAAAAATTCAACACGTATTCATAAACTACAAGTTCAGGATTATGGTACTTTTTAAAATTTAAAAGGGGCAGGGATAAATTTTGATTAACAATTTACCTTAAAACGTTTGCAATATTTTAAAGCATTCCATTTTGCAATGTCAAAGTTAAATAGTAAAATTTTAATTATAATTTTTTCCAAAAAACTCAACATGGAGTCATAAACCACAGGTAGAGAAGTACGTTATCTTACAAAATTTAATTAACATTTACTATAGCAAAGTTTGAGGATGACATTATTCCATTACATCTTTTTTCGTACTCTAGGGGTCAAGAAACATCGAGCAAATATGAAAATAGCCAATCGCTCGACGGATTCGATTACAATAATTCCTTAACTTACGCTAGGGAACTAAAAAGTGTGTTAGTTTGTGTAATGTCGCTAAAATTTTTATATATTCGTTAAACCATTCAAACCGTTCCCACTAATCACTTATTATGAATGCACAAAAATCACTATCTGTCTATAACTAATTTTAGTAAAGGGTCCTTTTACTTCTGTATTATATAACATTATTTTTACCATTACAATAAAACTAATTGAAATGGCGCACATTCACCTTTACCGCCGATTTACATATGCATGTAAATACCTTACAGCAAGTTTTGCAGATAGTCATCATAACGTTCATTATTCTTTGCATGGAAATGTTCATTGTAAAAAATTAAAGTGCTTTTTCGAATTTCAGATATCTTAAACGTCTTCATTAACGAAACAGACCAGTACCCATCTCCAGTACGACTTTGGGTAGGACCGAAACTTATCCTAGTGGTGAAAGACCCCACTCAAATGCAGGCAAGCACCACCACTTCAAAATTTTTCCACCACCTAATAACATAGTACCTTTCAGATTATTCTACAATCTTCGAAAATCGCAACCAAAGCCTTTGTTTACGAATTCTTGGAACCATTTCTGGGCAAAGGCTTGTTTACAGCGAATGGTTTATACCACAAGACTCAAAGACGGTTGCTGCAGCCCCTATTTTCACAAAGACTCATAGATGGGTACAGCCACATATTCCAAAAACATGCCAACAAGTTTGTGAAACAGATAGAAAAACATGTGGGGGGACCAGAGTTTGACATTTCTTTTTATTTGCACGATTCAGCTTTCGAATCAACGATGGGTACTTTGAATCGTTAAAAAAAAACAAATTATTTGTCAAAAACGTTGTAGACTTGATGCTAGAAGACAAAAATGACCACTCCTTAGACTATAAAGACGTCCCTCAGTTCGTGCGCAGGTTTTACAATATAGTTTTCACAAGAGTGCGAAACTTTTGGTTCCACTTTGACTTCATTTACGAAAAGTCGTCGTACTTTAAGGAACAGTTAATGATGAGGCGGCTTGCAGACACCATGATTAAAGAGGTTCGTTGACATTAATTAGTACCAAAGATTCGATTTCGTTTCTAGATTCTAGACACAAGAGTTCCGGAGGTTGTTCAACGAATAAAAAATAACGAAAAGCCTGAAGATGACAGATCGCCGTCTATGTTAGAATCGATACAAGAAATGCTTCAAGAAAATCCAGACTGTTTTAGCGAAAAAGAATGTATCGATCACTTGATGACTTTTATGGCTACGGTGAAACTCAAAAATTGGTACTAGTTCTTACTTCATTTCAATTTTTAGAGCCAAGATACTCAAAGCTCGGCTATAGCTTTTACGTTCATGATGTTGGGAGCTTACCCCGAAATACAGGCACGTCATACTGTCAAACTGTGAAAAAAGAAATAATTGTTCAGAAATCCGTTGTAGGATTTGGTGGTTCAAGAACTTAGAGAAGTTCTGGGTCAACGCACGTCTTTAGACTTTACTGATGTAACAAAACTGAAGTACTTAGAAATGTGTATTAAAGAGGCGATGAGGTTGTACCCTGTGGCTCCTTTTATATTCAGGGAGACAACGGAAGAATTTCAGTTGGGTGAGAGTTTAAATTTTAACGAAGAATCAACGTATTGCTAAAATTGATGCTTATGCAACCAACAATACATGGCCAAGTTAAACGTCAAAACTTTGCACAAAATGGAAACTAATAAAAGTTAAACTTTCTCAACAATGTTGATGTTTCTGACATTTCCTAATCTAAATTATGTTTTTTCTTTTAGAGAACCTCATAATTCCTGAAAATGTTACTGTTACGTTGTCTATTTATCACGTCCATAGGGACCCAAAGTGTTGGGAGAAACCGAACGAGTACTACCCAGAACATTTTTCTGCAGAAGCTACAACCAAACGAAATCCTTACGCCTTTATACCCTTCAGTGCAGGACCCAGGAAATGCATAGGTACGTCAATTTTTGGAACCATGAATCGAAATTTTAACTCCATTTTTAGCTCAACAGTACTCATACGCCAATATGAAAATATTGTTGAGTACTGTACTCTTGAATTACGAAATATTTTGCCAACAGAAGGTGGAAGACATCCAGTTGACTACTGACATATCGATCAGACCCCTTGGTGGTTACAATATTAAAATAAAACCACGAAGTTTGTAGAAACAAATAAATTGACAATACTTTGAACAGTTTGCTAAAGACCTGAAGTATTTATTTCACACAAGCTACATAGTCACTACAAAGTCATCAATTTTTGGTATTTAATGTTTGGCGATTCGGTGACAACGTGGTTAACCTGAAGCGACTGCACTTTCTTAACCTCCAAATCCTTCAACAAATCGTACTTCACGTTATCCACTTTCGTACCACTTCTTGACTTCAACAACTCCTGCCCAGATTTCAATTTTTCATTAACTTTGGAGATGACATTCACTAGAGAGATATTAGCTTTGACTAACTTTTTCTTAAGAGTGTTTGGGGTGAAAATGCTTCTGTCTTTCTGTTTGTAGATCACCGTCTCGCTATTTGAGTTTATTTTGTCGTTGGAAATTTCTTCATATATTGTTGTGTCAAGATTATTTTCAATAGAATCAGCTTGTTTTTCTTCTATATCTTCATTTTGCTCAGTCTTTACTTCTTCGTTGTCTTCTTGGTCCCACAAGTTGAGCCTTGGCGTTTCGTGTTTGTGCTCTGACAACGAATCTTCGTCACTGATATCTTTATCATTTGTGGCTGTCAATAACCAAGCACTGGTTTGACAACCACACTCCAAAAGTCTATATCTTAACAGTTCGTTGTAGTCTTTAATTTTGTCTTTGTCGGGTTCTTCGTGCTCCCAAATCGAAGACAACTTATTTTCTAACTGTCTAAAGCAATCGTGTTCTTCTCTCCTTATTCTAGTCCAGTGCACTATCAAGTAGCACAGTAGTGGAAAATACAAAGTATCTGACTAAAACTCAAGTACTTAAATTGTGGTTCGTCTAGACACAATTATCTTACTTTAGTGACAATTCCTGGTCTGTAAGGTCGAACGAATAGCGACGGACCAAAATAAGTGGTAGCCGCCATGATGTTCTCCCAGTTGAGTTTAGTAGAAGAACGACGCCTCGTTGAAATTTTTCGCAAGAAATTGATCAAAGTGTAGATTAACATGATGTTAACTTTAGGGAGTCTGTGTACCCACCAAGCAATTTCTGATTCTAGCTCAGCGTCCGAGTCCATTTTGCTAAGTCTGCACTGAGTCGCTAAATACTCCCAGTTGTAACTCCTCCCGTCTGTAAAATGGGGGAAGAGTGGGAGAGGAAGAAGGCCTAAGAAGTGTCTCAGTAGCCAAAACAAAGACGACGGAGGCATTTTGTCGCAGTGGTGTAGTTTTCCATTGACTAGAGTTTCCTTGAGGTCTAGCACATCGCTCAGAGTACCTTCAAATTGACTAAAGTTTCAGGGGTTTTGACACTTTTTACACTTGTGGGTACTTACTTAAGTACGTATTTTAGGCGGAAGTTCGATTGCTTTAGGGCGACACTTGCTTGCCAGAAGAGGTTCTGAAAAGTTTGCTTTGTTAGTACTGGGGGTGGATTTTTGGTTATTGGGTACGTGTAGTCGAGGGTGGATGCTGTTAGACGGGAAAATGTCTTCCAATGGAATTCCAAAGTCAAACCTGCTGAAACCAAGATTGGGGGATTTTTGGTGGGGTGGGTTTTGGGTTGGCTTACTTTATACAAAAAATGTTTGCTTCGTTCATTGCTATTATTTCGGGCAAACGTGACAATTTCACATTAAAAAAATGGAATGTCAAATTCTAGACAACAAGCATGGGCGGGAACCTTTGAACCGTTGTGGGGGGGAAATGGGGGCAATTTAAATTTCACAATTTATTTTTAATTTTTCGATTTTCTATTTCTCATTTTTTCAATTTTCAGTTTTTCCGTTTTTCAATTTCGATTTTTAATTTTCATTTCCTCGATTTATAATTTTTCAGTTTTCAACAAAAGGAACAAATTTATTCAAACTGAAATTTTGAAAAACTGCAAACTCGAAACATTGAAAAATCGAAAAACTAAATAACCAAAAATCGAAAAATTAAAAAAAAATAAATAGAAAAATTATATATACATATATTATATATAATTGAAAATCTAAAAATTGAGAAGTCAAAATGGTTTCATTTTACCATTTTTTTTAGTTTTTCAATTTTTCACAAAAGGAACAAATTGATTCAAATTTTGAAAAATTTAAATTAAAAAAATTGAGAATCCAAAAATCGAAAAATTAAAATAACTAAAGCAGAAAAATTGACCACTCAAAAAAATTCTTAAATTGAAAAACTGAAAAATCGAATGATATAGAAATTGAAGAATTTAATATTGGAAAACCAAAATTGAAAAATCGAAAATTTAAGAAATCGAAACGTTTTCCTTTTCTCGATTATTAATTTTTCAATGTTCAACAAAAGACGAAAAAATTTATCCAAACTAATATTTTGGAAAATTGAAAAGTCTAAAAACTGAAATCAAAAATCGTAAAATTTAAAGAAATTGATATAGAAAGATTGAAAAATCGAGAAATCTAAAAGTTGTTAAATTGTAAAATTGACAAATGTTAGAGAAATTGAAAATTTTATTATTGAAGAACCAAAATCGAAAAATCGGAAAATTGAAAAATCGAAAAACTTTCATTTTCTCGATGTTTGATTTTTCAATTTTCAAAAAAAGGACACATGAAAAATTAAAAAAATTAAAATTGAAAAATAGAAAAATTGAAAAATTGAGAATTCGAAAAACTGTTAAATTGTAAAATTGAAAAATCGAATATGAAACATCGAAAATTTGAGAATTTGAAAAGTTTTCCTGTACTAGATTATTAATTTTTCAATTTTCAAGAAAAGAATTAAACTTATTCAAAGTGAAATTTCGAAAAACTGAAAAGTCAAGACAAAAAAGTTGAAAAACTGAGAAACCAAATTCTAAAAATGAAAAAATTAAAAGATAAAAATAAAAAAAAAATAAAAATTGTGAAACTGAAAAATAAATTGAGATATTGAAAAATTTAATATTCAAAAACCAACATTGGCAAACCGAAAAGTTTTCGTTTTCTTGATTTGTAATTTTTCGACTTTCCATTTTTCTTTTTCAGTTTTCCATTTTTCAGTTTCGATTTTTAATTTTTCAATATTCAGCAAAGGAACGAACTTATTAATAATAATAATAATTTATTTCAATTTCTTTATTAAACTTGAAATTTTGAAGAATCAAAAAGTTGAAAAATTGACGAATAGAAAAATTGAAATTGGAAGATCAAATATTGAAAAAGCAAGAATTGAAAAACGGAAAACAAATATAAAAAAATTAAAGAATTGAAAAGTCAAAAAATGGAGAAATCGAAACGTTTTCATTTTCTCCATTTTTAATTTTTCAATTTTCAACAAAGAGAACAAATTTATTCAAAATGAAATTTTAAAAACTGCAAACTTAGAAAATTGAAAACTCGTAAAATTAAACAAATGGAAATAGAAAAATAGAAAAAATTAATATAATTGAGAAATCTAAATGTAAAAGTGCAAAATTGAAAAATTGAAAAATTGAAATTGAAAACTGGAAAACTGAAAATTTTAATGTTGAATAACCGAAATTCAAAAATCGGAAAATTGTGAAATGAAAAGTTTTCATTTTCTCGATTTTTAATTTTTCAATATTCAGCAAAGGAACAAACTTATTTAATAATAATAATAATAATAATTTATTTCAATTTATTTATTCAACTTGAAATTTTGAAGAATCAAAAAGTTGAAAAATTGACGAATAGAAAAAGTGAAAAATCGAATATTGGAAGATAAAATATTAAGAAAACAAAAATTGAAAAACGGAAAAAATATAAAAAAATTAAAGAATTGAAAAGTCAAAAAATGGAGAAATCGAAACGTTTCCATTTTCCCCATTTTTAATTTTTCAATTTTCAACGAAAAGAACAAATTTATTCAAACTCAAATTTTAAAAACTGCAAACTTAAAAAATTGAAAACTCGTAAAATTAAACCAATGGAAACAGAAAAATAGAAACAATTAATATAATTGAGAAATCTAAATGTAAAAGTGCAAAATTGAAAAATTGAAATTGAAAACTGGAAAATTGAAAAATTTAATGTTGAATAACCGAAATTCAAAAATCGGAAAATTGTGAAATGAAAAGTTTTCATTTTCTCGATTTTTAATTTTTCAATTTTCAAGAAAAGGAACAAATTTATTCAAACTGATATTTTAAAAACTTCAAATTTGAAAAATTGAAATCTCTTAAAATTAAAAAAATGGAAATAGAAAAATAGAAAAAATGAATATAATTGAGGAATCGAAATGTAAAATTGTAAAATTGGAAAACTGAAATTGAAAAATTTTATATTGAATAACCGAAATTCAAAAATCGGAAAATTGTGAAATGAAAAGTTTTCATTTGCTCGTTTTTTAATTTTTAAATTTTCAGTAAAAGGAACAAATTTATTCAAACTGAAATTATGAAAAATCGAGAAGTTGAAAATAATACAAATAGAAAAACGGAAAAATAAAATGTCGAAAAATTTTTAAAGATCTAAAATCAAAAAATTGCAAGATTGTAGAATTGAAAAATCGAAAGATAGAAACAGTGAAAAATCAAATATTGAAAAATTAAAATAGAAACACAAAAAAATTTAATACTGGAAAACCAAAATTCAAAAATCGAAAATTTGAGAAACCGAAAAGTTTTCTTTCTTCCTATTTATAATTTTTCAACAAAAAGAACAAATTTATGCAAACTGAAATTATGAAAAATTTGAAAGTCGAAAAACTGAAAAACCGAAAAAATGAGACACCAAAAATCGAAAAATTAAAAAAACTGAAGCAGAAAAATAGAAAACTTGAATAATTGAGAATACGAAAAATTGTGAAATTGTAAAACTGAAAAATCGAGTGATCGAGAAATTGAGGAATTTAATATTGAATAATCAAAATTAAAAAATCAAAAATTTGGGAAATCGAAAATTTTTCATTTCCTCGATTATTAATTTTTCAATTTTCTACTAAAGGAAGAATTTTAGTTAAACTAAAATTTGAAAAAATGAAAAGTCGTAAAACTGAGAACGCAAAATCGCAAAATTATAAAAATTAAACCAGAAAAACAGAGAAATTGAATAATCTAAAATTTGATAAATTGTAAAACTGAAAAATCGAATGATCGAGAAACTGAAAAATTTAATATTGAAAAACCAAAATTGCAAAGTCGACAAATTGAAAAATTGGAAAAGTTTTCATTTTCTTGATTTTTGATTTTTCAATTTTCAACAAAAACAAATTTATTGAAAATGAAATTTTGAAAAACTGAAAACTGAAAATTAAAAAATGTAAAAACTGGATAACTAACAAATGAAAAATTAAAAAAATTAACAATATGGAGACAAAAATTGAATAAACGAGAAATCGAAACATTTTAAAATTGTAAAATTGAAAAATGAGACAATTAAGAAATTGAAAAATTTTATGTTGAAAAACTAAAAATCGAAAAATTGAGAAATCGAAAAATTTTCAATTCATCAATTTTTAATTTTTTAATTTTCCACTAAAGGAACTGAAATTTTGAATAACTCAAAAAATCAAAAATTGAAAAATCGCAAAACTGAATAACCAAAAATCGAAAAATTAAAAAAATTAAAATAGAAAAATTGAATTGAAAAATCGAAAAATTGTTAGAATGTAAAATTAAAAAATCGAATGATAGAAAAACTGAAAAATTTAATACTGAAAAACCAAAATTGAAAAATCAGAAAATAAAAAAAAATAAAATGAAAAAACAGAGAAATTGAATACTTGAGAAATGGAAAAATTGTTAAACTGTAAAATTGAAAAATAGAATGATCGAGAATGAAAAATTTAATATTGAAAAAACCAAGATTGAAAAGTCGAAAAATTGAAAAATTGAAAAGTTTTCATTTTCTCGATTTTTCGAGAAACTCAAAAATCGAAAAATTGAGGTAACAATCGAAAAATCCGAAAATAAAGGAAATAAAAATCATAAAATCGAAAATTTGTTTGAAATTTCAATATCAAAATGAAAGATTGAAAAACTGAAAAAGTTTTCATTTTCTCGATTTTTCATTTTTCAATTTTCAACAAAAGGAACAACTTTATTGAAAATGAAATTTTGAAAAACTGAAAACTGAAAATTAAAAAATCGAAAAACTGAAAAACAAATGAAAAATTAAAAAATTTAAACTGGAAAAATAATTGAATATGTGAGATTTCGAAACATTTTAGATTTGTAAAACTAAAAATTGGACAACTTAGAAATTGAAAAATTTTATGTTGAAAACCCAAAAATCGAAAAATTGAGAAATCGAAAAGTTTTCAATTCATCAATTTTTCATTTTTTAAATTTCCACTAAAGGAAATGAAATTTTGAATAACTCAAAAAACCAAAAATTAAAAAATCGCAAAATTGAATAACCAAAAATCGAAAAATTATAAAAATTAAAATAGAAAAATTGAATTGAAAAATCGAAAAATTGTTAGAATGTAAAATTAAAAAATCGAATGATCGGGAAACTGAAAAATTTATTACTGAAAAACCAAAATTGAAAAATCAGAAAATTAAAAAAAAAAATAAAATAAAAAAACAGAGAAATTGAATAATTGAGAAATCGAAAAATTGTTAAACTGCAAAATTGAAAAATAGAATGATCGAGAAAATGAAAAATTTAATATTGAAAAAACCAAAATTGAAAAGTCGAAAAATTGAAAAATTGAAACTTTTCATTTTCTCGATTTTTTATTTTT